AAGACGCTGCCGCACAACTACTGATTTTTTTCTCTTACGACACCTCCGGGATGATATTATTAGGTGGTGTATATTCTAACACTGCCACTGCCTGAGTCATACGCAACGCTTATTAAAAATTATAATCAACGACTTCGAAATAGGTCACTAATGTATAAAACTAGAAACTTTGATTACGACGTGGAAAGCTATAGAAAATAATTAAGAACATATTACGTGTTTAATAAAGATTAACTCAAAATTAATGTCCCAGTTATTTTTAATACACTAATTATAATCTAGTTGGTAGGTAAGTACCTGTCACCCAGCGCGTTGCAGCCGCAGAAGAAATAATTGCGGAAATATCGTTTTTGGAAGACTTATATCGGGAATGATCGTTGAAGTTAAATGATACATAACTTTCAAATAAATTTGTCAGTATGATACGCGCGCCATCTATTGTTAGTTAATTCTACTATACCTATAACTTTCGCAGAAGTGCAAGCAATATTTTGACAAAGTTTTTCCGCAATCTGATGAACGATACGGGGGCGCATAAAATACGAACAAACAAAAATTTATTTTTATATATTAGATAGTGATTAGATGTCTGCACAGGAAAAACAAAAGAGTTAAAAATACTGTCATTAATAAAAGCTGAGCAAAATTTTGGAGTAAAATGTATTGCAATATTATGAAACTAGTACACATTGCTTTAGAGGTCTTTACGCCAAGACGTTTAGTAATAAGTAACCGGCCAAGTGCGAGTCGGACTCGCGCGTGAAGTGTTCCGGACCATCGTAATATACGTTTCTAGTAGGGGAACCCCTGTTCATTTTTAATTTATTTTAATTTTTATTATTGTTGTTATAGCGGCAACAGAAATACATATTTTGTGGAAATTTCAACTGTCTACCTATTACGGATCATGAGATAGAGCCCGCTGACAGACGGTCGGACGGAAGGGCAGCAGATGCTTAGTAATAGGGTCCCATTCATTGAGTTATATGTACTACGTACTAGAGAAGCCATTCCGAACATTGACTATGTTCAACTGAACTGTAGTGCAATCCCTACAAACTAAATATTGCGTAAATTGAAGATTTGTGAATTCCATAAAATAATTATTATTACATTTTATTTAGAAATATAACCTGTTTGTTTAGATGAAATTAAGATATTTTATATAAAATTTTTATATTTATTTTATATTAATATCTTATTTTATATCAAATTAAAGTCTTCGCGCATGCGCGACTACTACTCCCGCGCATGCGCGAAAACATAGAGTAGGACACAGTTTTTGTTTGAAATGGCTTCTCTAGTACGTAGTACATATAACTCAATGGTCCCATTGGTTACTCTTTGAGTATGGACGGAACCTTAAAAACATGTTTCATCAATTGCTTTTGTTTAGTAGAACTTTTTATAGATTTTTTTTTACACAGAACGTACGAAAATCTTTCCAATAAACTGCTTCACTTTATGGTTTCCTTTCCTAACCAAACAAATGGGCATGTAAATATTTTTTAAATGAGAAACGCTAAAAAAGGCTTGAACTATTGTCAGCGCGCAGTCAATACAATAATAATTAAACTTTTTAATAACAAGAATATTTTTTTATTAAACTCAAGTTCCTCTTAAAGTAAATTTATTATTCGTTGTCAGTTCAAATGATTTCTACATTGGAGTCAATAAGAACAATAAAGATTTCAAGAACAAATCAATAGGTCAAATCTATTTGCGCTGGCATAAAATCATCGGGAAACAATATTTAGCAATAGCAGATACATGCTATGTTTACGTGATAATAATAATTCATACCGCGAAAATTTATTTTAATCTGTTAAGAACGGTAAAAGGGAAAAGTCAAAAGTACAGATAATCTATACATATAAATATAATTGAAGCGTCTGTCTGGTCTGTGATATCAAAATAACTGCCTTATATTGAGCTGAGGGGGTTATTTGCATGTCACTCAAACATAATACGTTTAAAAAAAATTTGAACCGATTGTGATGACACTTTACAAACCGATTGAGAGCAATGCCAGGAGGGATCTAGGCTATATTTTATCCGAAGCACTTAATTAAAAAAATAACTATCCAATAAATGGTCCTTGATTATCTTAAATCTAACGGCCTCCGGACGCTGACCAATTAATGTGGCCTACAAATAACTATTTCAGGTGTAGTGTGTAGTAGTAGTGTTTGTCCATGTGCGACTTATATACCGACTTATAAACATCTCTATGATACCGGCCGAACGTTTTTTTTTTTCGTAAAAAAACAAAAACACTATTTTTAAACCGTCATAAAACGAACACAAACATCTCTGACAATTCCGGTTTCATTGATTTTGGAACGACAACCAACGTGATATACGTGAGTTTTAAAGGTTGAACTTAAAAACAGATAAATAATAAAATACAAATATATTTCATTCAGTACTGAATACATTGTCGTATATAGATATTTAACGCATATGTGGAGGGAAAATCTCATGAGTCAACAAACTTTGACAACACATACGATACACACATAATATGTTAAATCAGTTTTAAAAAAACCACAAGTACTTTCAATGATTCACCAAGGCAATCTCGGCTCGCACGCAACGTTCACGTGTTAAAAACAATAAGGAAAACATCCCCACTCCGCCTTAAGGTTGATAATGTCATGAGTATGCTATGTAGAAAATATTATATTATGACTTGACGTCGGATTTAATTAATGCATTTGCATATTTGCATATGCAAATGCATATAACTCTCTAATTACGGCTTTAATGCTTATTTTAGCATTTTTCCCAATCGCGAAAATTTCGTTTAGTAGCGGGAGAGTACGTATAGGGATTAGGGACCTAGGTGACGAAGACATGTAGGGCGCGAGCGCAGTGGCTGACTAAACTGACTGGCCAAATTTTAAATTTTGTCCAATGACGTTAGTTGATGTAGAAGTCGTTTTCAGCGTACAAATTGATATTGGGTGACAAACGTCGCAAATTTCCGCTCGAAAATTTGGAAAAATACTTAATTGTATATTGTCTTAAAAACTATGCATAGTTTTAAGAACATTTCGTTGTTTTTGGACCGTCTGTAAAATATAAAAAAATAAAAATGATTTTTTTATTTTTTTTATTGTACATATTTTGGGCATATCAACACTTAAGTGCATATTTCGGCCTTTTTACTGCATATTTGCATACATATTTTGGCACTTTGTTAGTGCATATAATCCGATGTCTAATTATGACTAAATTAAAGTTCGTTATGTAGGTACTGTTGACGTAATTGATAGAATATTTCATTGAATTAAAGCTTGACAAAGACATTTATAGCAGTGAATTTGGGACTTGTATGTCCGAGCCTAAATAAGTTTGGGCCTAACGCAGCAGAATCTGGAAACGTTCTCTGTCTGTCTATCTGTTTTTCTGAATGCGCATCACAAAAACATGTCGATGAGTTTGAATAGGAATTTCGATCCATTTCAATCTCGAATCTCGATCTCTTCGAATTATTATCCACATCGATTCACTATCGCTACATAACATCTTTACTTTAAGAATGTTAGATTTAGCCGTATTGTAAGATTTATCATATTTACTAAATCTCTAAGCCTTTAGGGCTCACTCTGCTCAAGTTCTTTTAATAAGATATATCTATACTTACTATTTAATATAATAAAGCTGAAGAGTTTTTTGTTTTTTTGTTTGTTTAAACGCGCTAATCTCTGGAACTACCAGTCCGATTTGAAAAATTCTTTTTGTATATTATAGCCAGATTCATGTGGAATAGTATAGGCTATCTAGCATTAAGCTATATTACACAGCTAGCCTTAAATATGGATATTTGTTAAGCAAGTCAGAAGAAAAAGCACTCCCGAAATGATTTATCCGCGTACGCTGGTGTTATCGTTAGGGATACGTAAATACAATGTTCTAGAAAAATATAGACCTTTACTCCGTCTAAAAAAAGTCCGCGATACCATATGTCTATTTCTTATACATAAGCAATAATTTGGTATTTTGTGACAAAAAAAATATTGAAAATTTAAAAGTAATTTATGAGTGTTATTATTAGGCATGGCCTATTTATTCTTACGAACGAAAGTTACTTCATCATTAAGACAATTTTATGAAGATAAACTCTGTTCTTTATACCATGTTATTTGGACGCATAGTTTAAGAGATAATGTAAAATTAAAATAATTCAATACTTGGCTGGGCACGCGAACGACGCTTAAACCCTAGCCGTTATAAAATGCTTGAACTAGGTCATGTCGCGCACCTCGGACACGTGATGATGCGGGTGAAACCGCGGGGCACAGCTAGTAGATAATAATAAGCTTCTTAAAAGAAAGTTATAGATGCTGAGATTGCCGACTGATACTGATGAAAGGAGTTTTTATTCTACAAAAATACCATTAATTTTTAATAATCAGGTACCCGTTTTGGTTAAAACGAATTCAGGTACTGGCAAGTATTTGCTTTGCAATGACAATAAACAACGCTCAAGGCGTGGACCTTCCGAGTAGTTGCCTTTCACTTGACCAACTCTCCGTGTGCCAGCGATACCGTATCGCCGATACTGCTTAATTTTTTTAACAACCTAAAATGAAATGTTCTACATTATTTATGAAGAGGCGCGTTGATGCAACAACATGGGTTTATTTTTAGGGTTCCATTAACCGTACTTGTTTTTACGTTTATAAATAAATTGTAAAAAGCATACAAAACTTGGTTTCAAACCTCGGTAAAGCTAATACTTAGTGCCTACGATTGTAATAAAATCGGCCAAGTGCAAGTCAGGCCTTGCTCTATTGGGGTTCCGTACATTTTATGAATTAACATTTTTAAAACTAGATATTTAATAAGATTATGCTTTTTTCTATTTCAGTTAAAGTCGATACGAGTTCGACATAATCAGCTCATGCCCCCGCGAAGCAATATGTACATAAGCATTTTCCCGTGAGCAAAAAAGCCGATGCAAGAGATACTGCATAATTTATCACTTTGTTTACCTGTTCCGCAGCTCCGAAGGTGCAGTCGCTTCTATAAGTGGTGATAGATCGAGTGTACTCCATACAAGTGACCCGCTTGTCCTTGAGGAATGGGTCGTCGTTGGGCACCGATATTGGCATGCAACTCGGATGGATGTAGCGTGGAGTAAGATCGTAGCCGGACTCGTCGCAACAGCGAATCAGTTGATTCGTGTGAACTGTAGGCGAGACGTTCGCTTTAGAACGAAGTTTTGTCCATTTCCTTAATTACACTTTAATATCATTACAAGATTAAAAATCCGGTTGACAAATTGACACAAAATAAAGATAATAAATATGCAGATGTTGTAACAAACTATGCGTGCACGATAAAATGCACTACGCACATGTATTACGCTTTAATTTCAAGAGTATTTTGAAAAATGTAATCATACTAAGAAATACTGTAATACACCACATTTGTACTTTATGGATTCAAAAATCATTACATAGTAGTTCATCTGTATCAATCACAATGACCCTTTACTATTCATTTAACTAAACCAAAATATTTAAAAAAAAGTTAAGTTACAGCCTATATACGTCCCACGGCTGGACTCAGGGCTTCCCTAATTTCTGAAAGGGGTTTCAGGGCAAGAAAATGTCCACTGCGCCGCCCCAATGCGTGTTGGCGAACTTCACATTTCTTCGAATTTTTTTTTCTTATTTCTCAGACATGCAGGTTTCCTCACGATGTTTTCCTTCACCGTTGAGCAAATCGGCACTTAAAGTTTCAATTAACAATTTCATTGGTGCCGGTGGGAATTGAACCTGGGTTGCTCGCGTATTGTGAATTTACAACGAGCGCTAACCATCTGAGCTACCACAGCTCAGATGTTTAGCGCTCAGCGTCAGTTGGCAATCCAAAATATACTTTATTATAACTTACTCGTCTTTCTGATAGGAATATGAACTAAATCATGGTGCACGAACTGACTCCAAACAGCTAGAGCAATAGTTTTCCTGTCATCCGGCTTGTCTATATTGCCAGCTAGCTTGATACTGACCAGCCGTGCTGAGGGTAACGGCTTGGGGTTTACTGCTCGGCGTGGCTGTAGAAAGGAACGTGTTATCATTTATCAATTTAAAAATAATTTTAGTATAAGTGACATGTAATAGTAAGTAAGAAAACAATCAAATACAGATGCGTCGAAAGCTCATCATCCATCATTATAGCCCTTCATAAGTTCACTGCTGAACATAGGCCTCCCCCAAGGACCAAGGAACGCCACAAAGCACGGTCCCGGTGCGTCCATTGACTTAGTGGGTGTACGCCCTACACTTCGCCTACGGGTATGAGGCTGCCACTCGAAAACCATTCAATTAAATTTCCTCAACAATTTAACAAAATAAACTTGTGTCTCCGTTATTGAACTTGATAGTGAATAGTTAATTACTGTGACGCAAATAAACATCCGGCTCAAAGGACTAATCACAATTAAATATATATACGACAGAAGCGTATAAAATGTAGAGTTAATGAAAATAAAATGATGCGAGACATTAATCAATAATATGAATAGTTTAGCAGTACGGACTGTGCACTCATTCATATTCTTTAATTGTAGCCTATCAAGTCCACTGCAGAAATATTTTCCATAGTTGCCATGCTTAGACGGTACCACGGTAGAGGTTATTGTCTTGTCACTACACGGCCATCAGTTTGGACTACAACAATATTATTGTTATCAATAAAAATCTGCTTTCTCTGAACCCTGTTCCAATTCCATTACAGCTCATAAAAGTCCACTGCTTAACATAGGTCTCCCTAGGATATACATCCTCTCTAGGATTTTACTACAGCTGCTACGCTTGGCAAGGTGTTTGGCAACCGCTATTTATGTATATTCCTGAGCAGCCTACACGTTATTTTGAATTGTTATCAGAAAGATGCTTCTGCCCATCTCCTGTTAAGTTTCCCTCTGTCGCTTCTAACGACACCTACGAAACGATATGGGGTAGTGGATATTCTTACACCGCCACTACGCGCTAACTATTTCTAAATCAACGTTTATTTATATTTTATTTTTAAAGTAAGGTAAGGAAAGACATTATAATATAGAATCAGATTTAGAAACAAGCATTTTATCTAACCAACCTCTTCTATGCCGTCAGCGTATCTCGGGTGTAAAAGTCGTTTGAAGCCTGTTAACGCTTGACCCCAAGAGGAGCGCACGGGATTGTTGCAGGAGCCGTCGAACGTGCGATACTTTGACGACATCTTGTTCGTGCGACATGTGAAGCGCTCTAACGCCGCGCATTCCGGCCCATATTCACTATCACGAAGGTTCAACGTGCTTATAAAACTTGCGCACTCGTCCGTGGCCAAACCATACCTAAAATTTCAATGAAAATGAAAACATTCAATATCAATCAATAACAATGAATGTATTACAAAAAATCTCTCTTCGGAATTTGTGTTCAATATAGTGTTTGTTTTTTGACCTACTTTGCGCATTTTGTCCACACTAAATTCTGGGAAGCCTTAGTAATAATCATCGACGATTTCTCATAGCGCATCGCATCTCTGGCAGGAAGTCCTTGTAACACAAATCCCAGAGCAGCTGTTCCGGGTTTCGGTGTAATATTGGCCCCCTGAAGATTGTTCTCAAAGCGCTCAAGCAACTCTACCGTCATTTTACTGAAGGCTATCGACTTATTGGTATGTGCAGGAGTCACAGGCGGTAACGTTTTCAAGACCTCGGCACTTGGGAACGGGAAGTCATACATCGGCGGTGGGTGTATTATATCTAAAACAAATGAATTCTTCACAACTATCGATTGGTATATTAGAATTCTGATTCAGAAACGAAATATACCTGTCGTCACTATCAAATTGAGCGGGTATGGTGCAACGTGGCTTCCGAAACTTACGCCTGCCCACAGTACGAAACCGAGAAGCACCATCTTCGTCATTTCTTCCAAAATACTGCAAAAACACAAATAAGTCAGTTATGCTAACGACACCAATTATATTACCGAACACAGCAGTACTGAACACCTGACCGTCGTAAAATTTTTAGAACCAACATGTATGTTTCTACTCGTATCACGTATGAAGTCAAACTGGTTAAGATTGTTTAAACTAGTGATATATAAAAGAGCCACATAACATTAGGTTATCACTTGAACCCATGATAATGTGACCCTAAGAATCTCACATATATGTTTTGTTGTTCGTTTAGTCAAGAATGCCACAATTTCAGAGTTTTGCATCGATCACTAATAAAAAGCATTTAGTGATCGATGGACTCGTGATACAGAAGATGGGGCGAGCCCCTCAATATTAACAGGAATACATGTTTACAATAACAAACATGACGTAATTACAGTACCTACATAAACTTAATTTAGATTAGCGTTATAATCAATGATATTTGCCATTAAAATCAATATATTGGATATAGTGATAACGTCTAATATGATCGGGATAACTGGTCTCCCTTCAGAACTAGTTATTTGATTGTTTTTATGACCTGAGGCTAGGGAAACAAGGGGTTTTAAAGGATTTCTTTTATTTAGATCATTTAGTTTAGTTTTAAATATTATACATTAATATAAGGCTAATTAATATATTATTATAAAAGGCTTGTTGCTAAAACTAAAATTAAAAAATATAAGATGTAACACAAGTAAAGATATTAATAACATTCCTAGAATTTGTTTTAAAATCTGTTAGGACTCTCAAATTCCCTCGGCATGAGAAACGGCTCAACTTCAGCCTGGCATACTGTGTATTAGATTATAAATTGCCTCCTGGTAAATTAGACTTGGAAAGATTACTGAAACCTTTTCTATCGAGCAAATCCCACGCATGCAATTATACTCGCTGAACACATTCATCGACAGCCTTCCGGTGTGTGCACGTACATATACCCGAAATATTGGCCGAGATGCCGTGTTCGAGAGATGACCATGGATTGAACAACCTCGTCACGGTATTGCTCCGCATTTAAATTGCATCGTATCCAAACTAGATCTGTTTATCCACCAAAGCGAACTCCAGCCTACACCGTAATCGTTCCATTTTAGTAAGAATAAACTTCCTCAGGATTGTTAACTCGAATCTGGCGACCGGAACATGCCAAACACGCACTCTCCTTGAATCGGGATGAAATAACAAGCGTCACTCATCGGAAAACAGAACACTTGCCCACTGAGTGCAACAACAGAGCGAATGTGCAAAAGCCTACAGTAACAAATGTCATCCTCGATTTCCACGTCGTCGAGTTACGCTCTCGATTAACTGATAAGCTGGAATTGGAGTCTACGTACCAGCTGGCTGGTGGTCTTACAAGAAACGGTCTCGTCTGTGACCGTGTTCTAGTTCTACTCGTACATACACTATAGTGTATATACGAGTAGAACTATTAAAGCCCCGACTTATAAAGCTATTATATGAAAATGACTTTATTCCTTATAGTTCCTTGAAGGCGGCTTTTACTTGTTGTGATTTGTTGCTGTACGTAGCTTACATTGTATTTTATTTTTTGATGTACTTTCGATTTACAACTTACCTACCACAACCGAGGAGAACAAACGTTGTTATAACATGGGAGGATTGCTTATTTCAACTTTATATGTTTACACTCAGGTACTTTATGTAGGTACGTCGCGTCGGTGGTGTTAACAAGCTATTGATGTTACTAATAATATGTTAAATAGTATGGTACTTCTTTGAAGGACATTGACTCTTAAACAAAAACGTGTGTGCAATCAAGTCATTGGACATTTTTGTTTTGTTTTGTTGTCATCATTACATCCTTTCACAACTCCACCGCTATATACAGATCCGTACCAAAAAATCAACGGATCCTGATATGAAATAACAATATTACAATAACAAAAATTAAATCGAGTTAAAATGCAGCAATTCAGTTATTTTAAGCCTTCATAAAAAGTAATTCCCAATACAGCTATATTTATTGTTTGGGCTCGAGATTTGAACTCAATTAAAATGATTATAGAGGGGCTTTATTAGTGTTCCATAAACATCGATAGACTATCGATTAATCGCTAGTGTTTGCACTATCGATTCTATCGATAGTCTGGTTAAACTGTCGAAAATTTATCCTAAAAATCAATAATTAATGTGGAGTTATTCCTAGATAGTGGACAGTAATCGTCCGTTTGTAAAGTGTAACTTTTATAATCAGGAATATAAGCATTTAGGAAATACGACCATTCTAAGAGATCACTTGAAAAGAAAGCATGCCGATAAAATAGATAGGTTAGAATCAACATCAAGTTCAAGATGAAGTGTAACCAAAAAAATCTAGAAGTTCTTTTAAGAATTATTTTAATTGAAATCAGTTGTTGAAGACAAAAACTATTGTGACTTTCCTTCACAGTTCAGACAGTGACAAATTGTGTATTTCTCAAAGACGAGCAAACAAAAAAGGGACAATAATTACTTATTGTTATTTTTATTTGTGATACCTGCTCAAAGACAATCGATAGTCTATCGACATATCGATGGTCTTATAAGAAACTATCGATTATTATCGAATACTTCAACAACCGATGTTTAATGAACACTAGGTTTTATGTGAATTGTGTTTACAACATCTAAACATAAATACATTGTATGATATATTTAAGCACATATATGATAAATCACAATATCTCAATAGATTTGAATTCTGTAAGAATTTCCATATTTTTGTATTTTAAACAATTGGACACAGCTCATAATAGTAAAAAGTTACTTAGATTCCAAAATAAATTTTGAGCAGAATAGCTACAGATTCGATTAATTTGTGACATAAAAGCATGAAACCATCGTATGAAGTTTCCTTCATGTATTTGTAGGATGAAAAAATGTAATGCGTATTTATTTTATTAATGTACGTACGTACGTGAGTAGACTTGAACAATAATTAATTTAACGTTTTCCTCTTCCTTTTGAAAAAAGACCAAATAAAAAAAGATTTGAAAACTTTAATGTTTATTGTTTTTAGAAACCAGCAACTATCTTTCGTTAAAGCCGTACGTACGTACGTTACGTAAGTCCAAAATTCTACATAAAGACAAAAACTTGCAATGTTATAACACAAGTAACTTCTCTCTGGTTTAACATTGGATCAATCCTTCTACCGTCGAAATGTGGGCAAAGCTACAGTCGTTTCAGTCGGTGCCAAGTTGTTTGTCGGCATATAGATGTGCCGAAGTGTTTGTACAGAAGGGCTACGATGGGCTATCTGAGTACAGAACCAGAGTACGAAACCTATCTAAGTTAGTAAATCTTATATTTCCACTGTAGTAGAAGGTCCGGAGTACGGAATGATCCCAAATCCCGTTAAGACTCAAGATTTAAATTATCCCCAGTATAGTGAATCGTGTATAAAATGAGCTTTAGTCGAATCCAGGCTTTTGCCCAGGCTTGCCTCTAACAGTCTGACACTGCATCCAAATTTTCGTTACATTTTATTGCATTATCGTTACCTTCAGCTAGGTAGGGTCCTCTAGAGATTCGCCGGATCGAGAAAAGTTCAAATATGGATCTCGGATCTAATGATGGATTTAATTTAGCTCCAAAACTGCCTTCAATAGTGTAATATTACCTTGTTTGCTTACATTTTGTATTCTATGTTTGGTTTCTATTATGTTCTATGTATTGCGCGATATTTTTTTAAATATATATATTAAGTGTAGTTTTCAATTTCTTCTAATAGGCTTTAAACCCCAATAATACAATACAAAAGATCCAAAACAGAAGACATTGTTAGGTGAGATATTGATAGGAATGTTCAGAATATATCTAATTCAAACCAGAGTAAGGTTTACGTATTCACATAATATGGCACTGGCTTTAGTTTCTTTCTTCTTTCTCTTTAGTTGATAGTTTACAAGAGTATTCAGATATTGTCATCGTGTTCAAAATCAATACATTATCATCATCATCGTCATCATACAGTTCATTATAGACTTTATCAACTGAACGGTAAATTGAATAATTCAGTCATTTTGAAACATGATGTTTGTTGATATTTATTCTATAGCTTTATTTAATTCTAATTCCTACTGTGCAAGCTAAAGTATTTTTCATACTTCATGTTAAGATTTAAGATACTTTCTTTAGTTTAAGTTTTAAATGGATACTGTATTCTTGAAAAGTATTGTTTTAATAGTAGGAAAGCAATTAAAGATCGATACGAGTACGATGACCGAAAGGCGTAGATAACCACTGCGGATGTATCCAAATATTATCTGTTTGTGTCTCGTCTACTTTAGTTCGATCCATAGTATTAGTGATATTGTCCTTGAACTGCGTTTTGACAAGTTGTTAGACCCATTTCTACCTACGAGTCGCTTACTTATTTCTAGTAAGTAACAATTCATCCACTAATGTTATCCAGTTTTTCTGCTATTTGAAATTTAGTCCTTAGTAATAAAATACCAGTAACCTACTTTATTTGCAGAAGCAATACAAGCCCATTTATCACCCATGTAATAAGAATCCGTCAAAATCTCCTACAAAGATATGAGAAGGGACTGGAAAGACCTCTTCCTCATGATTAATTTTACGCCCAGAAGTTACCAATTAGTTCTGGTATTGGTAAGACTATAGATATCCGCTACTTGCGTATGGGGGTGGGAGGGGAGTGGGAGGGGGTGGGAGGGGGAGAGTTTGGGTTCAGGGCAAGCCCCCTACCCTTCCCCCCCTGCAGAAAACTATAGTTTATGAGTAATAATTTTTTTAATATAACCTCACTTTTTTAGACAGGAATATGGAACCAAAGTTACTTATGCAACAGCTTCGGCACTGCGGGGAGTGCAGCCCCTTCGTCCTTACGTAGCAAATTGTAGGCATCTGTGCGAGCCGTAGCGGCTGAAGCTGATCGCCGCAAGCTTCCAATACGTTCAAATAGGTCCAAGAGGTGAGCATGGATACCTGCGATTTGCTACGGCGCGGCAGGCGAGGGCTGTTCTCCCTCCGCGCTTACTAGCTAGCTTTACAAAAACACTCTAGGGTTAGGGCAGGCAAGACTACGTGAAGTCGGGGCGTGCTGATTCGGTTTTAGTACAGATTCGACCTATCTTATCTCTAAAGTCAGATTGCCGTAAACTCTGCTAGTGGTAAATGAAACAATATAATGTGAATTCATATAATTTTGTTTAAAAAAAATCGTTCTGTATGAGTCTCATTTTTAACCACAAACGAATTGTCTAGGTCAGAGTGATTAACGCTTAACTTAACACTGGCAAGCCTCCTAAACAGAAAACATAATTAAAATTAAGTATCGGACGTCTACTTCATAATACTAGACCAAATTGACATATTTGCGTTTCGTTATACGCAATTTATAATGATATTTATTTTTATCGTAATGAATTCAGGACTCATTTCCGACATTCAAAAACAGGGTAAAGGTTCTTAACCCTGATAAACCTCCTAAATTGAAAACATAACTAAAATCAAGTACCTACGGGACGTCTATATTCAAATTCCTAGTACCTACCTATTTATCAAAATTTGTCATTGCAATCAAAAATGAAAATCTCATTTAACTCATTTTATCAGTGACCTATAAAATTATGGGTAATTGTGTAATTTTATTCATAAAATCATTGACGATGTTTCGAGTTATAAAAATAGTACAAGGCCGATGACCATTACATAAGGTAAAATAAACAAACTGTCGTAAGGTCGATTTTCGCTTAACATTCTGCATAATATTTACTCTATCGTTTGTGACTTTCAAATAACTCAGTAACTGGCTCGAAATCAAAAAAAAAATCTCCCAGTAATCATAATATAGGTCAAGAAATAAATTTTTATTTCGGTTCATTGAAAGGGATTACTCAAACAAAATTTTAAAAAACTTGGTAAATCCAATTGTGCATCCCCTAAGCGCATTAAAAAAATTACGTATACCTAACGCAATTTTTAGTACGTAAATTTTTAAAGTAGTTTAAATACACACTTTTCACTAATTACCTTATTATTATACTTCCAAATTTCCAATAATTTTATGTCAAACTTCAATTAAAAAAAGTTGAAATGTGCACGACTCATAATGCTCATGTGATCATATCATCATTGAGGTCACTCCATAAAGTCCAAGACGTATAATTTAAGTATAAATATACTTAAATATATACATCCTACTTACTTTTAGTAGGTAGTACTATTATTTATTCTGTGCTTTTAAAAATTGTAAAAAAATCTGTGATTATTATAATAATCAAGTATGTATCAAATTTGGTTATTCGAATATTTTGTACTTGTACTCGTACAGCAATCTTTTCAAGCCGCTGCAAACAACCGATACATTATCCACTCACTACGGCGGCTGACGCCGAATTGGCCGAAGTGAGTGAGTGAGGCAGTCTATTTAGTAAAATGAATTATTACAAGGCAGCTCAAAACACCGGAAACTTCTGGATTACTAAGCCGAAAAAAATTAATTATAAATAAACAAAACAAAATTAAACTGCCTTTTATATTCCATGGGTTCCCACATGATAGATGAAGAGATTAAAAAATAGATTTAATTAAACAATTGATATTTTCAAAAGTTATCGTGTTTACCACTCCATGCGGACTTGATAAATCTACACCACTACTAAAACCACTTTATTATGTAAAAATAGCAATTAATAGATTTAAAAAAATATTAATTAGTTCAAAACTCTTTATCTTTCTGACAATGTGCTTCTTATATAATTTATATGTTCAATATGATTGTTAGATACGATTTTATGCGACAAAACGTTGGAATGGAATCTTGATTTTTATGGATGCCATACACGATCCAGTTTACCGTCAAGTTTGCAGCGCGCTTGAAGCGGCGTCCGGTAAACTTGACGATGTATGGCTACCAGTGTGCATGACAAGTCTACTTGAAGCAAAAATTGAACTTGCAGCGGCATGCAAACTTGAACGTGTGTATGAGCGGTCAAGTATGCATGACGGTAGTCCGAGCAAATAAGCGAGAGACGCCATGGTTGAACTGACGCGGCATCATGCAAACTTGACGGCGAACTTGAACGTGAGTGGTCTATATGGATGCACTGCAAACTTGATGCCGCTTCAAGCGCGCTGCAAACTTGACGGTAAACTGGATCGTGTATGGCATCCATTAGGCGATAGTAGAACATAACTACGCGCTTTGCGCTTAAGGCATGCAACATATTTCAAGTAAGGTACGTGTTATTACCAATATTTGGGTATCAAGAACAGAACGTATTTGTTTACTTTAAACATAATAAGGTGCTGAATATCAATAAATAAAATCACCTACATTTTTCAGTACGGTGAGTTTCAAAAAGAAACTTAAATAAAAATAAAAGGGTTGTAGACCTTTGGAGAATATAGGTCAGTGCTGTTTATTATTTTTGTCAACATAGTGGTAGGTATGTTCATAACAAATCCACAAGTCCACAACCCACAATAAGACATACGTTATTATTGACTCATAATTCGCGCTATATGTTTATGTAATGTGTTAGTAACATTCAGACGCAATGCAATGCTTTGTTTGTTGACTTACATGGAATGTTCGCCACAGCCGTCGCATTCCGATTTCCTTCTAGAACATTTCTCAGGAGACTTATCCTTGACATCGGAGTTCAACATCGACTTTCTTTCAATGATCCGTTTAAACAACATAATAGCAACAACAGAATTTGTTGCTTTCTACAATTATCGCGTATATGACGTATGTTTGATATGTTTAGTACGGCCGTTGGTGGTACCTCGTAGGAACGATGTTCCATTAGATTGGCAGAGGAGCCAATTTCACCTCTACTGCCAAACTTACACTGCACTAGGACGTAACACACCGACGTGCGTAAAATTGTCTCAACGAACGATCGAATAACCGAAACCCCGCTCCACTTCAATCCCCTCTTGTATAATACCACAGACTAAATAAAATAACATTTCAGTACCACAATAGAATCTAAAAAATGCGCGTCATGTTCAAGTTAAGTAAATTGATACAAATTCAACATTTCATTTATATCGCATAATAAAGACAAAACCAAAATTCATTTACAATTGCCTAAAGAAAAAAATGTATATTAGTTTAGGAATACTGACTTGGGATTAGACTGTGACATTCGGACTTTATTAGTGTGCACTACACAATATCATAAAAAATATTGTGGGTAAATTAATTTTAAGACTATCTTGTAATTTTAGAATCAAATTTCATAGTTTAGGTAGAAATTGTTGTCATTTCAAATTGTTGATGTCAGATTGAAGATCATGTTTTAAACTGAAATAATTTACTACTAATTTTCACACGCTTTCATAAAAATATTATTTTTTAATTCTATTAAATTTCTATTAAATTCTAATTTAATTTATGATATATTTGACTTGACCAAAACTGAAAAAATATAAGTAATTTTTTATTTTTCAAAATTATTTTCATCAATTGAAATTGCACAGCAATAAAGTCTCAGGAGCACGTGGAGAGCGCATGCTCACTGCATGTACAATTCTTGCCCCGCGCGTCTCTCTCGACTACCGCCGTGTCCATACGATCACGAGCTGTTAGCGTGCACAAAAAGCAGGTTTGTGCACCATTCGCTAAATTATCGCTCTGTTGCACATGCATTGGTGCAATTTGTATGGTAGGGATCATCCGTAAATCACATAACGTTTCTTTTGAACGGCCAATCTCCATGTTTACACATTACAAGCATTCAGCGTGATCCTTCTTCCGATACAAATATTTTAAAAGAGAAGTGTTACCTATCTAATAAACTCACACCTCATCGTCCATGTAATGCCCTTAAGAAATTAATGGTCATCCGCTTCCATCTGTAAAATCTATCAAATTTAGTGTAAAATGACCTTAAGACGGACTTACCTCAAACAGTAAGGAAAGTCCGTCTCGAAGCCGATTTAAAAAAAAACCTCTTTTTTTATTCTTTTTAAAAAACGTTACCCCCACACTAGGATTTTCTCCTGTATCGTGGAGGCAGTTTACAAACACAAATTGCACAAGGACAAACATCCAAACCCGGAACAATTATTTGTAGGCCATACAAATACTTGTTCCGTGCGGGATTCGAACCCGCGGCCCCCAGCGCAGCAACTCATTGCTAAGCCACTGCGCCACGGAGTCGTCAAAATTTAATATATTTAAGTGTTATTTGACATTAAGGCAATTAAAATGTTTTTAAAATAGCCAAGACAATATTTTTCATCATTTGTAATTATAAGAATTAACGTAGCATGTAAGTATAGTTGCATTAGTTTGGATTAATCAAAGTTGACTATTAAAAAAGTATGCCGGTCTTCCCCACATTGAACTTACCTTATAAATGATTATTGACATATTATGCAATGCACTTTATGTCCTAATAAGATGACAGGATATGGGCAGTAGTATTATTCTGACCATCATCATCATCATCATTACGGCCCTTCACAAGTCCACTGCTAAACATAGGCCTCCGCCAAGGAATGCCACAAAGCACCGTCCTGAGCCACCTGCATCCATCGACTTCCTGCATGCCTTACCAGGTGCCAACCCTGCAAAATCTGCACAGTATGTCTTAAAAATAAGGACAAAAAATCCGTTCTTAAGGATATACAGGAGATGAAGTTTTTATAGACGACATTAGGGGGTAACCTTGAGCTTGTGATAATAAATTTTGAATTAAAAGTAAAAGCCGACGGACTAGGTACATAGAACTTCACATACTTAATAATACACATTCTTATTATTATACTAGCTGTTCCCCGCGACTTCGCCCGCGTGTAATCCCAAGGCGTAGTCCCGAATTCATGGAAGACAGCTTTTGTCCACCCGATCCCTAAAAAAGGCGACCGCTCAGACCCATCCAACTATAGGCCTATCGCGATCACCTCCTTGTTCTCCAAAATAATGGAATCCATTATTAACTGCCAGCTCATCCGGTACCTTGAGGATCACCAGCTGATTAGTGACCGCCAATACGGTTTTCGTCGGGGTCGATCAGCTGGTGATCTTCTGGTCTACCTGACCCATAGATGGGCGGAGGCAGTAGAGTCCAAGGGGGAGGCGTTGGCCGTTAGTCTGGATATTGCGAAGGCCTTCGATCGGGTTTGGCACAAAGCGCTTCTTTCGAAGCTCCCTTCCTATGGGCTTCCCGAGAAATTGTGCAAATGGATCATCAGCTTCCTTGCAAATCGGAGCATCAAGGTCGTTGTAGACGGTTCATGCTCTGACTACAAGCCTATTAACGCTGGTGTTCCACAAGGCTGTGTGCTATCACCAACGCTGTTTCTTCTACATATCAATGATATGTTGCTAACTGGTAACATTCATTGCTATGCGGATGACAGCACTGGTGATGCTCTATACACCGGCCGTGCCAATATTTCTCGGGAAAACGTCGCTGAGTACCGGAACAAACTTGTGTCTGAAGTCGAGTCTTTGCTGAGCAAAGTCTCGGATTGGGGGCGACTAAATCTAGTCCAGTTTAATCCTCAGAAGACACAAGTTTGCGCGTTTACCGCTAAAAAGAACCCTTTTGTCGTATCTCCTCAGTTTCAAGGCACTCCCCTTCTTGCCTCAGCCAGTATCGGTATCTCGGAGTCGACATATCGAGTGACGTGCAGTTTCGTGGTCACTTGGAAGGGAAGGCCAAATTGGCCTCTAAAAAGCTTGGCGTGCTCAGCAGAGCGGGACAGTATTTCATGCCGGCACACCGCCTGCTACTTTACAAGGCGCAAGTTCGGCCTCACATGGAATACTATTCCCATCTCTGGGCAGGGGCTCCCCAGTGCCAGCTTCTTCCACTTGACCGCATCCAACGCAGAGCTGCGCGAATCGTCGACGACCGAGCCCTTTCCGATCGGCTCGATTCATTGGCACTGCGAAGAGATGTTGCATCCGTTTGCATTTTCTTTCGCATCTACCATGGGGAGTGCTCTGAGGAATTGTTCGGATTAATCCCAGCCGCCAAATTTCACGAACGCACATCGCGGCAGAACTCCCGATACCATCCACACCATCTGGATGATTGGCGGTCCACCACTGTGCGATTTAGAAGATGTTTTCTTCCTCGCACGACCTCCTTGTGGAATCGATTACCATCAGCGATTTTTCCGGACCGATACGACTTAGGGACCTTCAAGAAAAGAGCGTACTCCTTTTTAAAAGGCCGGCAACGCATCTGCGATTCCCCTGGTGTTGCAGTTGTTCATGGCCGGCGGTAGTCACTTACCATCAGGTGAGACGCATGCTCGATTGCCCCCTCTCCTATAAAAAAAAAATTTAGGGTTTTAATTTTTTTGCGAGAAACCCTAATTATTTTTCTAAACTAAAAGTAGCCTAAGTTACTCCTTATAGCATCAGCAATCTGCCTGTGAAAGTCCCGTCAAATTCGGTCCAGCCGTTTCGGAGATTAGCCGGAACAAACAGGCAGACCGATAAACAGACAAAAATTTTAAAAAGTGTATTTTTGTTATAAGTACCGTTTATACTTTCATATGCATTTAGTAAAAAGCTGTAATTTTGACATTACAAACAGACACTTCAATTTTATTTATTTGTATAGATTTCTTACATACAACACACTATGTTAAAATATTATAATATGTCTATTACCGACTTTAGTGTGTGAAATTATTTAATCATAGTGGCTTTTGCTTTTTATTAATAATAAAAATAATATTTTCTTAATGTTACATACGAGGGTTATAAGATAGAGCCATGAGTACTTCAGGGGATAAGCGCTCGTTATAAATTTCACAGTACGCAAGCAATCTGAATTCGATCCTCACCGGCACCATTGCAAATATTAATTGATTGCGAATTTAAATAATGACAAAATATTCACGTCTAAATCACTTTTTTAAAGTAACTTAGACGCCTCAGAAATCTCTCTTTCGAAATTATAAGTAGCCAGTGTGTCTTCTTTGCTTTCAAACCTTTCGTCTTTTAATTTTTATTTATAGAAATAAGAGGAACTAGGATTTTCTAAATTTTTAGTATCGTGGAGGCAGTTTACAAACAGTAATTGCACAGGGACAAACATCCAGACCCGAAACAATTATTTGTAGGACATACCCATTCAAATTCAATGGGTAGTGACCAGGGCGAATAACGGTATATTTTTCGAAACGTTTTCGCCTTAAATACCTAAAATCTTATTTGTTTCGTTTACTCGTATGTTCGAACGGAATCATAATAACAACGTTTATGAACAGAACGAAATTTTTAATCGTTATTGTTTAATAAAACGTTTTTAATAATTCTAAACAGTTTTTTCCCATTTTTTGGCAACAAAAATGCCTTATAGGTTTAAACTTGTCGTGGCATGCGCCATTCATTTAGCTTCCTGCGGAATAAACCGTTTTTTACGTTTTCACATTACGTTCTCATTTCGGTTTTGTTCCAAACAAAATGTTATACAAGGAACCGTCCCAAACGTTTTAAAAACGTTATTTTTAATAACGTTTCCGAACCCTGGTAGTGACTGCATTAGTCAGAAAATGGTCATCCCTCTCATCGATCTCCTTTCACCTGTGATCACTTCTATCCTGAATAATTCACTGAATTCTTCTTTTTTCCCTTCAGCTTTGAAAGATGCATTTGTAGTTCCTCTTCCGAAAAAGTCGAATCCCTCTAGTTGTTCTGATTGTAGAGCTATCTCTATCTTGCCTTTCCTTTCCAAAGTTCTTGAACGTCTTGTGCACAATCAATTAAGCACCTATCTTTTAAAAAATATTTTTTTAAGTCCTTTGCAATCTGGTTACCGTCCTGGCCATAGTACGGCTACTGCACTTTTACAAATCACTTATGATACTCGGTATGGTGTGGAGAAACAAAAGCTTACCATTCTTACGATACTTGATTTTAGTAATGCATTTAATACAGTAGGTTTTTATATCTTGTTGGGCATCCTGCGCTTTCTCAACATATCTCTCAACATATCAGTAGTTGACTGGTTTCGAAGTTACTTGTTTGGTCAAGATGTTTTTTCCACCTGGACTACTACAGCGGCTTGCGTACCACAAGGTGGCGTGTTGTCTCCTCTCCTGTTTGCAAATTTCTTTAGCTCTATAAGTCATAATTTGTCCACTTCCTACCACTTGTATGCTGATGATCTCCAAATCTATACTCAATTCTCTCTTGAAGATTTGTCTAAAGCAGTTGACACTATTAACGCTGATCTGACTTGTATTTCGAATTGGAGTAAACGTTATGGCTTAACGATGAATCCTAAGAAAACTCAGGACATTGTCATCGGTAGTTTTAGATTAATTGGAAAAATTGGTTGGTCTTCCCTACCTCCTATTTTACTAGACTGCACTCAAATCCCTTACAGTAACAAGGTTAAAAACCTGGGGTTGCATCTCGACTTTTGTATGTCTTGGACCTCACAGGTTAATAAGGTTAGTGGAAAAATATTTGCTGCTTTAAGCTCTTTACGTAGATTACGTAATTTTCTTCCCACCCACAGTAACTAAAGTTACTCTCGCCCAGTCTATACTTCTGCCTATCCTTGACTATGCTGATATTTGCTATCTTCACAGGAGCAGCTTAATAAGCTTGAGCGCATTCAAAATTTATGTATTAGATTTATATTTGGCCTTTGCAAATATGATCACATCTCTGAATTTCGCAAACAGCTCAAATGGCTCCCGATCCGCCTTTGCAGAAATACTAACATTCTCTCCGCTTTGTATGGCGTGCTGTTTATTACTTCCACTCCTCATTATTTAAAAGACCGTTTCCAGTATCTTTCCCTTACCCATAATCGGTTCCTTCGATCCTCTGTCAATCTTTCTCTCTCTACTCCTTCGCATTCTTCCTCTTTTTAGGGTTCCGTAACTCAAAAGGAAAAAACGGAACCCTTATAGGATCACTTTGTTGTCCGTCCGTCTGTCTGTCTGTCTGTCTGTCAAGACCCTTTTTATCAGGAACGCATGGAGTTATCAAGCTGAAATTCATTTCAAATACTCAAGTCTACTGTCCCTTAGAGCTGTGAAAAAATCAAACTTCTAAGCCAACGCAATCAAAAGATACAGCCGTTTATGCCGTAAATTTTCGACATTCGCAAGGGAATGAAAACCTACAGGGTACTTCCCGTGAACTCAGAATCTTGAAATTTGGTACGAAGCAACGTTTTATAGCACAGATAAAGGAAAAATTTCGAAAAGCATAAATTTTTAGTTACATAATATTATAATAAAAATATTTATAATAATTTTAAACTTATATACCTACAGATTTGTTCGGAACCCTCGGTGCGCGAGTCCGACTCGCAGTTTGCCGGTTTTTTTAAGAAATCCCTTACTGTAACTGCTGTACGTTTGTGGAAACGTAACTCTTTACCTCTCCACATTCGTCGTGCTCAATCTCTTCATTCTTTCAAAAGTCTTGTTATATCTTATTACTTAGAACGCTATTAGATAAATTACTGTTCCTTTTTCTTACTCTTTTCATTTAATCTATTATATGATATCGTACATAATCTTCACTTATCTTTATTTATATGTATTTACTTATTTTTATTTTGTACGCCCCCCTCTATTTTTTAACTATCGTTTGCATCAGTTCTCTACGCTAAGGTTGTCTGGAAGAGATAACTTTCAGAGTGATAAGACCGCCTGTTGTACATATTCTAATTTAGATTTAACTGTACTTGTTATTTTGTATTTTGGTGTACAATAAAGAGTAAATAAATAAATAAATAAATAAACACTTGTTCCGTGCGGGATCGAACCCACGGCCCCAGCGCTGCAAGCCACTGCGCCATTTACCCGTCAAATAGTAAGTGGATGCTGTGGCCTATGTGGCGTCGGATGGTAAGTGGATGATGTGTCCCTTTAACCCCTACATCTTTAATCGCTTAAGAATCTCACTAAGTATACGAAACGGAAGCATTATATGTAGGTACTTTTATTTCACGCTGGTATTCTGTGAGATGATTTCTGGAAACAAGTTAAAATTGCAAGATACTAGGTAGGTGTGGCGCTGCGTTGTCGTGGTGCCAGAGAAGGTGCCAATAATGAAGGTAGCAATACGACCCGTCTTGCAGAAAATCGAGGTGTCCAATTGTTTCTTATGTGCTTCGTACACAGTGACGTTTTGTTAGAGTTGGTGCAACTTCAAAGCACTATACACACTGCCTGTAGCTTTCTTTCGGAATCATTGTTATAGTATAGCCATGCCCATGTTACATCGTCAGCCGTAAATCGTAAACTTTTTTCTCGGCGGCGTGAAATTTCTTTGTCGCGATTGGCACCAATCAACCTGAATATATTTTTACTCATATGTAAGTTTGTGCGGCACCTATCTCGAACACCACTTACGAAGAGAAAGTTTTTCGTAAATTGTGGTTTGCATTATTACCGATATAATACCAGGTTCTCGCTTAGTTTCCATTTTTTGTTTATGGTTTTATTATACGCGAATTATGATATAGGAATAAGACACATTTGTATAGGGATGAATACCACGCAATGTTTTTAGTAAATCAGTAAATACCTATAATTTTTTTTACTTATATCCGACTAAGGCAATACAAAGAAGCGAGTGGTTTTCCTGTTCTTCAGACCTTCAGATGTATTTTTATACTGCTTACAGGCGAAATAGATTGTTACCAATGTTAACTTCCTTAAAATATATTTACTATAAAAGTTGTGATATAGAGTTTATTTAATAGCACCTGTCTGTTAAAAGTGCAAAAAGAGTAAAGAGTTCAATTAAAAAGTGAAGTAACAGCCTATATTATATGGGCCACGGCTGGGTATAGGTATTCTCATTTCTGAGAGGGTTTTCTTGGAGCGGAGAAGAGTATCACTGTCCCGACACATTTTGTTCTCTTTACTTAAATTTTAAAATTTGGATTTAGTAATAAAGTGCATCTTATTCATTTATATTATTATTTACTAAGAAAATTCTTAAAATGAGACAAAATCCTTATTTTATTACAATATTTTTTTTTAATTTCAATAAGAGTAAATTAAATTGCAGACATCCAATAAGAAAGGATTTAGGAAAATTCTATTCAAAAGAGTGTGAAACAGTGTATTACAGTGTGTAGTAAGTGAAACAGTATTTTACGGGGGATTGACTGGATACTTACTGAAAATACTGTATAATTAAAATAAATAAATACGTGTCTTGCAATTTTGAAACCAACCCCTTGCAATATGGTAACATCATACCGTAGCACCAATAAAATTGGTGATGGCGCTTGCTTATTTAGGAAAATCTCTTAGATCTCTTGTATGGGGACCAAGTGATGGTAAAAAAAAAATTCGCTAGTAAATTATGGATTATGCTTTTGCAGTCATTATATTTTTTATTTAAGTACAATATGAAACACAAGCGTATAGTTTGCCCGATTATTTTCGTAAATAGTTCGTTTGTGGGTCCGTCCATTAGTACGTTTGTGGGCGCTTCTATTTGTTCTTCATTAATTTGTCTGATTGACTGACTTACTGAATGTTTTATCCAGGATCTTTCCAGATCGTCGCGACAGTTAAAAGTACAATCAATCATCAATTATCATAACAAAAGTACCTACTAATTCCACGCGAACGAAGTCGCGGGCACTGCTGGTATAAAATATTATGAAAAAGTAAAATACCTTAGCTTAATTTAACAAAAATAATTACTTTTATTTTTTACGAGATCTCCGAAGTTTATTGAGATGCTTTTTGATTACTTTAGTAATATTACAATTCTTGTTTAAAAAAAACTAAAGTAATATTTTAAAAAGAAAAGATTTGTTTGTTTCTTGTAATTTTGTTTTTATTTTATTATTTATTTACAATATTAAAAACTATGATAATAAAAAAAAACTAAAAAAAAAGAGAACCAGAAGAAAGAAAGACCACCAGACACTCATTAGTAAATGCAACATCACAGCTCCTAGAACAATGCAACGTCACATCGGTTTATCTAGCAAACGTCAACATTCGGGTGGCCTTAAGAAAAGGGGAAAAGGAACGGGCATCCGGAACTCTCACTCACCAGACGAAACATGGCAGCCACTAAGAAGCTAACCACTTCACGCTGATTTTCTGTGAGAGGGTAGTATCGCACCGGTCGATCCTGCTCATTTATGTGTTACAGTGAACTGTAAACGTGGATCTACTACCAATTTTTTTTATTAATGTTTAGATAATATTTTTTTAGAAGTTTTTCTGTTTTTAGTTGTGGCATTTTTCTAAGATCTTATTAATTGGTTAGCTGTTTAATTTTGAAATATTTAATTTTTTACGTTTTGTGCTACATAATATTTTGTTGACGAAAATGGTAAAAGGTACATGTACGTAATTGTGTTTAAAATTATCCTGGCATTAACAGTAAAAAATGTTATATGATTGATATATTTCATTTTCTGTATAATCTTATCCAAATAAAGTGAAAAGTTTGAGAGCCTCTAGTTCAATCTTTCCCCTGCGGGGCAAGATTGAAATATAAAGAACAAATAAGTTGTGTTATCTGTGTTATTTGAAGGTATTTTGATATTATAGACAGTTCTGAAGTGTCAGGACAATTAAAATTGTTGCCTACTGACCGTCAATATCGTCTGACATTAATTTGAACGATTTTAGAAACAACTTCATCTTTCCCCACCACCCTTTCATTTCCCTTTCTTTTCCCCTGTTTTTTTCTTTCGATAAAAACATTGCAATTAATTTTTTTTTGTTTTCGAACATAATATAACAGGGATTTATCGATATGACATAAAAATATGCTCTTTGTACTTTATTCACTATGGATATAATTTTAGCTTATGTTAATATGTATTGTTCTACAATACGTCAAATACAACACTGCTCATCTCATCAAAAAACCGTTCGATCTTCCCCCCACTTACACTACCAAAAGCTACAAAATTCATTACTTGCTGTGTACTGCGAAAACTATATATCTATACTCGTACAAATAAATAAAATTGAAGTGTCTGTATGTAATGTCAAAATTATAGCTTTTTACTAAATGCATATGAAAGTATATACGGTACTAATAACAAAAATACAATTTTTAAAGTTTTTGTCTGTCTGTCTGTCTGTCCGTCTGCTCTGTCTGTTTGTTCTGGCTAATCTCCGAAACGGCTGGACTGATTTTGACGGGATTCGCACTGGCAGATAGCTGATGTCACAAGGAGTAACTTAGGCTACTTTTATTTTAGAAAAAGAATTAGGGTTCCGCGCAAAAAAAATTAAAATCCCAAATAACACGCCGGCGAAATCGCGGGGATCAGCTAGAATTATATATAAACGTTTATTTTCTCACAATTGTTAAATTTACTTACAATTTTTCCATTCGTTAGTAGCACACATACAGTATTAACATGTCAATTTTATATTAAAAAAAGTTAAAAAAGGACTACTTAATACAATATTTTTATACACATAGGAACGTTTTTTTTTCATAAATGTTATAATAACTGTTACAATATTATTTTTGCTTTACAAACGAAGTTTCCAAAAACATTTACAATGTACTTAAATTATATTTTTATAACTAAATAACTGCTCTAAAATTGCCCTTACTACCTATTAAAAGTCCACTGCTAAACATAGGCCTTTTTTATCGTGGGGAAATCCTTATGGATACCTTCTGCTGCGGGGGCAACACAAAGGTTATGCCGGACTGCTACCGGCCAAAACCCCACGGTGGTCTCCATCAGCGTATATGAGGGGTCCCGGGATCTCCGTCCGGAACGAAACCGGTGCCCCTCTCTCGCTTTGCTCTATTAAAGCACGTCCCGGGGGCAGTCCTTACTAACCCCAGCACCCTCGCAATGCTATCACGGTGCTTGAGACCACTTTCGAGTCACCGTCCTCGTCAGGTGTTACATCACTAGACGCTCGGGACCCCCGCCCCGAACGCCCGTAACCCCCGAGGCATCGTTTCTGGTAGGGGGACACCATCATCAAGGCGAGGGTCGTGACGAACGCCTTGGCGGCGTCGTCTCCGAGCGGGATCTGTCCTCTCCCGACACCACTCAGCAGCCTCCTTCTGAACCACAACCGATTCACAGAAGGCGGCTACGGCCCTCCACGCGGAGTCCCTGCTTAGCATCGCCGACACGACTGCTGGCAGGGAGAGGTTCTGACCGATCCGGCTTACCAGGATCGTCCGCTCCCGTTCCCACGCTGGGCATGTTACCAGCGTATGGGATGCGGAGTCCTGTTCCTGCCCACCGCAGTGGAAACAGTTCGCTGTCGCTTCAAGTCGCGTCGCGTCCATAAATATAGGCCAACCCTGTAGATTTCCTCATAGGGTGCCATCTATCATTCATAGTCTATCTCCTTGTTTGTATCGCTCTGTCGCCTTTTACGAAACCTACAGAAAGCTATGGGATAGGGGAAATTCTTACACCACCGATCCACGGTCAAGTAAATATTACTATATTATAATATTTCATATTTAAATATAACATAATTAATCTGTTCCAAACGAAAAGCAGTCATAATAAAAATTGGATTTCTCGCAAAAAAATTTTTGTCGATTCACTGTAGGCACTGATTAATTATTTACTTTCATATTTATGATTTTACTTTTGCCATCGTATTATACTTTTACTAGGCTTTTACATAGAAACCGCTCCATTTTTAACCGAGTTTAAATACTAAATTCGACGACGAATGTTTTCAAATGTGTTTTGTGATTGCTCCTTTTTCCTTTGTGATGGCTGAACTGATTTAAATTATTCTTTTTGTATTAAATAGGTTATATTTCAGGGGAACCTTTATAAATTTAAAGAATGAAACTAAAATCAAAAACTATTTTTTTTTTGTAACACAGAGAGTAAAAATTTTAAGATGAACCTATTTAAACGACTTTCTAGTTACCGCCTTGAACTTGTGATGTATGTATCTTACACGACAAAAAAGAGTAAAATAAATAAATACTCAATAAAAAGCACAAATGGACTTCAGAACTAAAACAATAGAAATATATTATATTATTTTATATATATATATATATATATATATATATATATATATATATATATATATATATATATATATATAATAGCTTCTGCAGTAGTCACTTTCATTCTTCAATATACAATGTCTTAGTACCGACGTCAGAAGGTGGTACCTACATGAAATTTGTTTTTGTAGTTTTGTACTTTTTTTAAAAGTTGAATTTTTTAAAAGTTTACTTCTTGCGTCACTTTTTAGTTATCGTATTGGAATATTACTCAAATAGTTCATTTCATTTTTAATCCGTAAATCAGTGAAGGAAAACAACACGAAGAAACCTATTGCTTAAAGACACGTTGTAAATAAAGTTCATGTCTATAAACCACAGAGCACCACTGACCACCGGCGGCACGGAGGCATGTAACCATACGCAGGCGTTCCCCTCTGTCAAATTATAAGTCCACGCAGTCCTATGAGTACAACAAAATTAGTTGCAGCCGCATTGCTCACTAGACTAAATCTAGTTGCGCAGCTGAATCAACGTCCTATAAAAAATGTTGAATTGTTCAGTTTTCCTCTGCAAAAAGTGATCTGCCACGTCAAATGTTCAAAAAGATGGCGTTACATGCGTAAGCATCACATTAGTCTGTGGCGTTACCTTTCATACATAAGTAATTTTTAATCACATTATTGCTATTTACGTGTTTCTAAACTTAAAAATTACGTTAATAACGGTAGCTTCGGATTTGTTTACCAACATAGGCAGCTTGCCCTCATACAAAATGCAGATCGGTCGAGCGACTGATCCGAGTTTGCATCCGAGATGTCACTGTCATCGAACTAAACAAACAGTATCGACTGTTATAATGTATCTGTGTGTGTAAATTTGTTTGTTATTGTTTGAATTATTATGAGTGAGTTTCGTTGTGGTAGACGATTGTTTTTGTGTGCCCCGATTTCCCCCCCCCCCCCCCCGTAAAAAATGACAGACAGTCCTGTATCGGGAAAAAGCTCCCGTGGCCCGTGTTGCTCTATGTTTTCAACTCATTGCTAGTATGACGAGTCGAAATGCTATCCGCTCCATAAATCTATAATCCTTTCAGAATTGAAATATGTGCGAGTTTTTTAATTACCCTTGATGTATAAATACAGTTTTCTCCACTAAGAGTCTTTATTATACGACTGCTAGATATGGACCCTCTCATTACAGTAAGGATTTGCCATAATCGCCTGTTAGAGAATTTTAATACGTAAAAGTATAACTTGTATGCGAAATCCAGGGCGGCCCACCATTACATGGAGTAACGACCTAGTAAGAGATGCGGGAAGTCAATGGATGCAGGTAGCTCAGGATCGTGCTTTGTGACATTCTTATGGAGAGGCCTATGTCCAGCACAGGACTTGTGAAGGGCTGTAATGATGACAATTTTGCGTATTAAATATCTATATATGTAAACTATCTATTATTTGACTGCCTACTGCTTCATTAAGTTGTCGTCAAAATATCCCAAAAAGTTCGTAATGAATATTGTAAACAAAATATACGTCAAACTGGGCTGTATGAGCATAGATCTCTTTGCTTTTAAATAATTTAAAGTATTTTATCAATGTCATTCAGTGTGACCATATGTGGCAAGTTCCTACCATTTTGGCAGGATTGGCCTCATATTTTAGTTTCTAGCATGATCGTTTGACTTTTTATAAAACCTGGCAGTATTGGGCTATTAAAAACAGATTTCATTATTGAAAACTTAAAATGCCAAAAATGGCAAGCCTAAATACTATGCAAGCATGTGGGGGATTTCCCTGTACTTTTCGTATTATGTTGTATTACATTCAATAAACAACTTTGGCATCGCATAAGATTTCATGAAGACAATACCTTGTTAGCGATATCTTGTTAATAATAATTCGTCGACGATAGTAATTATAGGTGGTGGTGATATAGCGAAAATAAGAATGGGCGTATAGAGCGGAGTGGAAGCAAGGTCCTTTACTTTCATCGCGGATCTCCAAAGCTGAAGATGATCCAGACTGTGTAACTGCAAAATGGCATCCCAGCTGTCCGCTTTAAAGGAGCCTAAATTTTATTAACACAAACACACGAAACAGATTTATAAAGAAACGTGTAGCATCTATCTTGCACGTTAAACAAGGCATTGGTGAGCACAGCAATTGCATTGCATTCAAACCAACGAAGGATATGTTTAATTCTAATTTAATAAAAATTTTGCATTTAAATGTGGGTTTTTAACCAAATTAAGGCAGGATACGTATTTTAAAGATGATCACACTGATGTCAATTGTCAAGTGTCAAGGTGTCAAGTCTTTCAATCTTTCAAAAAGCAAAAGCAATGGGAGATATTTAAATGAATTAGAGGAAAGAAAACTAATTTATCAAAGGTTTTATATGGTGGATATTTGTCACCAATTATGGCGTCTCATTTAAGCACAAAGGATAGGTTGTTGTCGATAATAGATGACATGGAACTAATTGCTAAGTAAGGAATTTTATACAATTAAAATAATATTGCTAATCTGGTGCAGTAAGGTACGTTGGGGTAATACCGGACGGATTTTCGAATAGTTGGAAGAGTCTGCCAAAAACTTTAATTTCTCGACATTCGTATACGTCAGATTTATGGAACATGGAGCAAACCGTTAATCGTTAAACGTAGTTTAGCTCTGAGAATCTTTTGCTTGTGTAAACTCAACGGTTTCTGCTTTAAAGGTGTGCGAAAACTAGACATACTTTTTTATATGCATAATGAAAAATTGGCCATTAAGGGGTAAGACCGGACTTAAATTTAAAACAACTTCTACTGCTTAGAGAAAAAAGTTTATAAAAGAGATTTGTCCTATCTTTAACGCTCAAAAACATATTTCAATATGATCTATAAATTACTAGAAACATAAATGTTCCAAACGATTTTCTCTTTTTTTGTTTCTTGCCATCCGATCTTATCCCTGATATAAAGAAATTGTAATTTTATGTTTCTCAAACTTTGTTATGACATAAGATGGAATTACTCAATATAGGAGAAAGATCGGATGCATTTGATTTTATATGGGAAAAAAAATAACAGTAAGAACTGGCGAAATGACCTGGGATAGTGTAGGAGTTAAGGAAGATATAAATATTTTAACAAAGCGGCATTTATTATTATAAATTATTTTTTAAATAATTATTATAAATTACATTTTGATTTGTAATAGAGGATAGATATGTCTATGGGTAGACAGGTCTATGGGCCGCACCAATCACTTAACATCAGGTGGACTGTGTGCTCCTTTGTCACCCTTATCCTATAAAAAAAAAATGTATTTTAATATGTACTTAAAAGTAATAAAACCATCGTATTGTTTTATTACTTTTAAATATACAGACTTGCTAATGAGACTGTGTCCCATAGTCACTTGAGTAATTAACGAAAAAATATACACGACCAATGAAAGTTTAACAACCACTGCCATATTTGTAACAGGCAAAGATCGGATAATATTCATCCGATCTTCACTCACGAGGGGAAACATCGGATCTCGGCCTACAGCGATCTTACCCTTGCATGGACCAGCTTTATTTAGATATAACTTCATAAAAATTAGTATCCACACAAAATAATAACAAAAGAAGCCATATTCTCGCTAAAAATCGTAAATAAAAGTGATAGGGAAAGATCGGATGGACAAAAATAATACAAAAATTACATTGTTTTATAAAATGCCACGCAGCACAGGTCCCACTTGCCGGAGTGACTGGCGCGAACTGAGGGTCGGGGCAGGATGAAATGGCGTCGTGTAGCATATTGTTAGCATTTCAAAATATAGCATAATTCGCCGGGAATTTGAATCCTACGGTCTTGCCCCATCACCGATCTTACCCCAACGTACCTTACTTTACCCCGTTTTCTGATTTACAGAGAAATGATCGAGGTTTCAATAGCACCGAAAGCACAAAAGTTGTCAGCCGCTGACCATGCTCAACTGACTGATTTACTCCTTGCGAAAGACGCAGAGTTAAAAAAAACTTTAGAATTAGCTGACGAACAAGCAAAGATTCAGCAAAAAATGAATGAACTAAAAGCTGAAGTAGATAATAAGGTAATGTATTAAAAAGAAGTTACAAATATAATACAGTTTGCAGGTAGCAGTATGTACAGAAACATTTATTTATTTATACTCTTTATTGCACACAAAATACTACACAGCACAAAAAACTTAAATTTATAAAAGTATGTACAGGTGGCCTTATTGCTATACAGCAATCTCTTCCAGGCAAATCTTGATGAAAGAGATAATTTTCATTTAAATATATAGAAGTGTGCATAAATAGTAGATAAACAAGTACATATATATTAAGTATATATAGTATATGAGATATATAACAATAAATACATATTTATAAATATTTTTGTAATACATTATAACTATATATCATATACACAAACCTTATTAAGAAAAGTAGATATGGTAATAAAATATTTATTCTTTTTTTTTTTCTTAAACGTTACCCCCACACTAGGATTTTCTCCTGTGTCGTGGAGGCAGTTTACAAACATAAATTGCACAAGGACAAACATCCAGACCCGGAACAATTATTTGTAGGCCATACAAATATATTTAGTAGAACACATATTTAAATAATAATCTTTAATCATCTGTTGAAAGACAATGCTTTGGGCTTTCTTAATTGTTAAAGGAAGCGAGTTCCATAATTTGATTGTTTTGACACAAAAGGAGGAATGAAAAAAATTTGAGTTGTAAAAAATTTTGAGTATTTTTATTTATTTATACATACATAATTTTTTTTAAATTTTCCAGGATCAGGATATTCATCACTTACAAAGACAGCTTAAAGATGCTGAACAAATTTTAGCCACATCATTATATCAAGCAAGGCAAAAACTAGCATCAATTGTAAAGTCAAGGAAGAGGCCAGTTCCATCGGAAGAATTGATAAAATTTGCTCATAGGTATGAATGAAAAATACTTATATATTTAAGTTGTCTATTCTTACTCTTAAGTTTTAAGCTTTTAATACATCTCTTATTAGTTACTTATTTTTTCAATTATACAATTGAAGTATCAAATGAACTAAAAGCCCAACTGATAAGGTCAGCGGCTAGGGCATTGCAATTAATACTTGTAACCAACTTCAAACAAAGTATAAACATACAATGTAGTCTCTGAACACTAAGATGGAATGCTTCACAGCTTGTTATTTACTGGCCCTCTGTTATATGTGGCACTGCTGAGTTCCTTGTGGTAGATATAAAAACTATATCTTAAAAAAAGTTGTTAGCAATTTTTAAGATTTTGAATTTCAAACACCAATGTGGCTAAAAACAGGCGCGTTGCAGCCGCAGGAGTAATTATTATATAAAATATTGTTTAATTAGGAATGATAATACATTCATTGAAATCTAATGATATGTGACTTTCAAATAAATTTGTCGGTACAATGCGTGCGCCACCTAGTGTAAGTTAATTGTACTATGCCTATAACCATCACGCTAGTGGAAGCAATAAATTGACAAAGTTTTAAATCAATCTGATGAATGGTATGGCTGCTCATAAAATACAAACATTTTTATATAATAGATGTTTATTAGAATTTAATTTCTATAAAAACTAATAATGTAATTGATATGAAATTTTCACGAAAGTACAAAGTAATTCTAAACACTAATAAATAATAGTATTATTACCTGAAATAGTATAGTTGTATATTCTATGAGACAAAAGTTGTAGGATCCCTTTATATAAAATAAAATTACATACTATAGTGTGGTGTCATCATCATTACAGCCCTTCATAAGTCCACTGCTGAACATAGGCCTCCCCCAAAGAATGCCACAAAGCACGGTCCTGAGCCACCTGCATCCATCGACTTCCTGCATATCTTACCAGGTCGTCACTCCATCTAGTGGGGGGACGCCCTACACTTCGCCTGCCGGTACGAGGCTGCCACTCGAGAACCTTTCTTCCCCATCGGTTGTCGGTTCTTTGAGCTATATGGCCGGCCCATTGCCACTTCAGCTTACTAATCCGTTGGGCTATGTCGGTCACTCTAGTTCTACTGTGGATATCCTCATTTCTGAGTTTATCACGCAGAGAAACTCCGAGCATAGCCCTCTCCATAGCTCGCTGAGCGACCTTGAGCTTCCTCATCCGACCAGCAGAGAAGGACCACGTCTCAGTTCCGTATGTCATCACTGGCAACACGCACTGGGTGTACAGTCTCGTTTTCAAGTTTTGAGGTATACCTGACGAGAAGATGTGCCGTAATTTCCCGAACGCTGCCCAACCGAGTTGAATCCGTCGATTGACCTCTCGGTCGAAGTTGGACTTACCTAGTCGGACTATTTGTCCCAGGTAAACATACTCGTCAACAACTTCGAGCTTAGTGTTCCCAACAACTACCGGCATAGGTGTGACATGGACATTAAACATGATCTTTGTTTTGTCCATGTTCATCTTAAGACCTATCCGTTGGGAAACACTATTGAGGTCATTGAGCATAGTGCTTAGGTCCTCCAGCGAATCTGCCATAAGGACTATATCGTCGGCAAATCGAAGGTGAGTGAAATACTCGCCATTGATGTTGATACCATATCCTTTCCAGTCCAGAAGCTTGAAAACATCTTCCAATGCAGCGGTAAAGAGTTTCGGGGATATGACGTCACCCTGTCTTACACCTCTCTGCAATTGGATAGGTTTCGTACTCTGGTTCTGTACTCGGATAGCCATCGTAGCCCTACTGTACAAGCACTTCAACACTTCGATATACCGACAGTCAACTTGGCATCGCTGAAGGGACTGCAGCACCGCCCAAATTTCGACGGAATCAAAGGCTTTCTCATAGTCCACATACGCCAGACATAGTGGCAAATTGTACTCCTCGGACTTCTGTACAATTTGCTGAAGGGTATGTATGTGGTCTATGGTGCTAAAGCCTTTTCGGAAACCGGCTTGTTCGGGAGGCTGGAAGTCGTCAAGTCTGCGCGCGAGACGATTCGTAATGACTCTCGAAAACAGCACGTAGACGCGGCTCAGAAGGGAAATCGGTCTGTAGTTCTTCAAGAGAGCGTTGTCGCCTTTCTTGAAGAACAAGACCACCGCACTTCCGCTCCACGCCTCCGGTGTAATGCCACCATGGAGGACGGAATTAAAGAGCTTCTGAAGGACTTCAAGTACCGGTTTTCCACCCGCTTTCAGAAGCTCCGCTGTAATTCCATCCTCGCCTGGGGTCCTGCCGTTTTTAAGGTGCTGGAGAGCCATTCTAATCTCGCTCAGACTGACGTCTGGGATATCATCGGAATAATGTCGGATAAGACTCGCTCTTGGATCGTTACTCACACTTGCGTGCGGCTCCAACGATGACGTGTATAGCTGCCCATAGAACCTCTCAATCTCGCTCAAAATCTCAGGTGCCCCGGAAACGATGCTGCCACATTCTGTCTTCAGCTTTGACAGTTGGCGCTTTCTGGCAGACAGATCTCTGGCAAAGACTTTGGAGCCTTGGTTCCGCTCGATCGCTTCTTCAATACGAGCTGTATTGAAGTTGCGTAAGTCCCGCCGCATGCATTTGGAGATCTGTCTGTTCAGTTGCCTGTATGCTGTTAAATCTGTTGAAGAATGTAGCTTCATCTCCCGTCTAACAGCCATGAGATTAAGAGTGTGATCGGAGAGTTTTTGTGTTTTTCTGCGGCGGGTCTTGCAGAACTTAGCTCCGACCGCATGGACAGTTTCCACGAGCTTGTCATTCAAATCGTCCACTTCATTGCAGTCTTCTAGGCACTGAAAACGGTTTTGTAACTCGAGCTGAAAGGTTTCGGGACTTTGGATTACAGCACGAGGGGGACGGAGCGTTGACTTCATTAGACGAGACCTCTCCAACTTAACATTTAGGTTCAGTGTGCCTCTAACCATTCGGTGATCGCTGCCGGTTTTCACCCTCACGATCACTGAGACATCACTGAACAGTTGTCGTCTGGTCGTCATAATGAAGTCAATCTCATTTTTTGTCGAACCGTCGGGGCTCGACCAGGTCCACTTCCTGTGGGGCCGCTTCTGGAAGAAAGAGTTCATCATAGAGTCCCTCTTTCTCCATGAAGTCAGCCAACTGCTGGCCCCTTGGGTTCCGTTGCCCTATTCCAAATTTCCCTACTTTCAGCTCACCGTTCTCTCTTGTGCCTAGTTTTGCATTGAAGTCTCCCATTAACACCGTATATTGGGTTTTGGAGGAATGCATGGCTCTAGAGATATCCTCATACATTTCCTCCACCTCCTGATCGGCGTGTGCCGAGGTTGGTGCGTAAACCTGTATGACCTTCAGCGAATACCGTTTGGTGATTCTGAGTATAAGGTACGCAACCCTCGTCGACACACTCTCAATCTTTACAACGTTGTTAACGAGAGACTTGTGGACGATAAATCCGACACCTCCTTGGGACAGATGGTCGCCCTCCCGGTAATAGAGCAAGTTGCCGGATTCAAGGATTACCGTGTCCTCCCCCTCTCTTCGGACTTCGGATAATCCTATAATATGCCAGCGTAACTTGTCTATCTCTTCTTCCAGCTCCACAATCTTCTCGTCAGTCCTCAGGGTGCGTGCGTTGTATGTTGCCAGGTCGAGTCGTCGTAGGTGGCAACCGAACCTCCACCGGAGATTCTTAGCACCCCATAGTGTGGTGTAAATAATATAATTTACACTACACATACATACAGTACATAATCAACTCAGTTTTATTTATTAGCTGTGTTAGCACAAGCTTATAGCTGGCAGTAAATTTCATGATACACATGCAGCCCGGGTTTGATCCTACGTACCTATGAAATTGTTTTTGCACAAATTTAAGTGGTGATTTATCATGAGGTTGGCTGTGAAGGAAAACATCTGAGAAAAGCTGCATGTCTGAGAAATACAAATAATTGAAACATTTCAAAGTCTGCCAACACACACTGAAGTAGCGCAGCAAAATAATTGCAACAAAACTCCCAGGAATAAGAGGAGGTGCCTAGCAGCTAGCCCAACTAGCTTTTAAGTTTATTGATTATTACATTATTACGTTTTTACTGTGTGTATTATGCTTCTTACCTATATAAAGAGAATTTCTGTTTTATATGCAGAATTAGTGCATCAAACGCAGTCAGCGCACCATTATCTTGGCAGCCTGGAGATCCAAGGCGGCCTTATCCAACAGATCTCGAAATGCGATTAGGGATGCTTGGTAGACTTTGTGATTTGCCACTGAACGGCCACACACCATCCACACTTAATGAACTACACAGAATAACTACTGGAGGAGGTAATTTGTGTCACTCAATTCATACGAATTTTTATCTTTATTTCCAAGTAAACAGTCTGTGATAACATGGTCAATATTAATGTTTGTGTTTATCCTTGCTTTAGTTTATTTATTAATGTGTTGTGGATACCTACTGGGTTGGCTTTAGTAACCTGCAGCACAATTATTGATGATTTTGGTCTTCATTGAAGTACTATATAATGCATTACACAGCATATTTAATTTTAGAATTTTAACCGTTAGTGGCGGTGTAAAAATACTACCCCATATGGCCTCATGGGTGTCGTAAAAGGGGGGCCAAAGTAAGAGACCAGGAGGGGAGCAGTTGCCTACTGCAGTTTTTCATAATTTTGAGTTATCAGGAAGATGCTGCTGCCCATCTCCTGTTTCAGTTTTCCTTCTGTCGCCTTTTAAGACAGCCACTAGACAATATGGGATAGTGATATTCTTACACTGACACTACATAGTTAAGAAGCCATATGGTCCATTTCCATATAAATTTTATAATGATAAGCTAAATGAATATGCTTCACCATCTTCGGTTGCATCATCATGTAGGATAGTATTCAAGCAATGGGTAATGAGTAATAGTAAAAAAAAAATTTGTTATACACTATAGTTAGTGAGAATATATCAACACACACACACACATCCTTACCATCAGGTGTACTGTGTGCTCATTTGTCGTTTGTTATTCTATAGAAAAAAACATGCTTTTCAATAGAGGGTAAAACTTGTTGAACTTATGTGTGGTGAAAAAATGAGGGGAATATGCAATCAAGAACTCAGCAAACTGCATCCTAAATCTCATTCAATACCTAGTTTTATGTGTTGCTAGCAAAAAATAATAGGTATTAATTTTATAAATACAGTTAGAATTTAAAATTATTGGAATTTAAATTCCTAATTGGGCACATGTAATTATGTGATTGTAGTTGAATAATAAACAAGGCCCTTCTTCAGTTTGGACGTCTGGTACTGCGATCGTTAACCCGGTCTGCCAAGCGCGACGATTAAGGTATATCCCAGCTACAATGAAAGGGGCCAATCTCCAGCTGTGGACTTTGGTGAGCTGATGAAGACGTTCTTTAAACGGGATACCATCTCACACCAGTGCCGTGCTGTTATTCCACACGAAAATTTGCACTGGAATTTCTTGAACAACTACTCTATCAATAAAAAAGAACCTGTTTTTTTTTAGTGCCAGCATCAGCCACCAACCAATTCACTTGGCACTCGTCTGGAGAACTTCACATGTCAGTTGGTGGAGGAAACTCTGTAGCAATAGATGGACGAGGAAAAGACGCTCCCAATCAAGAAGATGTAGAAGTTATGTCGACTGATTCTAGTTCAAGTTCTAGTAGTGACTCACAGTAAACACTTATTATGATAAGCAGTAAATTAGGTCCAGTTTACTTAAGTATAATATTTCCACTGTACATAATAATAATGTTCGTACATTTAATGTCTAGTTAATATAAATAAAATTGATAATTATGTCCGTTTTTATTTCTTAATCTCAAAATCAGTATGCTTGATAAAAATACTCTTTTATTGCTGATTTCAACTGTGGTAGAATTCTTCCAAATTCTATTAAAGTTTTTAAAAATAAATTTGCTTACATCCGCGTAATGAATTAAAATGATGTGTCTTACCTAGTTTGAAGAGCATCTCCTGCCCTCCCTCAATTGCGTGCACTATCCCCGTCACCACTAATCCCAACACCACTACGTTAGGAAAAACACACCACGGTCGTTAATACGACACGTGTTTCGTCTCTATACGAGGCATCCTCAGGTGAAGTAGAATGCGGTGGCTGACCGTTCATCACCGGTCATTTCCGCAAACTAACGCCTGATTCTGTTGATTATCTTCCAAATCCTTTCAGAAACTATATGAGTATGAGTATGTATGCGAATCACAAGAGATGTTGTGTCTCTTTGCATATTCTATCGCATCTACCATGGAAAGTGTTCAGACGAATTGTTCCGACTAATTCCCGCAGTTCAATTTCACCATCGCACATCGTGGAAAACTCGCACTAGCCATACCATCTGGATGATTAGCGGTCCACCACTTTGCGATTTACAAGAAGTTTTCTTCCTCGCACAACTTCCTTGTGGTATCGACTACCACAAGCGATTTTTCCGGACCGATACGACTTAGTGACTGTCAAGAAAAGAGGCTACTCTTTTTAAAAGGCCGGCAACGCATCTGCAAATCCCCAAGATAGCAACACTGCTGCTGTTCATGGGCGACGGTAGTCATTTACCATCAGGTGAGACGCATGCCGTTGCAAGTCGTATCAGTCAGGAAAAATCGGTAATGGTAGTCGATTCTACAAGGAAGTTGTGCGGGGAAGATAACTTCTTGTAAATCGCACTGAGGTGGACCGCCAATCATCCAGCAACATCTCTTCGCAGCGCCTTTGTTTCAAGCCGATCAGGAAGAGCTCGGTCGCCGACGATGCGAATCGCCCAGCGCTGGATCTGGATCAAGTGGGTGATGAGAGTAAAGTTGCAAGAGGTGTGCAGTGTGTAAAATACTGTCCCAATCTACAAAGCAAATTTGGCCTTCCCTTCCAAATGACCGCAGAACTGAACATCATTCGATATATCGACGCCAAAGGTCCCGATTTTAGCTGAGATAACGAGCCTTGAAACACGACACGACATACGACAAAGGGGTTCCTTTTAGCGGTAAACGCGCAAACTTGTGTCTTCTGGGGATTGAACTGGACTAGATTTAGTCACCCCCAATCCGAGACTGTTCAACAAAGACTACTTCAGACACAAGTTTATTCCGGCACTCGATGTGTTCCCGAAAAATATTAGCACGGCCGGCGTATAACACGTCGCCAGTGCTGTCATCTGCATAACAATTAATGTTACTGGTTTGTAACATTTCCGTTTATATGCAGAAGGAACAGGGTAGGCGATAGCAAGTAGCCTTGTGGAACACCAGCGTTAATAGACTTGTAGCCAGCATTTACGCTCTATAAAAATTAACAATTTTGATCTGGAGGTAGCCGGGGTTATTTATGACATTAGGAAATCGAACACCTCAGTCTCCCCCATGACCAAGAGTGCTGTGTGTGCTCGAAACTTTGGGAATTTAGAATAAGTCAATATACGCGATAAAATCCATAAAAACTAGTTTTATTTAAATGTTGTGTTCGCGTAATTATAAGAAATAATTATAATTACTTCCGGCTTCATATTCAAAGAAAAACGGCACTTATATGCGAGAAAAGATTTTTTTTACATTTGTAAGATAATTATAGCACTTTAAGGGCAAGTGAAACTAAGTGTAACGGCTCCGTGGCGCAGTGGCTTAGCAATGAGTTGTTGCGCAGGGGGCCGCGGGTTCGAAAATAATTGTACAAATAATTGTACCGGGTCTGGATGTTTGTCCTTGTGCAATTTGTATTTGTAAACTGCCTCCACGATACTCTATAAATCCTAGTGTGGGGGTAACACTGTAGGGCCTAATATAGGCCTAATAATTCTCAACTCACAGCAGTTTTAATGCAGTGAAATGAGAGCTGCGAATAATAAATGATGATAATTTAAATGCATTTAAGTGTTGTTTTAAACAGAATAAACTATAAAACAAACTCAATAAAATTCTGTCCTAACTTTGCTTCGTCATATATATTACAAAGAAATAAGGCTCAAATAACGATAATAGATTAACAATCTAGTAAACTCTATATCTCATGCAATATATTTCAATAGTATAAGGTAAATTTTGATATATAGGCAAAAATGTTAAAAATTCAGACAAAGTTGCGGCAGTTTACGGTACTTAAGTGTTTCCTTACACTTGCGACAATTTATAGTATGTTATATGTTATATGCAATCGTTCTGTGAGTTAAAGGGTAGGGTGAAACAAATTTTTATCCGACCAGACAGAAAGGAAGAAAGAAGGCTAAGTGCATATTATTCGATCCCATAAAGTAGGTATGAGAAGCCCTTCACTAAATGAAGTGACAACCTGGTAAGAGATGATGCATGTGCCTAGATATGGACCGTGCTTTGTGGTATTCCTTGGATGTTCAGCAGTGGATTTATGAAGACCTGTCATGACTATAAACTATAATGATTATAGTACCTACGTTATCATCATGTCAATGTCAAAACTATAATGAGTTGTGCGTTAAATTAACAAAATATCAATGAACTTATTGAAGGACAACAGCGGACTGTCGTCGAAGATGAAACTTAATTTGTTGAAGCGCACAAACGCGTGATTCCGAATCGATTCGTCGCCTGTAATAAAAAGTGGATCCTGTATATAATTCAAAACATTCGTTGGAATGACTGGACCTATTGGAATCAGCTAAGCCATGTTCCGAATGCAAATTGAGACGCAAATGGTTGTACTTTTTTTTTACATGGGGAAATGCCTACGCATATCCGCCTCGCGAGGGCAAGTCCGGGTTATGACTCGCACCGACTAAAACCCCATGGTGTGTTCCACCTTCGCCGCATATTGGCAGGCCCACGGGAACGCTTTCGCACACATCGCGGCCCCACCAGCGCCGGTCGCCTCATGGCAGCCCTTTCTCAGGGAAGACCTCTCCCCCCCATTCTCCTTTTCAGGCAAGGCGCACCAGGAATAAAAGGCATGCCCCCCTTCACGGCCTCCAATTCTATCTGCGTATCGGACCCCCCTGAGTTCGATACGCGGAGACCATGGGGCCAAGGAAATCGAGCGCTTAGTAGCACCCGCTTTCCCGACCCCAGCGGCGGATCTGGTTTGTGGCTCCGCCGCCAACCAAGTTTCGGTCGCGAAGGGTAGGGAGAGCGGCGCCTCGCAATACCGACACTCCTCCTATTTGCGATGACATTAGTTATAAGGTCTGGTTTATACGATTTAAAGATTGACCACGTGTCTCTGTCACTACATCCTAATCCAACACAGATAAATTATTAATAGAGTAATATCGCCGAAATATGCAATAAACTTCTTTAATTTTACTTATTTTTAATTCCCGGCGTTTCGGCTGCTTTGCAGCACCCATGGTCACGGGCGGACTCAGGTGATTGGTGCGTGTACGTGTACGCGCGCGTTAGTGTGTGTATGTATGTACGTAAATAAAATTTTGTCTTACGTATCTTTAGAACCACAGAACACAATTACTCTCTACCAAGAGTTTAGAACGAAGCAACCGATCGAGATGGGCGACACGTTGTTCGAAAATGTTCCTTGAGACTTCGCGCTCTATATATTTTCAAGGAAATCGGTCAAGCCGTTTCAAACATTTTTCCAAAAAAATAAAAACCAAAGAATATTGTTTTTAATTTTTTTTCTAAATAACTCAAAATATTTGATTAATCAACTCCAGACAACAACAGAAACATTTTTTATACTTAAAAAACTGCGTCGAATGCCACCTACTTGCTTGGTGGCATCAAAATAGAACGAAGCGTTAAAAACGTCACACAACTAGAGACCACAAGACTAGTCGCATGGGGTCTCTAGTTGTGTGATTTTCTTCATGCGAATAATTAAAGGTTAAACACACACCCAAATGATAATATTCATGGTATGACCTATGCCTATCTAGTAAAAGTATTCTATGCTATCTAATAATATCTGAATAATGCATCTAATAACTCTTATTACCAGTTGCTATAGTAACACTGTTATCTCTCTTGTTACCGTCAATATTTTGAAGTTTAATGCAATATCTTGTAACGAATAACCACAAATAACACTAGAATTCTGCAAATAAAAAGTAATTGATATCTTGGAAAAATGGGCGAGAGGACAGCTATTTCAGCGGAAGACACACTAGTTCGTTATGATAATCCAGTTTTAGTTACTAAGAAGGCGGAAGCTATTGTAAGTTGATATCATTCCTGAATCTATACAACTAACAAAACAAGATCCATTGTCTGGTTTATAATTTAAAAAAGTTATGTCCACAATTCATCGTCATTATCCATAGGTAAAGAACCTGCTAATGTTTTTTTACAGTCTTCACCCCGTGGCGCTGCAGCAACTCAGCCATGCATCCCTACTGAAGCTAAACGTGAAACAGAGGAAATTCTTAACGCTATTTTACCTCCTAAGGAATGGGAGGAAGATGGTCAGATATGGACACAAAAAGTACGTCAAACTTCTCTGATATATTTAATTAGTGTATATTATTATAACCGACGTTCTTATGTCAACATCATTCTACGTTCTACATTCAACGTCATTGCATAAATGGGTATATTTTATACCCTTATTAGCGACCCGCCCCGGCTTCGCAGGGGTGATTTCTGGATCTCGACAATAGTGTCGCCTATCGGGTCCGTGAATCTATACCATCCAGCACAGATTACCCCCGTAATCTGTGCCATCGAGGGACCCACTCAAACACACACAAACATTTCATCAAAACCAGTTCAGCCGTTTTGAAAGAGTTCACTGACAAACACACGTACATTAGAATTATATATATAATATAGAGTTATGCTATTACGTAGGAAGTTGGCGAATCTGAAGTCAACATCTTACAATGATAGTAACGCTTATGTACTCGTATAATGGATAAAAACAAACCAAACTCCTAAACAATTACTGTTTTTATATTTGCACAAAATACGAGTATTAAACCAATATTCGAACTCAATATGCGGCTTAGAGAATAGAGATGTAGGTTTCACAAATCACTAAGAGATCTTACAAGGAGACTTCTTAGAATAACTTGTAATTTTTTTATAATACCTAATACTTTTATATTATGCACGTTATGTACTTGAGCTACAGGTAGGTTCTGTAAAAATATTATTTACGTCAATTATTAAATGTTTAATAAAGCAAAACTGTAATTTTTTTAGATATCATCCACTCCTGCTACGAGATTGGACGTAATAAATCTCCAAGAGATGTTAGATACTCGCTTACAGCAGCGGCAAGCCCGCGAGACCGGCATTTGCCCGGTCCGCAGACAGCTTTATACACAGTGTTTTGATGAATTAATAAGACAGGTAAATTTAAGAAATTATTAAATGATTTCCGAAATAATTTCATTAAACATCTCTTATGTATTAAATTTGCTGAATTTTTGAAGTTGTTAAATGGTCAGTTCGCATATTCTCATATTAGTACAAGCGCCAGTGAATCCATTCACGATATCAATCTGTGGCTGTTGATTAAGTCGACTGAGGGAAATAAAAGTAAAATCTAGTAGATTTAAAAAAATGGCTGTACAGCCATTTCACAAACGACATATTTAATCTAAACACCTCGTCAACCCAACTGCCAATAATGGCGATTACAGCAACTAAGTACGTCAGGTGCTTATGACTTTTTTCACAGACAGTCTTCGTTTATGATTAGGTCATGAATATTTCCATTTTAATATTGACTTAGCAAGTGCACGTCGGTGAATATAATATCGCGATGAAACCTGCATCACCGCGTAACTAAGAAATTAAAAAAAAATATCAGACATGATGTGTAATCCGCCAACATGTTTTTTACATGGTAGAGCCATGCTGCAGCTATAATAAATAGTCTATACATATAATAAAAATGTAAATAGCCGATGTCTGTACATTTTAGATTTATATAATAAAAGTGATTGAGTGGTACTAAAAATAAGTAATTAAATACATTTCTACCATTTTTAGAATTTTCTGTCTGTCTGTCTGTTTGTTTGTTAACGTATCACGTATAAAGTACCAATTTATATCAGAAGAATCGTTAAAGAATTTATAAAGTATAAAGTAATACAATAGGTAAGCACATCGTGTAATATTTAATTTTAACCGACTTCAAAACAGGAGGAGGTTTTCAATTCGGTATTTTTTTTAAATGTTTTTTACCTCAGCATTCTACAATTTCTAAACCGATTTAGATTTTTTTATTTGAAAGGATATACACACAGATTGATCCAATATACACGCTGAAATTTTAATGGTTGTTTTCCCGATATGAAATTATTTTGTCTTGGTAGTAATTATTTTATTAAAATTAGGATGCAAAAATGGCAGATTTACAATCGAGAAAACAAAACTCGAATGCGATCTCAAAACAATAGCAATATCTCGCAAGTAGGTCGGGCGTGCAGGCTAGCTTATACCGTATTACTATAATAGTCTGAAAAAAAATTCGCTGGGTGTAACTTAGTGTTACGGCTATCGCACGCGCTACCGCGCGCTGCCTACACAGTGAATAAATGTTCAGAACATGAACTCTCAAGCGTAGTGATACGACATAAACTAGTAAATATAGAATTGTCTTAGAAATCCGTGTACATACATATTAATAACCTCTCCTTTTTGGGAGTCGGTTAAAATAGACTATGTTTGGGTCTAAAATAACATCTGGTTAATGTTTGGGTGTAAAGTGACATCTGGTTAGTTAAGGCGTTCTTATTAATAATATCTTGATGTTGTAAATAGAAAAGTTTTGATTTTATACTCTAAAACGTAGACTTAGTCAATAAACAAAGCAATTAAAATAGTTGCGTTAAAATGGCGTCGGCGAATCGCGATTAGCTGATCACTCCGTATTAGTTTTAATTAGGCACCCATTGTTAATATTATGTTAATACTTAGAGAAGTAGGTATCTATATATAAACATTTGAGTTTTACAGAGAGCTTTGCGATTAAACGTTTTAAACACAAATAGAAAATAAATATTTTTAAAAGAAAATTGTGATTTTTCCCCACAACTAGCAACATTTGTATTAGGATAGCTTAGGTAAGTATTTTTTTAGTTTTATGTAGTTATAATGAATTAAATATATAAACTTGTATGTGAAATGCAGTACCATCACTTCTTTTATGTTTATTATCACTGTTGTGACAATCTTTTACAACAAAAACGGTCATTTTTACAATTTTTCGCGAGCTCTTCTCCGTAAGACATGACGTTGCGCACCACTGACGCGTCGCTGAGTGAACTAACGCGGTTTCGCGTTAGTTTAACTTGCTTCACTTTCCGTGCGCTTACTAGTATTCTATGCGTAATAATTCTATGCTAATATCATATTATAAATCATAACATAATTAAATGATGTAAAATAATGTTCTATAATGATGAAATTATATCCAAAACGCAGTAAACAAAAGTATTGCATAAAGAACGTAATAAATATATTAAAAAATATATTAACCTTATTATGTAAATCTAAAGTACAATAGTTAACCCATTTCATCGATAGATGGTGGTGTTGCACAAATGTCATGCAAGAAGGCAGGTTGTGGTTTTTTTTCTGTAAATGACTTTTCATATTTGCTGTTAATCTTTAAATTACTCGCTGCCCTACTGTGTATTGACAATGTCATTTATTCTTTACCGCCGAGTACTCTACATGGTAAATCAAATTTTAAAAGAGCTATTAACAATTTCGTTGGTTTCGGCGAGGATCAAACTTTCTTTCTTGCTTACGATGTAGGCCTGATTTATAAGTTCTTTTAAGTTTTTTTTATTGTATCAATCGCGTCAATTAATCTCTTTTATTTTTAGAATTGATTTTAACAGCGCCATCTATCCTTATATCTCTATACATGCGGTAATCACATGCTGTGTCTGATTCTGTACATTGTATAGTATATTAATTTGTGACTAAAATCATTATGGAGACTGAAACTCATTAAATAAGTACATTTTTATAATTTTTAGAATTGTCTGTCTGTCTGTTTGTTTATGAACGCATCACGTCCTTTTTTTCAAAGAAATTGTTTAGAAAATCATAAAGCGTATCATCCAGTTCAAAGATTAACTTTGTTTTATTAAAATTGGTTAATTCTATCGAAAGTTTTGATTATTATTTTGAAATGTAGGTTCGATTTGTTTAAAGGCGCCATAAAACCTCAGAAATAGTAATAAAATGATTCCTTTTTATAAAAAAACGTTTTATTATAATATATTTATACTTTAAACACAAAAAATATGTTTTCCTTAAATTAAAAAAGGATGTCTTCCACGAAGAACGTAATAGATGGCGTTGTACGTTAACGAGTTCATTCAAGCTGAAAGAGCCGTGTAGGGTGTAAGCTAACAGCACAAACATCATCAAAAACAGATATCAGAAAAAAGATACGTACGGCCAAGCTAAACGTAGCAAAATTGCATCAAAAACAATATGTCATGATGTTGTTTTATACCAAGAATCCACCTTATATCAAATAACTTTCCTTTCAGTTCTAAGCGTGTTCTGTTCCCACTTCCCATTCCCAGTCAGCGTGTGTTATGCGATGACCGATGACCGTAAATAAAGCGCAAGGTCAAACTTTACGCGTTGCAGGAGTGGACCTCAGTACTGACTGTTTTGCACATGGCCAACTCTATGTTGCTTTTTCCCGCGTTATTAGCTCCCGTAACATTTTTCTGTACGCCCCGGCTGTCTAATTCTAACGTCGTTTACACAGAAGTTCTATCACAAACGACTCAGAACTTTGAGCATAACGATTTATTTTGGTGCCACTTATTCATACAGTAATGATATAAATCTTTTAATATTCTCTTACCTAAACGTCAAATTCTTTAAGTAAAACCTATATACGCGAGCTACGCCGCGGGCACAGCTAGTAGTAGTATATTTGTACCACGAATGGTTCGGTTCGACTGGGGAAGGACCACGCTCTCACAGAATACCAAAGTTAAATAGCAGTTTAACGCTGCTGTGTTTCGTATGGTGAGTGTAGAGAACTGGAGACCCTTATCCTGGAAACGAGGCATTCCATATTAGTCCTCACGGGTGATAACGCATCTGCATTTTGGTTCGTAATCGAGGATAGATGTAGATGTCTGTGGGCCGCAGCAACCACTTACCATTATGGACTGCTTGTTTGTCGCCCTGTGTGGAGGCAGCGTGGCGGTTTCCTTGTTTCGAAAAACTCTCTCGGAAACAAACGGCGGCTAGTCCCTACTTTTATTGTGTAAAATTAGTATTACAAACAAACAACTCTATAATTAAAATATTATAGGTTACGATAAATTGTGGGGAAAGAGGTCTGCTATTGTTGAGAGTTCGTGATGAAGCGAGGATCACGATGGAGGCGTATCAAACTCTATACTGCAGTTCCATCGCGTTTGGAATGAGGAAAGCTTTACAGGTAGAGTATCTTATATTTGTTTTCATTCTTTAAATCGGTAAACACGGTACGTTTAATCATTTAAGCCTTATTTTCGTTCAATGAATCTCATAAGAGTCAACGAAGAGCAGCGTCACGAAAATCATATAACATCCTATCCAATTTAATATGATGTTAACCTTTAAAAGTATGTCAAGGAATAATTTTAAGGTACTAGCAGTATAATATTCTGCAACATAGCGTTAGGGAAAACCTTTAAAATTTAAGAAGCTGTAGATTTTCACAGTTAATAGGATATGCCGGCGGCGTTTAGTCCATAGAAACGTATAAGAGCAAATATTTGCACCTATACCGCGCTTGCACAGGATACCTGCGTGAAATGGCAGCATGAAGTTACTGTGTTATGTGACAAGAACCGAAGATCTAGACTCACGGCTGTGTGCTAGCCAAGAACGGAAAAGAAAAGGGGGACGCACCGGCAGTGTGTTTACCATTGCACAAACCATCGGTCGTAGACAACGTGGCCGCATTCGATTCGTATAGCCTTAAAAAAACAGTCTAGCGTAAACAAGAGAAACCGTTGAAGGTTTTCTATTTAGATTAATTAAAAGGATAAAACTTTTTTCAAAATTAATGATATTCCACCAAAAATGTGAAAAGGCGGCCAAAGGTGACATTTCCAAGAACGTTGCACAGATCCTATAATTAAAGCAACTCTTTTATCACATTTTACCTCTTTAGTGGGATCCTTTTTCCAAAAAGCCAATTTCATCTAGGTCATCAGGGATGACAACGCATGTGCATTTTAATTTATTGATTATCTATTAATGGACCGCTAAACAGAACCCCTTTGTCGTATCTCCTCAGTTTCAAGGCACTACTACCCTTGCTGCCTTAGCTAGCATCGGAATCCTCGGCGTTGACATATCAAATAGTGTGCAGTTTCGTGGTCTCTTGAAATGGAAGGCCAAATTGGCCTCTAAAAAGCTTGGCGTGCTCAGCAGAGCGAGACAGTATTTAATGCCGGCACATCGCTTGCAATTTTACAAAGCGCAAGTTCGGCCTCACATGGAATACTGTTCTCATCTCTGAGCCGGGACACCCCAGTGCCAGCTCATTCCACTCGACAGCGCAGAGCGGCTCGAATCGTCGACGACCGAGTTCTTTCTGATCGGCTTGATATACTAGCGCTGCGTAGGGATGTTGCATCCCTTTGCATTTTCTATCGAATCTACCACGGGGAGTGCTCTGAGGAATTGTTCGGATTAATTTCAGCCCACAAATTTCACGAACGCACATCGCGTCAAAATTCACGATACCAACCTCACCATCTGGGTGCTTGGCGGTCCACGACTGTGCGTTTTACTAAGAGTTTTCTCCCTCGTACCACTTGTCTATGGAATTGTTTACCACCGGCGATTTTTCCGGCGCGATACGACTAAGGGACCTTCAAGAAAAGAGCTTAGATACACCTTTCTAAAAGGCCGGCAACGCATCTGCAATTCCCCTGGTGTTGCGGTTGTTCATGGGCGGCGGTAGTCCCTTACCATCAGGTGAGCCGCATCATGCTCGTTTCCTCCAAAAAAAAAATGGAGGAAACATGTAGGTGTCAATTGGTCATAGCTTCCACTTACTATCAGGTGAACCGCGGGTACGTTTATCAGCCTCGTTTGCATACTCTGTTTATCCTGTAATGGTTTCTATGATTGTCGTATTAGATGACTGCGTTTTCATATAACAACAAAACTACTGCTAAATATAGGAAGCTCAACCTTTTATCCATTTACGTTTTTTTACTATTTACCTAATCAATTTAACTAAAGCAATTAAAACAAAAAAAAAATAACTGCATAATGTTTGCTATTATATATTTCCTAGTCTGAACAAGGAAAATCGGACCTCATGGAGCAAGTCGCAAAGCTAGAAGCAGAACGAGCAAGTCTGGAGAAACAGTGCACGGAGCTAAAACAGAAAACCGAGCAATTGGAACGTCGAGCTGCAGAACTGCGCGCTGCGGAAGAGAAGCGTCATCAAGAGGAGTTACTTGCATTAAAAAAGACAAATGCGCAGCTCAAGGTCAGTTAAGATATCAAGGATATTTTAATTTCGGGCTGGCCATATAACTCAGGAGCGTGGTTTGAAAAGAAAGTATATGTTCAGCAATGGAATAATGACTGCCCTTAATGATGATAATGTGCATATTATTGTGCTATTTAGAATAGTTGGTCTTAAATTAGAGATTTAAAGACGCTATGAACTTGACCTTTTACATATTACGAGGTTGATTCATTGAATCCCAGCTACTAAGGTATACAGACATTGTGTCCGAGTCTTTTGTATCTGAAATTTCGTAATAGTCAAAATATCAAATTTTACCTATTTTCTTAGACAAGTTCAAATCAGTAATTTATACAGAAATAGGAAAATCGGTGGAGCTTTACTAATTTTCCTATTAACACAACTTCTATTCTATATAATATGCTGCTTTAACTTCGTAACTTTGTTAGCGCGATTTAGGTTTCGATGTGTTTCGCTTGTGGCGCGACGACAGCGCCGCCACATAATAACTAACTTATTATAGACTGTGATACTTTATATGTAGCTTAATCTAATAATAGTTACCTAAAATATTTATCTGATGCTTTAAACAAACGTGAATTTTTATTATCTATTGCAGTGCAATTATTAATACAAAATTTGTAACCTTTTTCAGGCACAATTGGAAGGCATCATTGCACCCAAGAAGTAATAAGAAGGTATTTTTTTGTAAGATAGTGTCAGTGGCGTTTATTTCACAAAAGTTAATTAGTATTTGCAAAGGCAATATGTTAATTTCAAGTTTAATAAAGTTTATACGTTGTAAAAACAATTATTTTTCAAACTTGTTCAATTAATTTAGATAAAACAAACAAATCTACATGTCACAATTTACTTTCAGGCACTCATTTTTTTTAACTTTCAAAGTCTAATGTCCGGTAACTACCAATAATCAAGGAACGTTGTGTTATTCGTACGGCCCAAGAATAAGATACGTAGTTCTTGTAAAAATAGTTAGGTACGCTACTAGGTATATAACAAGCTACTCGTTAGAAGACAAACGAAGACTGATAACGTACGGGTACGTAGTACTATTATTTATTCTGTGGTACGGATGGCAGGGTTTCAAGGAACGGACTGTGAAGCAAATGTATGAAAATAATGTTTTGAGGTGTCTCTACTATAAGGTCATGAATTGTAAAAAAGCTGTCAAAGTTAGGGAGCATTTTTTATTTCTTAAACCGTCATTTTCGACACTACATTATGAGTTCATTGATTTGAATATAAAAAGTGTTACATATTATATTAAAATTGTAGTGCCATTATTTAAATGATACGTGTGATCTTGAAGTATTCTTAGTGTAGAATTAATTTGCTCTCTGCTTTAAATGCGTCGGAATAGTCAGAATTAATCATCACATTTTTTAGTACTCATATAATAAGTAATATAGGTATAGTAAGTGCGAATTGAAACGAAAACTAACCGTAGAGACGAAGATTCAAACTAACGTCACCCATTGTATCCAGAACTTCATCCATTAGATCTGCTTAGGGGTCGTCTATTAATTACGTGAGGTGCTTATAGGTGGGAGGGGGTCGAGCTGAATCTCACGAGGGAGGGTATCGGTAAATATCACGGAATTTTTTTTTCTGCAAGAAACAATGTAAAATTATATATGGCTAAATCCTAACACAATACAATAATATCTATAGCGGTTATACAAATTCCACAAATTATATATTTCAGCAAATTGTTTTTTTTTTAATAATTCCAACGCAATCAAGCACAGATTAACGTAAAAATACGCATTTTGAGAAATCTCAAAATAGCCTCATGTAATTAATGGGCGCCCCCGGCTGAAAGTATTTTTAACATACATTAGGTTACGATGAAGAAACTGTTCTGAAGAAAATGTATATACTTATATCATGAAATTTTTAATAACTTTATCATAATTATGAAGCAAGCACATTATAAATTGTGTTTAAAATTATCATCATAATATATAATGGCTGGCTACCTCTGGTAGCCATAAAGATAGTCTAATGAAATACATGATGTATTTCATTAGACAACACATCCGCGATATATTCATTTACATTTTAAATTTGTTAAAAAGAGGCGGCGGTTTGCTGCTCCTGTATTATTGTTTAAATAATGGTTTGAAGTGGATTTTGATATGTCGAAGTAGTGCGATTTTGTGTATTAAGTGTCTGCGCATGTGAACTATTAGTGGAAACGGTGAAACAAGTGCTCTGATGGTGATATGATTCTCAAGATAAGGTGTCTGCCTGCTTAGGCGCCTTGAGATACCATCGCCAACTGTCAGCTGTCTGCTGGCTCAAGTTGCCGTCAAAATCTCCCAAGGGCTGCGCAATGTGACGCATCAACATATTGTGACGCAGTATACTATGAAGAATAATTATATATTGTAATTTCAGGCTCAGAAGGGCTAGAACCCAGAGCCGTAAAGCCAGTTATAAAAAACGAATCCAAAGAGCATATAATCACTCTTTAGATCTTTTACTAAAACCTATGATAATATGACACGTAAACTACCAAAACCAATGACTCCTATGTATATTACGGATTACGATCAATTCTTGTTCTTCGTATACCCCGTAACTCCTTTAGTAGATCGTGAGCGGGCGAGAAGACTATTTGTCTACCGACTTCAAAAAGGAGGAGGTACTCAATTCGACTGTATGTTTTTTTTTAAATGTGTGTTACCTCATAACTTTTTTCTGGGTGAACAAATTTCGATTATGATTTTCATGTGATCCCATATGCATTTAATCAGGGTGTGACTAATAGTTTGAGTTATTCTTAATCATTTATATTGAAGTCGGTTGTACAAAATTTTTAATTTTTAATAATTTTGTAAACAGCGAATGTTAATATCGAAAATCTAACACGGATTTTGTTTAATGTGACTAAGAAAACAATGTATTAGTATTTATGTGCGCACTTTGTCAACGTGGTTTGAACTTTATTTCGTATTTGCCTGTACTGTGCCAACTACTGCCCAGTTACTGTCCAGCTGGCGCGGCGCTTCCCGCTCGATCCATAGCTGTGACACAGTTTTTGTTCTGAATTTACTGTATAGTAGTATTCATAGAAGTCTTTGACCAAAACAAATGACTAAATTAAATGAAAGGAGTCACACATCACACACACGCAACTAGTTTTATGGTCAACCACGGCTACCTCCAGATTAAAATTATTCAGTCAAAGCATATCAGTCTTAAGAAGTATTAATTTCACTTTATAAGTCTTGTATAAAAGTTGTATTTTAAGTAGGTAATATAATATTATACTTATTATATACCCTGTACTTTAGCATGCAATTTGAAGTAAACATGAACAGTTTTTCAAAAAAAAAATTTAGAATTATTTAACATTCATTTAGCATATTATAATAAAGCAAAAGGTTTATTTTATTCTATCTCCAAGGAACTCCTATCAGTGATATTAATATTAATGAAATTGTCTACATGGTATAAATGCATTATCCGTTATTTATTTAGTTTATACCAAGCTTTCCTGAAGTTTTTTCTCCTCCCTTCACGTCTATTTCATTAGTATAATTTTAAATGCGGTGGCTTCTACGGATCATACGGCGCTACGATTTGAACGAGTATTGATATCTCGGAAACGAAGCGAGATATCGAAAAATTTTAATCTTACTTTTCGGCGTATCTCGTCGAGATCTATGCGAATCCGCCTTCAAATTGGAGCGTCGTCAGAACCGTAGTCCTGCCTAAATGCGAGACAAAGTTTGTGTATAGACGAAATTTTAAGTCTTTATTATGTATACACTATCATATAAACATTTGCGCTTCTATAAGTACATGTATATATATTCGTAAATTAATTTTAATCTTCACTCAATAGACACCCATAAATAACCCATTTTACGGTTTGCTTACAAAAAATATGTTAAACTAAAATGTGTACTCCTGAGATAGGATCACCTAAAATATCCAGACAGGTCATGTTGAATTACCCAAGCAATGTGGAATGAAGACATTTGTGTTATAATCGCCATTTCAATGTTATATTACAACTACAATAAAACAACCACATTGTTTTATTAAAATATATATTAAACCATTTTATTTAGGGCAAACGAACAATATTTTCATTAGTTTACAATCCACATATTTAGAACCTTAAAAAGATATAAAGAACACACAAAACCATTATATCATCCATTCAATCCATTAATTACAAAAGTTCCATTTTAAATATTATTGAAATATTCAAGTACAAATTCAACGAAAATTTATACATTTTCCTGAGAATTTCCTTGTCAGGATACATTTAATGAATATTTAATAGAGATTTATTTAAGTAAATCAATAAAATGCATAAAAGGCATATTGAAGTGATAAAACTATTGAAATTGGTAAAACTTACAGTATCGTAAATAAAATAAGGAATTAAGGCACCACATACATTCAGTAAAATTAAAAATTATAAATTAAAAAAAAATCTAGATACACCAATAAAAACAAATACTGCACAATAATTATTAACGACGACAATGAAATTACTATCGTTATTATACTAAAATTTAATTTCTATATTTATTTATAGATAAAAATAAGTTTAAATTAGATGAAATACATAAACAGTCGCCGTGTGATGCCAACCATTTAATTTTGTACCTATTAGTACGCGACAAACAACCTGTGTATATGGATGGTATGTACACTTAACAATAGGATCTTACTCTATAACATCCAATCAAATTTCCCACAAAAATTCACTTAGCAGGTACAGCGACAACATTCAGTCAAAACATCATAAACTTGCACGGAATGAAAATTATTAATATTAACATACGTAAAGTACTCGAAGAACAATATCAATGTATCAAAATAGATAGATACCGTATAATCTAAAATCTCCGTCGCAAAATTACAATAAAAAAATATAAATTGTGATCGAAATAAAATGTCACTGAAATAGTTTTAGTGTGACTCGTTAGCGGATTTCTTCAATTTGACGCCATTAAGTTTAAAAACACATAAGTTCGGTGGATTTCTAAACAATATTATCACAGTTATAATACAAAGTAATGTTAGCTCGTTTCATTGTCGTTCGTTTCGTTGAAGAAATCTACAATGGAGTTGGAACACATTAAGTCGAGTTTCAATACCGATTTTAGCCGATACATTGTCATGGGTAAAAGGACGTGGCGATTATGAACGACTTATTAAATCGAAAAATACATAAAGTAAATTATTTGAAACATTAAAGTCATTAAAATAGAATGGGTTGTAAAAACATTGCATGATCCACCACAATCTGTTATGAAACTTCGGACGGAAAGTTTCTTATGAAATAGGAATGAGTAAAACTAATTGATAACATCAAATTAAATACTAGTTTATAAATCATCACTCATAATCGCCTGATTTTTTCTGTCAAAAAAATGAGGACAGTACGGAGAATTCGCTGTAGATACTTCAAAATAAAGGGGCGTTTAAAGATATTGTATTCAAAGTAAAGTCTTGGCAGGTTAAATTTCACGGCATCTGAGGGTATGTTATTGTGGTTTTTCTGTGTAAGCAGTGACTCGATGTGCCGGTCCCACTGGTATAGCGGTGACTCTTCCAACGCCACCGTCTAGTAGTGGATTCACGACTTGTACAATATCAGGCTGTAGGGAATCCTCCCCTACTTCGCCCTCGCCTAGACTGACTGCGTTACCTTCGAGATCAGAGGGTGCAGTTTCACTGCTTGGACTCATTGTTAGTTCCAATGATAAAATTTTCTCTTGAGTCGTCTCCACCTATATAAAAATAATTTTTGTTGCAAAATATAAAGATTGGCATGTCCTTGGGATATTTTTAATGATACCAAAAAATACTAATTATACATTGTATGACGGCGTAGTTTATTGTGAGAACTGAAATATTTATAACAAAGAGGATTTATTTAAAATAGAAATTAAGAATAAGGAACATGGAGTATAATAAAAATTTACAATGTGCTAGTCTAGTCTATTTACAGAAAAAATTAACATGCAATAATTGAAAATTTTAAAAAATACGTCGAGTGAAGTTAGGCTCTACGCGTTATAAACTATTAAAAGAAGAAATGCAACAAACCATTTCTTTCGGTGAAGTTTCCGTGTCTAGAATCCAGGTATAGTCTGACAAATGATACACAAATATGTTAGCATGCCATGCCGAAATATCATGCAACACTCATATATAAATAAAAATAAACATAGATTTCATAAAACCCTTTCTAAAAAGATTTAACAAGACATTTACAAATATTTATCAAGTGTTTATGGAAATAAAAACTTTAAACTTAAAACGGCCATTAGTTTAAAATCATATGCACAAAAAGTAACCACCACATCAAATAATTAGTTGTGAGAGGAAAACATATCTACATATTTAATAACTAACTACTCAGCGCAAATTTAAACTCGGTGTGATGTTGTTCGAACGAGCCATGTGATTAATATTCGTTATAATGTGCGTAAGGCCCCTTTTACATTGTGTTCGAACCGGAAATTTGTCACTAACGTCATGTCTTTGGTTATTCGGTATTCGTTAACATGTATTAAATTCAATTTTACCATTTAACAATCTAATTTTTTAATGGTAAAAATAAATTTAATAAAAGGACTAAGTTCTATCAGTCTGTTCAGTCGCTCCATACGCGGTCACGTCATCGTTTGTAGCACGTAAAAAGCTAAAGCGTTGTTTTTAAAATACACATAATGTAAATAATAATAAAACCACACACGTTACGGCATTGCTTTGTATACAGCTTCCTATAAACTAAGGCGTAATTTACATTCGCGTTGGTACGCGTACCTCTTTCTCAATCACTTTCTCAATGTACTCCACGGTTCGCACTTTGGTCTCGCCAGTCGTCGGGCATACGTATTCCTCCGTGCGTAGCGTTATTCTCTCGTCTAACAATTTTTCTTTCTCCTTCACGGCAAGTATCGGGCCCGGTTTTGTACGTAACGCGATACGTGGCAGGGGCCATTTCTATAATTTGTAAAGCCAATTTTTGACAATCACAAAACCCAGCGATGGACAATACAATGCCTGCCAAGCGACATTGAACCCAAACACAGACGAGCAATACACATTTAGATATGCACATTTAGTATAGTTACGGTCACACACATTTAGGGAGTTCAGCCGCGATAACATTTTACAAATGTCAACGAGGGTTTTTAAATAATAGGAATTTAGTGAATTTAAGTGTTATTATATTAAGTCTCATTATGTATACCGTGTGAATGGTAACTAATGAGGCAGTATCAATTATCAATTTAAAAAAAAACGAAGTTCGAAACACCAACTATGTGTATGACAATGGGTTAATCATTCAATGTTAACGGTTATGGACAAACATATAAGGAATATCCTAGATTATGAGTTTTTAAACATTCAATTAGTTGTGAAGAAACGACTAGATGTTAATCAACAGAAAATCAAGTATAAATTATCAACAATATAAAGTATCTTAGTCGTTTTCAAGTCCAAGATATATTAATGGTTTTAATTTCATAACCCATACATTGCCTTAAAAATTATATCGACATACCTCTGAAGGAGATTTTTCTCGCAATGGTACCTCTCCTATGATGTCATTCGCTGGGCCAACCATACTTTTAATAACTTTTTGTGATTCAATGGCCTCCTATAGGATAAAAATTATAAAAATACATTGGTTCCACGCATAAAATTACAATATTAAATGTGATGTTCCGTCGATATTCGCAGTAAGAGAATAACGCATTCAGAAAACTGTAACATGCTCACGCTATAGCGACGGTTATCATGAACGAGATATAAGCGTGTATTGTAGAAACAGGATAAGTGCATTTTTTTTAAACAAGTAAAGGTGACAAATGAGCACATAGTTCACCAATTATTAGTTTATTTATTTAAACTTTTATTCACAAAAACAGTACATATAGCGACCTCAATATTCAAAGGCATCCTCTCTCAGTAAACCATTAAGTTAAGCAGAGTATTATTATCGAATAACAATAAAAAATGTAGGTGCATTGTCACCCATAATGAATAAACAATGCTTCGTTATTAGTAAAAGGGTCTCCTCATACAAAATACAGCAGCATTATGCAATTTTATACTGGTATTCTTCGAGATCGTGTACTTTCCCCGGTCGATCGGAGTCATTCATGCTACTTTTGCAGTGAAATGTGTGCGTTTATCGACTGTGTGAAATACAAGATTAGAGTAATTTCAATAATTGACGGTATAGCGTTACCGTTACGGCTCATCAAAAGTCCACTGCTTGACATGGGCCTCCCTCATAGATTGCCTCATAGGTTGGATATTTGCCATAATATAAACGCTAGGTAGGCGGATTAGCAACTTAGTAAGTCGCTATAACTCAAACTAACGATGGAAAGCAGCGTAAAAAGAATGAAACATTGCTACTGCGATTGCTTTCACACCGCCAAGAGCTGTGTTAACAATAAATCCTTTCTCCTATAAGATAAACATGTTCAGCATTGGACTGCACACGGGCCGATGAAGTAAGAAGAACAAAGTTAACTGCAAGAAAGACTCCTTTCGGTTTTTGATCGGGTTAAGCGCACCACCTATCATCCCTTCGGAAACAAATATGGGAAATATCAGCTGTGATGAAAATACTCAGCATCAAAGTACAACACATCTGGAACTGCTACATTATTTCAAGCGTGAAGATTCATTAAATCATCCCTACTGTGAAGAAATGGAAGAGGACTAAATTCAATATAAGACTCTTATCGAGCTCATGACGGTGAGGATAGGGATGGCACCATCGGCGTCGACGTAATAGTTAAAGGTGCGAGATATATTGTACTGCGATCGTCGATTGACCTGTCAAGAATAAGGATTAAGGTAAAACCTCGGGGAGGTTGGCTTGGAGAGGACTTTCGGGGGTTGATAAAGAATAGAGGGGGTAAGCGTACCTGTTCTAAGGATCGTAAACGCGCTGCCCTCCAGGCCGCCCGCCTGGCGGCGCGCGCCTCCGGGTCGTCGCCGTCGCCGCCGTGGCCGCCGTCGCGCGCCGCTCGCCGCCGCTGCGACTTCGCCGACGGACTCACGCCACCCGCTGACGCACTGCCACCAAACTCAACGCGTTACATGCAACCCTGGCAGCAAAATGCTGCCTCCAAATTGATTGATTCACCACAATGGATCACAGTTTTATTAAATTCTTTAATAAAGCTCAACATTTTATACGTTTAAGTTATGTTTATATGTTTAAGTTAGTCAGTTAGTCTAAGTTATTTTTTATCTTTTCTTTATCTATTTATCTTTTTTAAATATTATTAGTTGCACAGGATTATATTTCAAAGAGTAGCCAAATTTTAATCTTAAGCTCAAATATATAAATAATAATTTGTCATTGTTGTAGTTTTTAAAAATACGAGTAAATAAGACTTCTACTTTTATTTGAAATTATCCCAAATTGAATGTGATTTATAGGCAACGTTTTGCCCACCGATCGAACCTTACGAATGTGTGCGTTGCGCACGCACACATTCGTAAGGGTCGTTCGGTAATATCAGTTAAAAGAACGTATTACCGAGAATTTTAAATTTAAAAGATAAAAAGAACAGAATATTTGAGATATTTTTAAATTAATTTTTTAAATTTAAAGTAATAATTTTTCTGAACCTTCTCTACAATTTGGCAAATGGTGATCAGTGCACCTGGTAGTTAGTGAATGCTGTGACTGATGGTGTGTGGTTAATCGAGGATAGAGGACATCTACATCTATCCTCAATTAAAAATCAAAATGAAGAATGCGTTCTCACCCCTAAGAACTAACATCAAAGTAACTAAGTTCTGCTGACTTTACTCATCAACTTTCACGAGATATATTAACAGAATGCATGATGATGAAGACGAAAACGGAATGGTTAAACAAAAATTTACCAGTCCAGTGGTAGCGTTCTGTTTCTCAAATTACCTATGGCCATTCTCGTAAGGTTCGTCATCTGAATGCGAGCTGTCTCCGCTCTGGCGGTCCTCCCCTTGTGACCACGAGCCGAGCTCCGCGCGTGATAGAGACGCCATTTTTCTCTCCTCTTCTTGCTTCATTTTCTCCACCTCATCCGCTGACAGGAACGTGAAAACTTTTTCTAAAACAGTTCAAAATTTATTTTATCAAATATTTAAATCTATAATAATTGTTCAAATTAAATATAAACGGTATCGACTGCTACAGCCAAAAGTTCAATCAGCTGATTAATTAGTTAACTGTTTAGTAAAATGCTTGCATACGACTGAACGCCTATAGAAAACGTAGATAGATTGCTTAAGGCGCAGGTTGAGCAAAATTTCGCGCTAGTCGTTATTTGTGCGGTTTATAGGAGCTATCTACTTTTTATTTAAAAGATATATCAACTAATAAAAAACATTATATTTCTACATAATCTTGATTCCATAAGAGTCATATCTAATTTTTTTTAAAGGAATAAATATTAAAATAATCTCCTTACAACGAAACCACATAAATGTGATATAATTATTGATAACATGCATCTCCTCGTAAAGAAAGTATTATTTTATTTTGCGATTTACACCAATGGATAGGCAATTTATTGATGAACATTTCTATCATAATTTTTTTTTTCAAAAGACCAAAAGTTTGATTTTATTAAGAAATGATTTTAAAAACTGGGCGTATTCACTGCCCACGGACTTGCTGAAGTCAATGAGCGCGAAGCTCTTGAAGGTGAAACCCGTGTCGTTTGTCACGACGTCAGCCATAATATTAGTATTACTTATTAGTTATTTATATATTATGTGTTGTGTATTATTTGTTTGTTTTGGGTATAATTTTTCGTATGAGTTACACATATATTTGCTGTGTTTTTTACTACGCGATGAAGCTTTTTGCGTGTAATTTCTTTGAAGTAATTGCAAATAAAAAAATTAAGCACCATTAGCATGTAAGGTCCATCGGAATCGGAATCCATAATTAACATTTCGACAAATATTATAATTTACACTATAAAAGACTAATGCAATATTATCAGTATAGTATACAGTTAAAAATAATCCTAGTACCCAACCACAATATCTTATTAGGTATAGTAGTGCCTCGTTGGTCTAGTGGTTGTAGTAGTGCGACTGCTGATCATGAGGTCCCGAGTTTGAATCCCGGGTCGGGCCAAAAAGTCAGTTATGAGTTTTTCATTTATGTTCTAAGTTATAATTAGTATTATTAAGTTATAGTTTTTTGCTATAATATAATATATTATTTATTGCTTGTTTTTTCTTCTTTTTCAAAAAATAATTGAGTACATAAGGTGTTCTTAATATACGCCGAATGTCAGAGAGAAAAGCTAGTACATCTTTTGCTAAACTTTAAAATCTAAAACCAATTTTAAAACAGACGAATTGTTCATAACTCCCTTAGCTATAAAATAAGTTATGATCTAATTAATGGTATTTATTCCAGTTTATGGTAGCCCTGATTTATATTACGTGGCTGAAATTAGGTACATCTTATATATACGTCAAACCAAATAACAGCCGGGCGGCTGACATTATGCACTCCATACATTTCTTATATTATCTAATTACAGTCCCATTAATTTCCACTAAAAGAAAATAAATAAGTTGTAAATTCAAACAAAAATAACTGCATTACTATGTCTATAGTCATATTCATACAAATCAAAAAGCCTACATATGAGATAATGTAAAGTAAGCATAATTTTACCGGCATCATAACTTGTCAAATAATTAGGAAAATGATCGTTTTTCGTTGCGTAAGTGTTTTGATTTTTAATTTAACACTGTTAGGTTAATAACTGCGAGGTAATATTTGAATAAAATATACTTTCCTCTAGGTACAAAGAATTTTTTAGATGACAATATTTGGAATACTAGAAATCTTATTTATGGAGTAAAAAGGCGAAAAGACTGGAATTAGGGGCATGACTAAAAAGTATATAAGTAGGTATTAATATACCTACCTAACTTTTTACTATAAACTAAAATTTTTTAAAACTAAATTTAACTAAAAAAAACTAAACTGACCATTTATTTTTTAATTCAAAACAGGACATGGGTTTATTTATACTCTAAAAACTATAACTTTATACAATTAGTGTCCACTATAAAATTATATTCGGTATAGACGGTAATTATTAAATGCAACATATTTTTTTTAAATTATTAATTACATTTGTCAGTGGATTAAATTTGCTTTAATAAAGTTGGTGATTATTTTAAAAAAGAATAAAATTCTGGTCATGTTTTTTTTATTGTTACCTTTGTTAACAACATCACCTTTAGAACTGGAACCGTAAGTGTTTTTTTCAGACGTCTACAATTTGAATAAATAGAAAATACTTTTTCTACTGGAGCATTTGTACCAGGTAGACATAAAATATATACGATTAAAAAAAATTATGTTGAAGATTGTTGACTTTGAATACTTCCATCCAAGTTACGGGACAATTTTGTGTCCCGGAGCTTTGTTTGGGGGCAATGGGACAGGTGACCGAGAAAAGGGACAGTCCCGTTCAAATCGGGACGTATGGTCACTTTAGCTATAACCCGGCGACGGCTACGTGGCGCAGTGGCTTAGCAATCAGTTGTTGCGCTGGGGGCCGCGGGTTCGAATCCCGCACGGAACAAGTATTTGTATGGCCTACAAATAATTGTTCCGGGTCTTGAAGTTTGTACTTGTGCAATTTATGTTTGTAAACTGCCTCCACGACACAGGAGAAAATCCTAGTGTGGGGGTAACGTTTTTTTAAAATTGAAATTGAAAGATTGAACCCTTATACTTCTTGTTGATTTTTGTATTACCTTTATTAAAGTTACCCTTATGTATAAATAAATATAATTACATATGTAGAAATAAAATTGATTTCCATCCTCATCAACATCCTATTTATTTATTTATTCTTTATTGCACCAAATATTTGTACAAAAGGCGAGCTATCTATCTATTTACCTATAGTGAGTAGTTATCTTTTAAACTCATAATTTTCAATCCTTCATTTTTAATATATAATTAATAATAAAATTTCATAATTAGATAATATATAAGAATACATAATTCTAATATAATACAACTAATATACCGAATAAAAAAATTAAAATACATTTATCGTCGTACACTGTGTGTATTTCCATAAAATAGTTTATTGATGTTGAAAAAATAATGCTACGTTCGTACAGTAGGTGGCGTCTTACATATTTCTTACGCAATATATTGTAGCGAGTCGGCGCGCCGGCCGAATACTCAAGGTCGTTCGCATGGAGTAGCCCCTTAAGGTGGCACAAGTCGCGGGCTCGAACTCGCTGGTGGGCGCGGCCAAAAAGCACGCTGTCTCACCTGGCATCGTGCCCGACAGAGATAGTATCAGTGATGAGCATATCGACACTAGTATTCACGCATTTCTTGTTCGTACGGTGTTCCGAACCGTTAGAATAAAAACGAAGTTACACGAACACGATGCAACATCTATACTAATATAATAAAGCAGAAGAGGGTTTTTGTTTGTTTAAACGTGCTAATCTCTGGAACTACCAGTCCGATTTGAAAAATCTTTTTTTGGATATTATAGCCAGATTCATGTTGAATAGTATAGGCTATACAGCATTAGGCTATATATCTCAGTAAGGAAGTCAGAAGAAAAAGCGCTGTTATGGTTCGAGATACGTAAATACAATGTTCTAGAAAAATATAGATCTTTACTCCGTCTAAAAAAAGTCCGCGATACCATATGACTATTTCTTATATATAAGCCACAATTAGGCATTTTGTGACAAAAAAAATGAAAATTTAATTATTAGGCACCTTACGAACCAAAGCTACTTCATTATCAAGACAATTTTATGAAGATAAACTTCGTTCTTTATACCATGTTTATATAGTACATAGTTTAAGAGATAATGTAAAATTAAAATAATTCAATACCTACTTGGCTTGACGCGCAAACAACGCATAACCCCTAGCCCGGTGCGAACTGAGAAGCCAGTATTGAAAGCTTCTATGAGCGAGGTTAGGTTAGCCGTTAGTTCAATCGTTATCTATATATACACAAATAAATAAAATTGAAGTGTCTGTTTGTAATGTCAAAATAACAGCTTTTTACTAATTGCGTATGAAACTGTATACGGTACTTATAACATTAACACAATTTTTAACATTTTTGTATGTCTGTCAGTCTGTTTGTTGCGGTTAATTTCCAAAACGGCTGGACCGACTTGGGCGGGACTTTCACTAGTAGATAGCTCATGTTATAAGAAGTAACTTAGCCTGCTTAAATTTTAGAAAAATTATTAGGTGTCTTTGCAACAATATTAACGCCCTAAACTAAACGCGGACGAAGTCGCGGGGTACAGCTAGTAGCTAAAATAAATTCAAAATTAATTGAGTACTTTTATCTATCTCCCGGGTGAGCGTAGCAATGATTAGTTACATCTTTATTTTTGAACTCTTTCATTTCACGTTGCTATGGTATTTTGAAAGTTTAAATTTAATTAATTAATAAGTATAAGAGGTTGATAGCAAATTTATCAAGAATCATTTCTTGCCTACACACTTTTCATGTATCGTGTACGTTTTTCTTTAAAACTGGAAAAAACCGCGCATAATATGCCGACAGATAAAATAAAAGTACTCCATTAATCATGACAATTTTTCCATACTAATGAAATAAAATATTTGATTGCAATTATAAAATGCTTGAACTAGGTGTCATGTCATGCCACGCATCTCGGACACGTGATGACGCGGGTGATCCACGAAATTATTAGGTATACGTCTGTGGCTCTATATACCTAATATAGATTGCTTATTTTATTATGTTTAGTTTTCCCCGAGTGGTCATGCAGCAATCACTCAAGAGTTCGGCTTCGAACGTGTGTAACTCGATAATTATCCCACGGCAACGAAATACCTGAATAAACGGTATCATATATGATATTTGGCAGCTCCATGGCGCAGTGGCTTAGCAATGAATTGTTGTACTGGGAGCCGCGGGTTCGTATCAATCGAACAAGTATTTGTATGGTCTACAAATAATTGTTCCGGGTCTGGATGTTTGTAAACTGCCTCCACGATACAGGAGAAAATCCTAGTGTGGGGTAACGTTTTTTTGCAAAAAAAAAATTCCGGACTACTGAGCAAAATATCATCCAGATCCCTTCAGCCGTTCTGGCGTGATTGAGTAACATACATCCATTCATCCGTCCATCCAAATATCCAAACTTTCGCATTTATAATATTTAGATAATAATCGTAATTGGTCTGCATACCTATAAATTGTTTTCAAAAATACTTACTTACCTGGCTTCTTATTTTTTTATATATACTCAATATCACTAAACGTAAACACAGGTTTTTATCAAGACAAGTGACCCATCAAGATTGTTTTCTTAGTACCGACGTACCTATCTAAAGTTTACAATTTTGTGGTCACGACGCGGCGAGGTTTTGTGACATTTTGTTGTATTGTTGATTGTAGGTATCTAGGTAATAACAGTAGGTACCTATGAAAATCCCACATAATATACTTTGTTTATCCGCCGCAAAAGTCGTCTAATAAATAATTAAACTGTTTTGTAATTCTTTATTTATTTATAACACTTGCATTGAGAGCCGTGGTAGCTCAGATGGTTAGCGCTCGCTGTAAGTATCACATTACGCGAGCAACCCGGGTTCGATCCCCGTCGGCACCAATGAAATTGTTGCAATTTTATATAGTAATCGAATATAGACTTTACTTTTTTTACTTTTATAATTATATTATATTACAGACGAAAATTTTAAAATATTGTCTGTCGTCCAAAACGCATCATCTCTTTCAATTATATCAATTTCCATGCCGTCTTTTGTCTTTGGCGTCCAAATTACAAAATAGCAAAACTTTTCGTTTCGAATAAAACTCGAATACTTATAAGCGCGCGTCACCGCCTGTGCATGTGTGTGTAAGCATCGTCCTCCCGCACCGCACCGGGGGAGACATTATTCAGTGAGATGCACGATAATTCAGAGTAACATGCGCGCGTAAAAAAATACGAAAAGGCCTTTGGAAGAAGGGGTTTTATGAAAAAACCACTGCATTAATCAATTACAAATAAAATTTATTGAGTTCTTCGATAATTTACCTGTGTCGGTACCGACTTTGTTTTGGAAATTTTACACTTCTTTTATTACTAATTTACGCCCAAAGTTGTGTTAAAATTGGCAATAAAAACGAATCTTTGGTAGCTCGTAACTTTTTAATAACATTTTATTTTACTATTCTGTTTCCGTACAGACAAATTTAATAATGAGACAAAACGATATCATGTTTAATTTTGGATGTACACTGTCAAACAGCGGAGTAAAACCCCTCCGAAATTTCTATGGAAATAATGTCGACTAGTGTCACCTTAACATATCGTTTAACAAAATAGATGGCCAATGTTAAAGCATCTAGGCAAATGAAGTTATTAACAGATTGCGTCGGTAATTTTTTAAAAAGTGTCAAGGTTAAAGTTAATATTTAAAACCTAATTCTAACAACGTTAGACAGTTTAAATAATTAAAATACATAAAAACAAATGTATTTTGAAATGTTTACCTGGTCTAGGCGATGATTTGTGACTTTCTTCCATTGCATTTTCGAAGAACTTTTTCTTATCGCTGACAGAAGCTTTCACGAAATTACCAGAATGAGGTGGGGAAGCCTGGAAAACAGATCGATCGAGTGAATAAGTGAATTTCATTGCTAAAACATTTAAATGTTAATGACACTGACATTGAATAATGAAATAAGAAGCGCGGTATATTTACAAGCAATGAAAAATCTTTTTCCAGATAATTTAATAAAACACCCATGCAGTCAGTTTAGTCAGTTATGCAGAGAAATAAATAATAATGCAAATGTAAGTAAATTAAATAGAACATGCAAAATATAAGAATCGCAAGTTAAAAACAATGAACTGATCTTGTAACAAAATGGGATATGAGGAATGAAGTTTGACACGTGGTTTTAGTCAAGAATTAGGATCTGTTGGTCGACGAACACAATCAAAATAAGCTGAGTGTATGTGTGGGTAAGATGCCGTACATTTATGTTTACCTCGCCGATGGCGAAGGATTTGATTTTGTTGCTCCATGCGGGTTTCAGGGTGGATGCGGGCGAGGAACTCCCTTCCCTCACAGGCTCCGAACTGTTCGACAATCTATCAGATTCTGGCGCAGTCGTCACATCGCCGAAATGGACTCTTCTCTCTGATTGAACAACTTTAGGCGTGTCGCCAATATGCATGGGGACTGCTTGTGTGAGATTTGCATTTATATCTTTTTCTAATGGGGAGATAGTTGAATGGGTTACTCTTGGACTGTACGTAGCCGCATCTGCTTGATTAGAGACACGTACCGGCAGAGGCTGGGTGTAAGGATTATATGTACCAGCGACTGTCGTCAGCGATGGGTACGGATTACTGGGCGGATAGGTTGTGGAATGAGCCATATTCGATGGCATATTTTTAATTCTTAGATCTCTAAGCGAGGCATGTTGTGTTTGATTAGCGTTCTGACCATCTTCGTAATAGCACAAATTGGGATGTAAATTGCAAGGGGAATTAGGTATGTGTGAAACTGTTGGAAGCGTTTTTAACTGTACATGTAATAATTCTGGCGGTTCGGGCTCCCCATCAGGACTGGCCGACAATTCATTATAATACTCATCAGTGTCTATTGAAGGAAAATCAGTGTTACGGAAGACTTGATAGGAAGGCACTTCAGAAACGATTATTGAACGGGGTCGCTCATCAGCTGACGGAACTAGCGCTGGAAATGCGGCGTAGTTTACAGGAGGAGGGAATTCAGATTCGGGGGAATTGGTCGAATTCGACGACTGCATGGTTGTTTCAGCCACAACCGGCTCGGGTAGTACAAGTCGCTCGGGTATCACAGAGATGAGTGGTACATCAACTTCACACTCGTCCCGCTCTATTAACTGACTTTGACTTACGTTGGTATCGAACAGAGGCGGAGGAGGGATGATAAAGTCCTCGGGGAGCACCAAAGCCGCCTTCGAGACCGGTTTCGTAACCGCCACCTCAGTTTGCAGCGGTCGACTTTGTATTAGTATAGAGCTACGCATCCCTGAGCATGCATCGTTAGTCGTAGCGATCGGTTTCTCCAGGAGATTGTCATGCATTTCCACATGCGGTGGGGTTCGGGTAAAATCTGTTTCGTTCGTCGACAACGAGTGTCGTTCGTGTTCGTCGGTGTAGTGGTCACTGGTGAAACTAACTCGCTTCGTGTTCGGTTTCCGCGGCACTTGCGGTTTCTGTTTGGTGGGGGGAGGCGGCGGCGGGTGGGACGGTCGGGAGATTTGTTGCGAAACTTCTGGCGCGTCCACTGACGTGCCGTCGTCGGATTTGGTCAACGTTGTGGGCGTTGCAGGCGGAATGGGCGCAGAGGGCGTGGCGTGTGTGGGCGGCGCGTCGAGCGAAGTGGGCGTGGCCGGAGGGGGCGGCGTCTTCACTTTCTGCTGTGTGAACACACCCAGCGGCGACGGAGTCGCCCCTTGTGAACTAGCCGTCTAACCAAACCAACAAAATACTTCACCATTCTCGTTTACAACTCTATTATTTCATCTAGATACGAGCTGAACTCAAAAAAACAAGTTGCGAAGTAATAGATATTGCAAAAGAAACGTAAGTATTTAAATAGTATTCATACTTTTATAAAAATACCATATAAAATAAAAATAAAAAACAACTTGCACGAAACTTATTTAAATAATTTGAAAAAGAAAAACAAGATGCTAATAAAAATATAGCCGACGAACCAATCGAAGAACAGAAATCTTCCAAAATAAATGTTTTTAAAATTTGCTAACGTAAAAGGTTGACGTTGTTTTTAAATAAGAGAAAAACGATTACTTTTGAAACATTGTGTATTTAAATGTAACACTAAAATATAACTCCAGTAGAATAATTTCGTGTATAAAAGTAATGACTTGACAATGAATGAACGGACACAAAGTTATTATCAAACGTTAAAATAATTGGCAGTTACAGATTTGGCAAAATGTAATGCAAAAACTACATTCAATTTAAAAAGACATTATTTCAACGATTGAAAAGCGTACAAAATAATGGAGAAAATATATTTTTCTCACTACAATATAAATGCTTAATTAACATAATAATAATTCATTCAAATGATATGTCGTTAGCAATTAAAGCGTAAATATACATTTATAGCGACGTAATTGCATTAACACGATTAATAAATACTACACCAATAATTAACATCACAAACATTAAAATAAAAGTAATAAACTATTTCATTTTCATTTCATTTTATCAAAATTATAAAACAATTAAGTGGTAAATAGCTCCAATATTATGAAAACAGCTGATACATAATTGCAATAAATTTGTAAATTGTTTAAAATGGACTTAAATACGTCATTAATAGAAACTTGTGTATAATTTTGCATGCATTTGATTTTTATACAGATTATAAAATAACTACAATGTTACCATTATATTGAAGTATAAAAAACAGTTAAAAAAGGTTTTATTACATAAGTACAAGATAGTACGAGGTATATATTAAATATAAATACTGAGTATTAAACAAGATTTTGGTCATTTTGATAATAGGAATTACATGTAAAATATAATAATTAAAGGATGCTACGAAACCGGTGTTGTCATTATAGAGCAAGTGCACAATAATTGTAGTTTTTGTAGTAAAGTGGTTGCAGGATGATGCTAACTCATTACGTCAACTGCAATTGTATTATCTCAGGAACTGTAATATTTGTTAAATTGTGATACTTATTATAAAGAAAAAGAACAACAAAAACCATTGTTCCTAAAATAGGTCGGTATTAAAAGGCTTGACAACACAAATGATGTTTGGAAAATATACTTTTATATTTTGCGGTAGCGATCTATACTTCTTTCCTTAATAACTGTTTAATTTCCCTCTGTCTCCTCTTACGATAACCACGGGAAGTTATGAGGTAGTAGATTCTCTGACGCCGCCACTACACGCTAACCGGTCTCTACACTTAATATATCTAGCAAACTAACCCTGTTCAAGTATATGTTACATTAAAATGTATTAATACAGAAAACGATAAAGAATACAGCCAATAAATACCGACATATCTATTCTATGTTAATTATTATGTTCCAAAATAACAGCCACAAATCTTCAAATATATTCCATTTCAACAAAATAAATGAGCTGAAAGCTTTTATGACAGTGTAATCATTTTTCAAGAAAAATTATATAACATTATATAAACATTAATAAAAACTTTACATCGGTAAACCCTCCACCATACAAAGGACCACTAACAATACATTTCACCAATATGTACAAAATATTTTGACAAAATGTCAAAGTTTTCACGAGTAAAATATCTGACATATTCAACATATGCGTAAAATATTAGATCTTTAAGTTTATCGGTAGGTATATATTATGATAGTTAATGTTTGGGCTTTACTTAGACATTTTTATAAATGAATAATTAGGAAATGAATTTTATCATTATTAAGTCAGTAAATCACACAGATGGATGTCAAGTGTAATGTCATAATATGATAAAAAGGAACTTTTACTTATTGTTGCCGTGTTATTAAAATGTTAAAGGGTCAATATGTCAAATATTTGTTTTCATTCATCAGTTCATCACACAGTATTTATTTACATTAAATTGGACAGATGTATTTAATTGGTGTACTATGTGTTTCCCTCCTTTTCCACTGGGTTTGCATTCTGCAATGGATGTAATACGGGTTGTCAGTATAACTCACTTCTCTATTTTATGTAAATTTCGTCTAACACACAACAACAATAAACTAATCTACCATCGATAAAAATTTTCTACCACCTGGGACTAAGCCAATAGCAAGTTACAATGAAGTGGTCCATCACAAATTTAATATTCACGTCTTATATGCCACAGATGGAGAAAATACAAATAAATTGAGGTCACATGCAAACCATATTCGTCAGTTAGGTGATAACACAGATTTAATACAAGATGAAATCTAGAATAGGATCAGAGTTAAAAGAGATTTAAATATTTTACAATTAAATATTATATCACCCTTCCCTCTCAAATGAGTCGTCTACATAATAAAAATAATTTAGTACAATACACTAAAACGACATTTATTTTGGAAGATATTAACGATATAGCATACGTAGATTACTTAATATAGATAATTAAAATATTTTCATGCAAGCGGTATACTACAAGGTGCATGCTATAGACAAATAAAAAAAAAACTTTGACCGTGCAAAAATACAACTTTTAATCGGCCTTTCAATATAAAATACAAGCTATACTATAGTCATGCCATTTTAAGTTTATTTCGAATATACGATTAAAAATTAAGGCACATTTTTAATACTATTTCAGTGATAAATTATCTGTGCAAGTCTTAATAATATTATTTTTGTCTCAAGGTTCAGTAATATTAGCGTATTTATTTTTAGAGACGTTAGCTTATCGTTTAAGATATTTATAAGAGTTAGAAAATGTTAGAGAGCTTATTAATAGATTAAGAGCATTAAAGTTTGTATATTGTTGTGCGAGATCTAACCTGAGGTTGTAGCGTGTGTTTGGACATGACGACTGTGGTGGTCTTATGCTGCGGCTCCGGCGATGTAGGCGGTGCCGGTTCCAAGCCAATACTTTCCACCGCGTGAACAATGTCCATTACCTAATAAATAAACAATGTAAATAGACATTTCGGCCGTAATATTTATCTGTCAGGTCACAAGCTACTAAAAAAGCATCAACTCTCGTTTTGCAGAGTGAACTGTTTAGTTTCATCCAATTTCACACTCTAACTTATTCGCTCATTTAATGTAGCCCCTACGACATTTTATATATTAGTGTTAAAGTAGAATAAGTTAAGGCTGTATAATTAAAATTTTGAACTGAGCAACACGTGTCCTTTTCATTTAACAACTTCCCACATTACATGGCGACCCTGCCAGGCGGTGCGCTGCTACAATGCATGCGCACCGCCGGGCCTAGTTAAAAGGTACGAATAAAATATTACTAAATTAAATAATGAAGACATGAGTGAAATAATTGACAAAAAATAATAATATTATAACTGAATGGATCTTAAATCTAGATAGTATGCTTTAGATTATAGTAAATTCATTTAGATATTAATTAATTACATCTATAATATAAAAATGAATCACTGAATGTGTTGCTAAGCGCAAATTTCGAGAGCAGCTGAACCGATTTCGCTTATTCTTTTTTTATAATATTGCTTGAAGTACGAAGATGGTTCTTACGGGGCGAAAATTTTAAAAAATTGCCCGATAGTTTAAAAACGACACTTTTCTATATTCCCATACAAAAGATTCGTAATAATACTTAAAAGTCAATTTGAACTTTAATACCATACCATAGTGTTAGTGGAGGGGTTCCGGGAAGGTAAAACAATTGAGTGACGTTAGTATCGTATAAATATTAATGTCAATATTTGTCAATATTTATACACACTAGCAGATAGATGATGTTATAAGGAGTAACTTGGGCCGATTTTATTTTAGAGTTCCGCGAAAAATAACTCCACGCGGGCGAAATCGCGGGGAACAGCTAGTTTAGAATAATTTTTAAGGATTGTTGTAAAAGATATAACTTTATTTTTTATTTATTTTTTGTCGGTGGGAGCTGTAGTGTAGCCCCTACGACATATTATATATTAGTTTTAAAGTAGAACAAGTTAAAGCTGTATAATTAAAGTCTTGAACTGAGCAACACGTATCCTATTTATTCAACAACTTTCGACATTACAAGGTTGTGATATTAATCTTCAGTCAGATCAAGTTGCATATGATTTTTTTTTTGTGTAAATGTAACGATTACACATTTCTCATACCTTTTCAGGTGTAGATTTTTCCCTCTCTATTGCGACTTGTTTCTCTTGTTCATACTCAACTAGATCCTTATGGAATTGTTGCTCCTGAAACATTATGTACAAGATTTATTATTATCAACTTCTTTTTTTTAAATGGACCAGCTGCAAGTGTGAAATATAATAAAAGTACATATACAGTTAAAAGATAGTGTAAAAAGGCGAGTAAAAAGATAAAAGAAGATGCAGAAGAAATAAAAGTGCGCAACGGAGGAATAGGAAGCACGAAACCAATAATTACAATATAGTACAATATTGTGAGTGGTAGTACTACACATTACAATTTTCACTTGGTACTTTGTGTACATATATTTTGTGTGAGATTGCCGCTCTTACCTACTGTCGTCAAAAAATTGTGCATCCTCTGCTGCATTCTAATTCGAAAGGTTAGAAAGGCAGTATAATTATTATGTGCTGTGAGACATTTCATCTCAATCTTCAGATGTGACAACGCATTTGTCTGCTTTTTTTAGAGACATCCAAGTGAAATGTGAATCTAGTGTACAGTTCAGAGTGGGACTGGAATAACCACTTACCATCAGATTAACTGTTTGTTAGTTCGTAACTTCTGTAATATAAAAAAAGTTAATAAACTTTAAATTTTGACAATAACCTGTTGTTGTTGGTGCAATGTTTCATCCCTGTCCAGGCTCGATGTGGAGTGAGACAGAGAGCCGCCAGTGTCTGCCGTTCCGCTCTCGCTACCAGTCTGTGTATATTGCGGGTGCATTACTAACTACTATGAACTCGAGCATCAGTTGTACGCAAAACATTCAATATATTTTTAATGAGGTGTTTTTTTTTTAAATTATGTAACATACATATTTCTTTTAAATTTTATTAATTACGTCTAGTAAATTTTCTAAGTAGCATCGACAACAAAAATTATGCTGTGCTATTTACGACTTTCATACATATAAGTTATTATTGTGTGCGATAAGAAATTAAAATGCCACAACGTTTATTCAATTTTAAACGGCTTAAGTATAAATTTCTTTTAATTGTAATCAATATTCTGTTTCGCATTGTTAAAACAACAGCCTTATGTTTAAACTACTTCATCATTCTTCATTACAGCCTTTCATAAGTCCACTGCTGAACATAGGCCTTCCCCAAGGAATGCCACAAAGCACGGTCCTGAGCCACCTGCATCCATCGACTTCCTGCATGTCTTACCAGGTCGTCACTCCATCTCGTGGGGGGTCACCCTACACTTCGCCTACCGGTACGAGGCTGCCACTCGAGAACCTTTCTTCCCCATCGGTTGTCGGTTCTTCGAGCTATATGGCCGGCCCACTGCCACTTCAGCTTACTAATCCGTTGGGCTATGTCGGTTACTCTAGTTCTACTGCGGATATACTCATTTCTAAGTTTAGGCAAATCGAAGGTGAGTGATGTACTCGCCATTGATGTTAATACCGTATCGTTTCCAGTCCAGAAGCTTGAAAACGTCTTCCAATGCAGCGGTGAAGAGTTTCGGGGATATAACGTCACCCTGTCTTACACCTCTCTGCAATTGGATAGGTTTCGTACTCTGCTTCTGTACTCGGATAGCCATCGTAGCCCTACTGTACAAGCACTTCAACACTTCGATATATCGACAGTCAACTTGGCACCGCTGAAGGGACTGCAGCACCGCCCAAATTTCGACGGAATCAAAGGCTTTCTCATAGTCCATATACGCTAGACATAGTGGCAAATTATACTCCTCGGACATCTGTACAATTTGCCGAAGGGTATGTATGTGGTCTGTGGTGCTAAAGCCTTTTCGGAACCCGGCTTGTTCGGGAGAATGGAAGTCGTCAAGTCTGCTCGCGAGACGATTCGTAATGACTCGAAAACAGCACGTAGACGCGGCTCTGAAGGGAAATCGGTCTGTAGTTCTTCAAGAGAGCGTTGTCGCCTTTCTTGAAGAACAAGGCCACTGCACTTTTGCTCAGCACCTCTGGTGTAATGCCACAATGGAGGACGGAATTAAAGAGCTTCTGAAGGACTTCAAGTACTGGTTTTCCACCCCCTTTCAGAAGCTCCGCTGTAATTCCATCCTCGCCTGGGGCCTTGCCGTTTTCAAGGTGCTGGAGAGCCATTCTAATCTCGCTCAGACTGACGACCGGGATATCATCGGAATGTCGGATAAGACTCGCTCTTGGATCGTTATCACAATTGCGTGAGGCTCCAACGACGATGTATACAGCTGCCCATAGAACCTTTACAATCTCACTGCCACAACGACGCTGCCACACTCGGTCGTCAGCGTCGACAGTTGGCTCTTTCTGGCAGATAGATCTCTAGCAAAGACTTTAGAGCCCTGGTTCCGCTCGATCGCTTCTACAATACGAGCAGTATTAAAGTTGCGTAAGTCCCGGCGCATGCATTTGGAGATCTGTCTGTTCAGTTGCCTGTATGCTGTCAAATCTACTGAAGACTGCAGCTTCATATCCCGTCTAACAGATCAGATCAAGAGTGTGATGGGAGAGTTTTTGTGTTCTTCTGCAGTGGGTCTTGCAGAACTTAGCTCCGACCGCATGGACAGTTTCCACGAGTTTGTCATTCATATCGTCCACTGCATTGCAATCTTCTAGGCACTGAAAACGGTTTCGTAGCTCGAGCTGAAAGGTTTCGGGATTTTGGATTAGAGCACGAGGGGGACGGAGCGTTGACTTCATTAGACGTGACCTCTCCAACTTAACGTTTAGGTTCAGTGTGCCTCTTATTCGGTGATCGCTGCCGGTTTTCACCCTCGCGATCACTGAGACATCACTGAACAGTTGTCGTCTGGTCGTCATAATGAAGTCAATCTCATTTTTTGTGGAACCGTCGGGGCTCGACCAGGTCCACTTCCTGTGGGACCGCTTCTGGAAGAAAGAGTTCATCATAAAGAGTCCCTCTTTCTCCATGAAGTCGGCCAGCTGCTGGCCCCTTGGGTTCCGTTGCCCTATTCCCAATTTCCCTACTTTCAGCTCACCGTTCTCTCTTGTGCCTAGTTTTGCGTTGAAGTCTCCCATTAACACCGTATAGTGTGTTTTGGAGGAATGCATGGCTCTGGAGATATCCTCATACATTTCCTCCACCTCCTCATCGGGGTGTGCCGAGGTTTGTGCGTAATCCTGTATGACCTTCAGCGAATACCGTTTGGTGATTTGAGTATAAGGTACGCAACCCTCGTCGACACACTCCCAATCTTTACAACGTTGTTAACGAGAGACTTGTGGACGATAAATCCGACACCTCCTTGGGACAGATGGACCCTCCCGGTGATAGAACAAGTTACGGATTCGAGGATTACCGTGTCCTCCCCCTCTCTTCGGACCTCGGATAATCCTATAATATTCCAGCGCAACTTGTCTATCTCTTCTTCCAGCTCCAGGATCTTCTCGTCAGTCCTTAGGGTACATGCGTTATAAGTTGCCAGGTCGAGTCTTCGTAGGTGGCAACCGAACCTCCACCGTTCTTAGCACCCCCTGCCCCGCCGTTACCATGGTCGCCACCGTAGCCAGGAATACCGGGGCCGCCGAGGACTGGGGGCCATCTCTTCGTTACTCTCATGGGTGGTATATTGCCATAGTTGCCACGCTTGGCGAGCGGGTTGGCAACCGCAGTTTTTGTATTGTTGTTTTGCTATTATCAGAAAGATGCTGCTGCCCATCCTCTGCCTCAGTTTCCCTCTGTCGCATCTTACGACACCCACGGGAAGATATGGGGTAGTGAGTATTCTTTCCCGCCACTACACGGGCAAGCAGTTTTATTAATAACCGACGAATAATTTACTAACGAACCGACGAAAGTTTGTTTACACTTTATTCTCGTCTCACTGGCCTTACTATAAACATGAAAAAATTACAACATAAATAATTATTAAAGTTGGTAAAAAATTACTTCGCGTACATCCGCTCGATAAAATAAAATGATGTGTCTTACCTAGATTGAAGAGCACCTCCCGCCCTCCGCCAATTGTGTGACCACCAGTGTTGTCTTTCCTAGTGTAGTGGTGTTGGGAGTAGTGGTGCTGGGATTAGTGGTGACTTTTTACCAACTTTAATATAATGGACTTCCGCAAAGTAACGCCTGATTCTCTTAATTATCATATAAATAAATATAGCAGACACACGCGACGTTTCAGATTTTCACTCGATCTGTCGAGCGCGTCTTCAGTTCTTTTTTCTGAAAATGGGGTCTAACAATGAATCACAGGAGCTCTGCTCGCAAGTCCTGTAACTGTGAACAGTGTTAGATGTAATGTGTGTGTAGTACACTATACTAATGCTAAACACTCGCTACTTGCGGTGCCATAAATCAACGGTGCGCTTGGAACAGACGTGTGCGGTGCGTCACATATCGATAACCGCTTATAGATTCCTAGAAGAATTAAGAATAGTGTGCGCTGGCGCGCGTTAGTTTATTAATAAGTGCGGGTAATTTAATAATAATTATTAATTACGTTTAGAGGATATAAATACTTGTTTTAATATGCTTCTATAGTCATTTGATATTTGAACGTTGCTGATTATTGTTTTAACCTAAGTTAAAATGGACCAATAATAAATGTAATTATAGATTAATTTTCTTTTTATTTTGCATTCTTTCCTTTTTCATGATATGCACATCAACACGACAGTTGTGCGTCAGTATGTCTGCCGTAAGTGCGATAGAGAGCGCCACAGGCGGCGTCCTGTTGCTCCATTTTTAACCGACTTAAAAAAGGAGGAAGTTCTCAATTCGACTGCTTTTTATGTGTGTTGCCTCAGAACTGTTTTCAAGGTGAACCGATTTTGATGGTTTTATTTGAAAACTGGTACGTTTCATGTGGTCTCATATAAGTTTGATCAAGATCTGACCAGTAGTTTTTGAGTTATCCTTAATAATTTTTTTGAAACATTTGACTTGGAGTAGATTGATGATGTTGTCATTTTATTTATATTGAAGTGGGTTGTAGTTGTAAGTAGTTGTCAGTGTGTGTTGAATGTGAGCAGTGGCATCGCATACGTACGGCGCACTTGTCGGGGCGCGAGTAGCCGTGGCACACGACGAGGTGCAGCGGCGCCAGCGTGGCGGCGCGCAGCGCGTTCACGGCCTCGCCGTGCGTGGCGCCCAGCAGCGACGCGCCGTTCACCTCCAGCAGCCGCATGCCCACCTGGTACCCACACCGCGCTTGTATATCAATGCTCTTATAACTCTATTCACCTCTCGCTTGCACACTGTCTCTGTCCATACTCAAACCCGAAACCCGCCGGTAACGATAACAAAAAAAATAACATTATTCACGTGTTGCTAGAAACGTTTCTTGCCTTTTATTGTTTTTAACTTCCGGCACAAGTAACAGAACGAAACCGTTTAATACACTTTTTTGTAGTTTTGATTGTGATTGAGTAGCCTGTATGATTATATTACTTAATTATTTGTAAATTTATTAAACTCTAACCTATCTATTATAATATTATATTAATATAATATTATAATAGATAGGTTGGAGTTTAATAAATTTTATTTTATTACAAAATTCAAACGATTTAATATACTATTCAGTCAATTCCCAAAAAAGAAAACAACATAATGTGTTAATTAATATAATACCATATATGCTAACGGTACAAGCTCTACTGAGACTGCTCTCTCTCGATCAGCCGCCAATTCTAATCCTATTCTTTATCCCGCACAGTTAGTACAAGATCACCGAAACTACCGCTGGGTTAGCCAAGATAACTTTCTGCGATCGTTAACACTAGAAAACTATAAAAATTCATGAAGACCAGATGTGATCACATATATCATACCCATATGTGTTTATAGTTTTCTTATAGTTTTTACAGTCATCTTGGCAAACTCCGCTCTTATTGTTCTTAAAAAAATATCCTTCTTCTTCAACAACCACTATAAATTTGACCATTAGTTGTAGGCTATTTTAAGAATATGCCTGTTGGCATGCATTTCTTGGAAGTATTACCTAAACCCACCACAATGAGCAGGTGGGTTGTCAGCTAGGAGCTAAAACGGTACCACAAGCAACGCTACTTTCCATCACCAATCATTGAGATGTGTGTTCGACATTTTAGGTTAGAAATTCCGCCATCAGTCAGTCATCAAAACCTAATCCATCAGTCAGCAGGATGCATTGCATGCAGATTGACAAAACATAACATTTGAAGAATCTTCTCTTTTCTTCTCTTTCTTTTTTTTAAGACGTTACCTCTACACTAGGATTTTCTTCTGTATTTTGAGGGCAGTTTACATACATAAATTTTACTAACATCCAAAACATCCTAAAATCCAAAACAATTAATTGTAGGCCATAAAATTTCTTGTTTCGTGCGGGATTTTAATCCACGGCCTTTAGCACAATATTTCATATTCAGCGTTAATATTACATATTCCTTATAGTAATAATACTTCGTATCATCGGGTGGTAAGGTTTAAAAATTTTTGTAAAGGATCATCCGAACTATGGGTAAAATCTAAGACCAGCAGCGAACTATATTCGAGCTGATGTTGAGGAGGAATATTTTGGCTACGCGATGTAAAATGATCGGCCAGCAGCTGTTGTACAATAATGATTGTGGTGCAAAATGAGTCCTTAAAAAACTAAAACGCCATACAGGCTGACGATAGAACAGTTGATTCGTTACCTTGAGTCGACCGTCTCTCCTCGCCGCTCCACCGCTGTTAATTTTGGATATGAAGACGCCTTCATCGTTCGGATCGTTCGGATTGCCGCGTTGTCCGTTTAGACCTCCCTTTATGTGCATTCCTAACTTTTCTCCTTCTTGCTTGATTATCGTTAACTCCTGCAAAAATGTGCATTTAAAAATACTGTGTTCGAAGAAATGGTAGGTACTGAATTTTATTTTACAAATATCACAACATAAAATATACACACACATACACAATAATATCATCAAAATCATAAAAGCTCTGGGTTTATAAAAAATTATCATGCAAAGCGATACAAATCATGCATTTTGAGAAACTAATTATAGGCCAAAACATATTCTATAAAACAATAGCTAACGTGGATAAAAATGAAATCAAACAATTTCTTTAAAAAGCTGTAACGGAATGGCTATAGTTCCCAAGGGCAAAATATTGGGGATGGTCATTTCCCCCAAGATCAAAGATCGTTTAGTAAATCCTGTATGTATAAAGAATAAAGCCTAAAGAAAAAAATAACCATTCATACGACGTTAGCTGAGCACACTGAGTGGAATAGGGTTGTAATCTGACATATATATTTGGTAAACACACAGAGGTTCGAGATATCGCCGGGTGACTTTCACACTTACAGTTGCGTCAACAATCTCAACTTGAATGAGAGCCTGAATTCGTGTCGCAGATGCCATCGTGCGCACGTGTGGAACAAAACAACGATTTCGCTTTTTATAACATCACATACAATTTTAAAGTAATTTTTTCGACGTGCAGCAATTGGTCAATTTTTTGTTTAAATTAGAAAAGCATATTTACTTTGCAAGTGTCTTTAGTACAAGCATGATGCACATTTCATTTCTGTATCGCCAAATGCTACTTAAGCGACAAACTCTTAAGCAACATTCCATATCAATTACATTAATTGTGTTATGCTTTATTCTCATTTCACATGTATCCAATGTTCGGCATTCATGCATACATTGCCTTACTTGATGTGTACACAAAAGAAATCATAAGAATTATTATGTACTCAAACAGAGAGGTATTTTCTAATGAAGAGTAAGCGATTCGATTTTAATTTCGCAATCATTATTACTACACTTACTGTATGATACAGGTTCGCCAAATCAAAAGATAAATTTTGTATTAACTTTGAAATAATTTAATTCAAAAGCTTACAAAGCCTTTAAACGTACCTACCTACCACAGTTAAAGTACACAATGCAAAATAGTATTAGTAAATTTGTTAATGGCGTTTATTTACACAACTAGAAATTTGCAAACGTTAGAAAGTATATAATACCTATACAAATATGTTCTTTAAAATAATTGCTTTGTATTAGTAAACATGCAGTATTATTGTTTCCTGAGTTTTTTATCAATATTTGGATATCGAAAATTACACAACTATCGAACAATATTTTTTACATTTAACTTTTATAATCAATTTTAGATCTACATAATATACACTAAATGTAATCACGACAAATACTCAACCTGTAAAATTGATCAAGTATAAATAATAAAATGTTTATATAGAATTTATACTATGCAAACATTTTATTATTTACTGAATTTAACTGCAATGTATTCGAGTTTATCTCTTGTAAATTATAACAGAGCGTTTGTTCCGGAGCAAGTTTGTTACGTACCTGGAAGCCTGGCGGCAGTGGATCGTGTCGCACTGTGAGTGTTAAGGTGGGTCCAGGCTGCAGTAGAAGTTGTACAGCTTCGCGATGGGTCGCACCAGACAACTCCGTGCCGTTCACTTTCAGCAAACGATCGCCCATGCGGAGTTTGCCTGATCGTGCGGCAACACCGCCGGGGACAACCTGTTTTAATAAAAAATAATTGGATTAAAACATATTTTAAAAATTAACTTAAATTATCATCGAATCTTGCTGTAGTTGGCACTTGACAGGCGGGTTGGCAGCTGGCAGCAACAGAACCACATTTTTTAAATATTTTGATTTATTATCAGGAAGATGCTGCTACCCATCTACTGTTTTAGTTCTCTCTATCACCTCTTACGACACTCACGGGACGTTATGGGGTATGGGGTAGTGGATATTCCTTACACCGCTACTACACGGTCAACCCGCCTGTCTAGCGTGGGAACTATGACAAAATCCTCCCTATAAGGCAATCTATGGGAGTGACGCTGGTTCAGCAGTGGACTTTTATATGCTGTTATAGATATTATGGATCTTCAGATCTGGTTGAAATTTGTACAGAACCTCCGTGAAAGAAATTTGTAGAATCGGTCGAATAATGTCATTGACATCTATTTCAAATAGACAAATCAAGATCCCAAATTTTAAACAGTTTAAAATTTTATTCATATTCGTTGGTAGATTACGTTCCGTAGGTAAACAATTATTTGCGTGTCTCTTCTCGGCTCGGTCGCAGTTGGACTTACCTAGTCGGACTATTTGTCACAGGTACTGGCGACAAACACTAGCATAGGTGTGACATGGACGTTACACAACATAGTTTTTTTTTCGTTCATGTTGCACTTAAGACCTATCCGTTGGGAGGCACTAGTGAGGTCATTAAGCATAGTGCTTAGGTCCTCCAGCGATTCTGCCATAAGGACTTTATCGTCGGCAAATCGAAGGTGAGTGATTTTTTTATTATTAAACTAGGCTCACTCCTGACCTCCATGTGACCCGAGGGCAAAGATGAGGTCTACGAATGAGCGAGTTTGCTCAGGAGAAGCCTGTTAACACGCACCTTGAAGAGGTTAAAGTTATATGCACTCGGAAAAAGAGACGCCGGCAGGGCATTCCACACTTCTTGGCTGTGCGCATTATGAAAGATGACTTATAGCGCTTAGTACGAAAATTCGGAATATCAACCGAGTGTAGATGGTAACGTGCAGTAGGTACGTTTGGTATTACAATAGGTAAATGGATATGGCGGTATGAGCTTATGAAGCTCATGGGCATATTCTCCGAAGTACAATCTGTAGAAGACCGACAAACAAGCAAATTGGCGGCGGTGAGCTAAGCTGTGAAGTTTAGTTTCCACCAGCTTTTTGTCGTCGCTAAGCTTCTTGGCTCTACGTTGCACTGATTCGAGTGCGGCAAGTTGATAATTTGCTGAAACATCACAAAGGTGACTACAATACTCCATGTATGTTCGGACTTGAGCTTTGTATAATGTTAGAAGCTGTCCAAGCGTGAAGTGTCGCTTCAGTTTATTTAAAATACCCAGTTTTTTGACCAAACTTTGTGCTTTCGACTTAATGTTGGTGCTAAAGTTGAGGTTAGCACTCAACTGTATGCCGAGAAGCTCGAGATAATCAGTAACCACTACGGAAAGTAGAAGTCAGATTAAGCGGACTCCGTTTTGTGGAGAACAAACAGGCCTGCGTTTTGGCGGCGTTGAAATTGAGCAGATTGTCATCAGCCCATTGGGAGACGAGACTTAGGTCACATTTATCTGCTCCCTCATGGCCTCTCTGAGTGAACGTATTTTTCAATGGACATGAATCTCTGTGACTGTGCTGTCATCTGCACACTCAACAATACCTGGTAGAAGTAGGTCATTGATGTGCAGCAGGAAAAGAGTCGCAGAGAGAACTGACTCCTCAGGAACTCCGGCATTAATATGTATTACGTCAGAAGAGCATATATAGTCATATAAACTGATCGACCGTTCACTTAGAAAGTCAGATATCCAGTTGCAAAATTCGGCGAGTATGCCGTAAGCAGGAAGCTTACACAGCAGACTTGCGCGCCAAACTCTGTCAAAAGTATTCGAGTGAAACTGCTAGAGCTTCACCGTTCTTCCCGATGGCCTCGCCCTAAAAGTGCGTGATATACACAAGAATATCCCTAGTGAACCATCCACGGCGGAAGCCATATTGACGGTCACTGAGGAGCTCATTTGCTTCAAGGTATGTCAGCAGCTTACTGTTCAATACCCTTTCCATAACCACAGAATAAATAATAGTACAAGAACAGAAGGATCACTCTCTGATAGCAAACTTGCGAGTTTAAACCTAGTTACAACGTCGCTAATGTTCATAATACTTTGCACGCCTCAGAAGCAACCTTCGTGAAATTAGCCTACGTCGAAGAAAAATGAATGCGGCGCGCGAATTAAATCAAAATGCACCTTACGTCCGCGTACGTGTGTCTGTAAACTATAAGGGTGCCTTGTTGTTTTAACTACGGAACCCTAAAAACAGGCTAACAATTTACTTTATGGTAAATGGTTACTGTGTATAGCGTGCAGGGGTGGCCTGAAATCTAAAATTTACTAAGAACAAAGATTGTCCCTGACGACTAAGATGAAATACATTAGTCTGAAATGCTTTAATGACTTTTTTTGCTTTAAACCGGAACGTAGCAGAGGATATAAGGTTGCTGGTAATACCCTCTAACCTATTTCATATGGTATAAGGTATGTGGGTGATGGAATTTGAAGAGAAGAGAGAGATAATTTACTTATAATTTATAAAATTTATATCAATAGTTACAGACTTTTCGATTGCAAAGAAGACAAGAAATAATTATTTATTTGTATTACGTTTAGAATATTTTAAGTTAAATAACATTATCAAATACTAACATGTGAAACGAAAATGCCAGGTTCTTTGCCTCCAAAGGGTACACAGGAATGATCAGTGCCGCCAATAATACTGAAGCCAAGCGAACCGCCTTCTTTCAACAATGTCACGTCCTGAAACAAGTTTTTTTTTATTGTATAGCAGTTATCTATTTATAAATAATATTTGTACATAAAGTAGCAAAATAATAAAGCAAAAAGCAAAATAGCTGGCATTTCAATAACGACCTAGAAGATAGTATAACTTGTGATTAAACTGTTATTACAAATAATAATGACTAACAGTTTTAATCATTTAAAAATATAAAGTGTAGTTAAATAATGTAAAATCTGGATGTAATATTTTTTGGTAAATAAATATACTAAACTGGCTTTAAAAGGTATAAAATTTACACATCAATATACTATTTAATTTAAATATAAATAATTTTAAAATGCTAATGAACGATATTATATAAATCATAGTAAAAATGTCAATAAACGAACTTCATCGGAAAGTAGCTCGCTTTTCGAGAAGTTGCGTTTATTTAAAAGGACAACAAAAATAGAAGAGAAGTACATGTACAAATTGAAATATTTTTATATAATCACGGTTATCCGGAAAAATCTGGAACATAAGACAAATTGTAAAAAAATTAATTACCCTTTCGAATCAAACCTGTAAAATGATTTCACTAAGTTTTAAACGAGTATCAGGTTTAATTATTTTTTTAGGGATTTTTAAAAACATTTATTTTTGTAAAACTTCGCCTGAAATGTTTTGGTGGAAAGTTCCGGTGTTTAATGATAATTGCAATAATTTATTGCCATCGGTTGGAACGACTGGAAGAGATTCGACGTGGATTGTTCACAAGTAACTTTATATACATAAAAATAATGATTATTGGTCAGAATATTATCAGCGATACTATACAGCTATTATAGAGTGCGTTTTTATTCCACAGCTGCAATTTCGTGAGAATCTTAGGAATAAATTTACAAAATATGCTAACATAAAATATTAATTGGAAAAAAGAAAATATACATATATAATAATTCGTAAAAAATAAATCGTTTGAATGCTGGGATGCATAAATATTTCCTTAGTATATAGGTACATTAGATTTGTACTAGTATTTTTCTTTAACTTAAACTTAAAGTTGCAGTCTTTATATACGTCCCAGTGCTGTCAAAGGCCTCCTTTCATTTCTGAGAGGGTTATATGGCAAGGAAGGTCCGCCGGGCTGCCCCAACACGCAGTTGGCGTATTTTTCTTTGATCACGGGTATTTCTAAATGAAAACCCATTTCAGAATAAAAATCGTCATGTCTATATTTAAACAATAGTCTGCCTAAATTACCTAACTGAAATATTCAAATATTCATTACAAAGAAAAAGGCAATGCCTAATTTGATAAACTTACAATAAATTGCACTAGCTAATGCACATGAAAAAACTATGATATATTACGTAATTATTTTAGTATATTGCGACAATGTACTTTGGTGTTGGTTAAGCGAAACGGCGAATATACTTACAGTGCTTGTAGTTTAACAGCAATACGGATTAACATTGCTGGCAGTAGGTTACAAAAATAATTATACTTGTAACAATTCACATTTATAATAAATGTATTGTAGCTAATTACAATTTGAAAACTATTAAATTAAAAACATGTCGGATTTGTTGCAAGTAATTAAGTAACCCACTGGCCGTACTGTGTGTAGGGTTGCCAACCATATTATAAAATATTAAATATTTTGAACCATATGAAAACTTAATCATATTTTCGTTATTAAATATATTATATTATAGATTCATATTTCGCGTGTTTCCTGTAAGGCCTTCATACATTAGGATATTTACTGTGATATTACCGGTGACTAGTATGCTATACGAGTCTCGAAAGTTAGTCGTCAATGTGTATTGCACATGCATTTGAACGGTGACTAGCATACTTCGCTAACAATATCCTACGCATTCGCAACTATACGTACTATATACGTGGTAGAGCCATGCTGCAGCTATATTAATTGTATAGTTGTAGTACGAATAGGTCGGCTTGACCGGGGAAGGACCACACTCTCACAGAATACCAGCGTAACACTGCTGTCTTTCGTATGGTGAGTGTAGAGAACCGGAGACCCTTTTTACTGGAGAAGAGGCATTCCATCTTAGTCCTCACGGATGACAACGCATCTGCATTTTGATTCTTTATTGAGGATAGATGTAGAAGTCTATGGGTCACAGCAACCACTTACCATCAGGTGGACTGTGTGCTCGTTTGTCACCTTATCCCATTAAAAAAAAACTAGTCTCATGATAGTCGCTTTATCGGTTGCTAATATGTTACGTCTCCAACCAATGAAGTTCTTCAAAATGACCGCGGAGAAACAATTTAATAGAAGAAGTTGAAAGTTATTCATGTTTAAATGTTGTATTTTTTGATGACTAACAGAAGTTAGTAGAAAATTTAATAAGATGATTATTTTGAAATTTGTGTAATACAATTAAAAAAATCTGTCATCTTGTAGTTCTGATTAATTGATGCACGAGCTCTGCAGTTTATGTTTGAATCAATGAATGGATGAAGTTTTATACAAAGCTTAAATCCGAACATGCATGGAGTACTCTAGTAACCTCTGGAATGGCTCAGCAAAATGTCAACTTGCCGCACTCGACTCAAAGAGCACAAGCCAAGAGGCTTATCTGCGACAAAAAGCTGGTGGAAACTAAGTTTCACAGCTCAGGTCACCGCCGCGAAGTTGCATTATTGTCGGTCTTCTACAAATTTTACTTCGGAGAGTGTGCCTATGAGTTTTATAAACCCATACCGTCATCCCTATTCTCCTATCGGAGTATCAACTATCCACACTTGGTTGACATTTTGAATATTAACACTAAGCTATATAAATCATCTTTTATAATGCGCATAGCCGAGAGAATGAAATGCCCTATCGGCGTCTATTTTTCCGAGTGGTCCGAGTAAACAGGCTTCTCCTGGGTAAACTAGCTCCGTCTTAAATCTCATCTTTGACCTCGGGCCAGATGGAGTTCGAAAGTGAGCCTATTTTTAATAAAATAAAAAAAAGTATCGTATCTTGTTTGTATCATAATGCGTGAAGGGCCTAATACTCGCCAAATTGTCAAAAAAGCTATAAGTTTTGTTTAAAACCCAACACTTCTAGCATACAATTTTTGGAAATTTGAATAAATCCGATTTTGGGTACTGAAGTCGAAGATATATTAGATCCGATAAGTTGGCAACCCTAGGTGGGCGTGGCGGCGTGGCGAGACTTACTTCGGCGACGAGCGGCGCGACGAGGTGGTTGTCGGTGACGCGCGTGACGGTGGTCTCGGTGAAGGTGGACTTGGTGATGGTCTCGGTGACGCGGCCGAGCGGGCCGAGCGCGGCGGGCGGCGGCGGCAGCGCGGGGCGCGGCGCGCGCTGCACGGTGACGCGCACGCCGCGCTCGGGCGGCAGCTCGGCGGCGCGCGGCGCGCCCAGGAAGTGCGCCGGGATCATCGCTTGGAACTCCTCGCTCGTCAGCGGCCGCGACGGCTGCGCGGTCAACACGTTCACATCGCATCAATGTGCCCAGGTGCCCAGACACCCAAGTGCCCACCCACGCTTTCACTACTCATCACGACAAGGCGCATATGTATTTGGCGTGGATCAATTTAGTCGTAAAAGGTGCCTTTACGACGAACAAAATCTACTTTTGAACAGTACTAGTTTAATATTTAAAAATAATAAATATTCTTAATCCAGATATCAAATATTAAAAGAATACATACATACCAGTACGTATGCCAATTAAAACAAATAAACAGTGTGTAAATACTTTATATAGTTTTAAAAACATTAAAAAAGCAATTTCGAAATATATCTAGAAATATGATGAGAAAATACTTCATTAATATTTGTTGTATATTTAAAAGCGTCTGATTAAGAATCATCATTTTTCAGTTATTTGCATCCTGTACCATAACTACAGCTTTCTTCTTTTATAAGTTTAAAAAACATGCGATCATTTTAAAAAAGTTTTACCAAACCATACTAAAGAATCCAAACAAACAAACAATACCCAAGACGATAAACACACCTTGCCTTTTTAAATAAATCAAAATAAAACTGAAATTCTCTAAATATATTTTTCGACGTCAAAATCTACCGCCGATATAACTACAAAGACAATTTCAAACATTGTAAATATTGTTTATTTTTATTAGCTTATAAATTGTACGTAGTTTATGATGTATGTTGATCTAAATATCGTGTAAATAAAAAGTTAAAATCAAAGTAACAGCTATGTCCAACGAGTGAGCACAGGCAGCAAAAAAAAGTTGTAATCAAATTTTAAACTATTGAAAATATTATTTTTTTAAGAAAATAGCTCTTTGTGCAATCATTTATTGTATTTTGAAATAAAATTTCTGTAACCCTATTTGCCATGTCTCATGTAGTCGTTTTTTAGAGCATTCTTTTTGATTCACTTTATCGCGAAAATGGGCATAATATTCACTACATATTACAATTTGTTTAGTTGACTAGCATAACGGGGTAATCGATCAACAGAACTACTGTGCTTACCAGTGGGACGTATATGTTTAAAAATATATTGTTACGCATAACACTGTGTGCACTGCTGTGATCCAGTCGGAAGAGTATGACAGCCAGTGTAATTACAGGTCTATTTTATTTGTCAGAGGTGGCAACGCATCTGCAACCTCCTTTCTTTGAAGTTAGCTGCAAGTGTTCATGGACTGCAGGAGCCACTTAGCGTCAGTTGAAGTGTAAGTTCGTTTGTAACTTCAGTTTTATAAAAAAAAATTATACTACGACTATAAAATGCGACTGTCTGCATCTGATTTTCGAAATTATGATGACTTGCTTAGTCAGATCCAGTATACAGCTTGCCAAGGTCAACCAATAAATAAGAATCAATAAAAAAAAAGTAATAAGAACAGTGACAAGACACGAGCATTTTTTATTTACGCAGATTTATGCGTACTGCTAACGGCACAACCGGTTAACTACAGACAATTACATAAGACTTTTATTATTTAAAATGAAGTGACAAATGTACTTCCAGTCCACTTGGTGCTAAGTGTTCACTTCAGCCCATGTGTACCGTTAGGGGTTCATAAGTAGGTGTTGTACGAGTAATTATAACTATTTGTAAGGGTGCATTCAGATGCATTTATTTTATGGAAATGATTTTCGAACCCCGTATCAAATGATTTCAAATCGAAGACACTGTAATTTAAATAAGAACAAAAACTTTTATACTTTATTCTTTACTTTAACTTTTAATGTGAAGAATGAAATTGTTTCACTGTTTTATCAATAACTGCTTTATATGTCTGAGAGTTGTATGCGCAATAAAAATAATTTCGCGGAACCCTAATGACTTTTCTACGGAACACCTAGGTGCCGTGTAACCCACTTTAGGAATCGCTGCTCTATACAATTCATAAAAGTTTGTATTCGAATCACCTGGTCAGTTAAAATTAGAAGGAGAACTGGCCGAACATTATTACACGAATAATTTAAGAAGAAAGAGTATAAAATAGTATGCAAAACATGACTTATTTATCCGTAAGAGAAAATTTTCTTGCACGATATTTACAAATCTATGTAAAAGAAATAAATATGATGATTAATTATTTATACGAAAATGTTGAGGCAAAATTTCAGGCTGCTCCTAATGCAACAAACATTTTAGTTGAACAAAAGAGGCTTTTAGCGCTATCTATATGTACGTGTAACATTTAACAACGATTCTTCATAACAGATACATGTGGATGACGAGTGGTTACGAATGAAATAGAATTTCTAGTATATGACCTAGCTTTACTTATAAAAAGAAAGAAATAAGGGAATTTGCGCATAACTACAAGTATTAAATACAATATTATCACAACAATGCTGTTTTGATACAAGTAATAGTTATTTCACAAAATGGGATGATAACAGATATAACTGGAGAGTTAAATTAGTAAATGTTGGTAATGATTATGTCTTGTGGAACAATGAAACGAAACCTTAAGGCTCTCGAGAGATTTAAGTGAAAATTATTCAATTAAAACTCCCGAAAGTATAACCATATTTCATGAAATAATATTAAAATAGGAGCTTTATTTAGAATAATATAGTTTTCAAGATTTTATAAGAAAGTATAAAGTTTTTAAAAAAATACTGAAATTATCTTTGTTCGTCCTCACATATGGGGATTACATCTCGTCTTCTCCAAAGCTTAGGGCATTCAATAAGAATCATTATTTTTATTACCATTGCTTACTATCCCAAGTCCACTGCTAAATATTATTATCACCATCATCATGATTACAGGTTATCAAAGTCAACTGAAGAATGATCATGAACATTATCATCACTGCTGCCTATCACAAGTACACTGCTAAATATCATAATCATCATAATCATTATAGTCTATCAAAGACTACTGCTGAACCTTCATAGGGCTCCCTCACAGATTGGCTCGTCATTTATCAACGTTACAGCCCTTCACAAGTTCACTGCTACACATATGCCAGGCATAGGAATGCCACAAAGCAAGGTTCTGAGCCACCTGCATCCATCGACTCTGGCATATCTTACTAGGTACCACTCGAGACCGTTCTTCATTCTATATGGACAGCCGGCCCATTGTCACCTCAGCTTACTAGTCCATTAGGATTAGGCTATGTCGGTTACTCTGGTTCTACTGCGGATATCCTCATCTAGAAGTCTATCACGAAGAGAAACCTCGAGCATAGCCCTCTCCATAGCTCGCTGAGCGACCTTGGGTTTCCTCATACGACCAGCCGTGAAGGACCAAATCACAGATCCATATGGCATTGATCATTTGCAACACGCACTGGTTGTACAATCTTGTTTACAAGATTCATTGTTTGCAAGATTGTTTTCAGATTTCATTTTTTAAGTATTTTTATTATATTATTTTTTTTTTATAGAAAAATACTAGTAATGATATTAAACATTACTAATATTCCCTTTAACCACTTCTGGTAAGCTTAACATGCTTCTGTTAGAAGTGGTTCACGACAGATATTTGACGCTTATATTAGATTGCCTCAACAGAGGAATATTTGTAATGATTGAGGGCTTGGCTGGCGGGTTCGCAACCACAGTTTTTTTATTATTCCTAGCTGTTATCAGCAAGATGCTGTTGCTCATCTTCTGTTTCAGTTTCTCTGTCATCCACCTCTTAACGACACCTACAAAATTATATGGAGTAGTGGATTCTCCTACACCGCCACTACACGACGCAATGTTAAATATATTTCTCCCCCAAAGAACAAAGTAAAGCGGAACATGCTTTCTGGCAAATAAGGCTTTTTGCTGAACGACCAACCAGGTCATCAATCCACCTAGTGAGTATAAGTGGTACACTTGGTGGAGACTGTCACTCGAAAACCTCCTTGAGCTGGTCGGGCCATTGTCACTTTAACTAACTGATCCGTTGGGCCGTCGGTGGTTCTACAGCAGAGCAGAAACAGAAACAGAAACTTTTTAATTCAATATAGATTATAAACAATACTTATTGAAGGTCACTCTTTTGTTTAATTACCAGCAGATATCTTCGTTTGAAATTATAACCATGTATGAAAACTATTCAATTGTATTCATATATTTCTTTTCATATTATCCTGAGTAATCTCCAGCTTCCTCATACGGCCTGCAGTGAAGGACCGTGAATCGGTTCTGTAGTTCATCACTGACAACACGAACATTTTGTACGTGTTTGTTTTAAGATTTTGATAAATATGGAATTCAATTAGAATGCCTTAAGCAGATAAACAGTAGGTACATTAAAAATAATCCTTTTTATAATACCTTGTTAACGGTAAAAATTCTCAAACAAAATTTATTATAACACGTCATAACTTAAAAATATAATAAAATTTGATATCTGGATTACAAATTATGTTTTATTAAATTTTACATTCAATATGTAATTGCAGGTATAACCAACATTTCAAACAAATTCTAATTAACCAGTTCTAAAAGCGCCTACAGATTAAAAAACAACATATCCGCCATGTTTAGCTCGGAGTATGAAAGCAACATTCAGTTCCGTTAAATCAGCGCCAACAGATACCGTGCCTTATCATCACGAAATATGAGCTCTATATTTCAGGACGTAGAGGTTACGATATCTTCGGAGACTGAGACGGACTGAATGTCTATAGTGTAAAATTAGTCTACACTAATGCGATACGTACACAAAGTGGCGTGAAGCGATAATAGAAAAGCATGGATGTGAACGTGTTAAACCTTTTAAAACCATCACCTGAATAAATCGTGACAAGAATTGGCTGAATGCGTGTTCTTACCTGTATATCGTCGAAAACATCGTCGTTAGAGCTGTGCAATTTATTGGCGCCGGGAGTTAAAGGCGTGCTCGTACTGTTAGTTGTCGATTTCGTTCCCGCCTGTAGTGAATAATAACATTCTGAAACTTTGCTCTTTAAGTTCTAATAAGCGCTGGGTAAAAGGCTCAACATTAGGTATGCAAATGATGTTAAAATATACGCTTATACAATAATTAAAATAATTATCTGAAAAATAATACTGCGTTGTAAGTACAATTGCGTTATTTTATTATATTTTCACATAAACGATGGCTGGTAGAATAGCGTTAAAAGGTCTTAGGAATAATCAACAGCGCATTAAAAGCGTTGCTCATCGCGGTTTATGCATAATATAGGAATTTAAATACCGAGAAAGCAAATTTTATATGTAATAGTGGCATTACTAAATCTTTTCAAAATCATAAAAATAAACGTTAGGTCGTATCCATATTACGCCGTACGAGGTCTAGCTATCGTTTAAAATAGTGTTTTTTTTAGATTGTTTGCGGGTTTTATTGTGTAAGTAGCGATGATTTGTGAAACGGATATGTTTCCAAATATTTAAATTTTTATTGTTGATCAAATTCAGAATCTAAATTAATAATATCATTTTGATATTGCATTCGAAGTAGTTTGATCAAATTGAAAACAAGCAAATAACAAAGTAAAAACATATTTGTTTTCTGTTCATTCTTGTTTATTTCAAAATCTTACCTGTCCATTAGTGTGAGTTTGACTAAGTCTCCTGGGAGCTGGCTGGGGTGGAACAGCGTTCGTGAAAGTTTGTGTCACCGGTGCGGGCGCGTTTATGGGCACTTGTGGCGGTACTTGTGCGGACGTTTGTACGGGCACATTCGTTGGTGCATTTGCGATGACCGTGGGCTTTGTTGTCGTGGTGTGTGCTGGCTTCGGTGCTGTATGGTTTCCGATCAGCGGCACGGTCACGTGGTTGTTGGGCTTCGGTGCTGGAGCAACGTTGACGTTCGTCAAACTCGTTTTATGCTCTCTCATTTCTTCCGAAATAGATTTCCTCGAGATTGTGTCGGCTGTATGCAACAAGTTAATTCATAATTAATTCACAGAATGGGCAATGAAATAGAATGGTCTATAATGTTTGATTTGATAACTGATAATATATTACGACAAGTATGTCCTTATTTTTTTATTTACAAAAAGGCAGTTATTTATTTTATTTACAAAAATAAAGCATTAGAATAAAAACTTAGTAATTCATTGAATAAGAACGAAACTATAACGGTTTCTTATAAGACAGCGAAACCCTTAAAATAAATAGAAAAATGGTATACATATTTCGTCAACTAAAAAGAAATAAAATGTAATGATACTAAAACAGTTTATTACAAAACGTGGTTTATTGACTCGGGTTTAAAGTAGTCTTAGTCACGAAAGAAGTCCCTTAACCGCAGCGCCATAATTTTGATATGTGCTGTCAAATTCTATATTGTTCTTTATTGAAACACTCTTGTTTAAACCTGAGTTGTGAACTACTTTTTGCAATAAGATGGATAATATTTACGGCTTGAAAACGAAGTGGTTAGGTGTTTGACTTGATTTTGTCTGGGTGTTAGTCTTTGTGTCATTCATGTACAACGCCTCCACGATACAACAAAAAATTCTAGTATAGAGATTACGTATTGATATACAAAAAGGATTACCTTGTTCGGAGGTGATAGTCCGCTGCAGGACTAGTCTTACGAAGCGCTCGTGGCCTGTAAGTACGGCGACGGCCGCTTCGTGTGGCGCGTTTTCCATGTCCACGCCGTTAATCTACGAATTTTTCTTTGATTAAGTAAGAACTTATTGAACAATTCACAAAAAAATTTACTTTGTTTTACTACATTGATATTAACTCTTGATATAGAATTTTCTTAAATAAAATTTTCAGTAACAAATCACTATATATATAATAGTTAATGATTTTTAAATTGTAATGAGATTACTTCAGTTATTATAAGATGGTCCAACTCGTTAACCTTCAAAATGTACATATTAGATTGTCAATTACAGCTCGGTACCCTGATGACTAAGCCTTTGTTTTTGCTTAACGTTTTTTAAGATAGAAAGACTTTGTTTTTACCTTACTTTTAACTTCACGAATAAAATATGCTTAGTCTTTTATATTAGCTGTGTAGTGGCAACGTAAAAAAATCTATTACCCCATTTAGTCGCACGGGTGTTGTAACGCCAACTATTAAAAATTCCAGACAGACTTCAATAGCCTAGCCGGCTAAACTGCTTTACAATAGGAGACTTCGATGTTCAGCCGTGGACTGTTCCGGGCTCATAAAGAAGGCCTACCTAAATGGGACGTGTAGCTTATGCGGACTATCGTACATAAATTCGTCTACTTACTACATGCCCTAGAATATTGTGAAGTTTTTAACGATAAAGACATTATACGACTATAATATGTTATCCTCTCACTGTTGAGAACTTCCACAATTGTAATACAAATTCGTCAGTACATTCTTTCAGAAGTTAGAAGTGGCAACACTCACGGACACGACTTTATCCCCGACTTGCATCTTGCCATCTTTCGCGGCGGCGCCTTGTGGCGATATGCGCGAGATGTAGATGGCGTCGCTGTCCTCCCTGTACGGCGGCGAGCCCTTCCCGCCCGCTATGCTGAAGCCGAGGCCCGCTCCGTCGCGGATTAGCGTCGTGTGGACAAGTACCTTTTGTTGATACACTGGAAAGCATATTGATATTTTTAGGAAAATTACAAACTAAAATTATGATAAGTTTGTTTGGAATATTTATAATAAACATTCAACGCGAAGATTACAGGCAAGCAATATCTATAACAAACGAGCTTGCAGACCACCTGAATTCAGGTGGCCATTTCAGCCCAATCATACTTATAGCCATCTTCAAGAGTCATCCCTAAGGACTAGGATGGAATGAAATAATTTCGATATCGTTAACTACACTATTGTTTGACGAATTTACTAAATATAAAATGATATGAATAAAAGGTCCTTCCGTTCCAAGGTGACAAAATATAAAAAGGATTTAATAATACTTTTAGCTACAAGTACGGTACACTTTTTAAGTTTATATATCATATAATATGTAACACACAAAAATAAAATCGTCGGAAATCAATATGATGATTTTATTCATTGCTATTATATTCCACTGTTATGAGATCTATCAACAACAATAAATTGAGTTCATCGCTCTCAAAGGAATCCCATTGCAGGTCAAAAACTATTCAAATCAATTGAATACAAATCGCGAACACTGCGAGCATAGACAAATACATTTTTTTAAATCATTATCTGTATCATCAATATATGTCAGTGCAACCAGTTGAATTGTACGAGTTAGGTACTCGTTTAGTGACTATAAAAAGCTTTATGACGATCATCTGTCCCTTTCTAATTGGTTATTGTTATAACGTATGTACGACAAAGGCTTTGTTAAGAATAGATCGTGTGATAGAAATTTACGCCTACCTGGTGGAACATAAGGTTGAGTTTGCGGTGGCGGCGGTGACACCTGTAACCGTTGGTACGTATTTGATGTCACCTGGCCGGTTGGCGAGGGGCTGAAGTTCGAAGTTGGAGAGACCACAGTCTTTTGGTGGTTAGGCGCGGGATCTTTTTGATCGGGTTCAAACTCTTGCGCGTATTGGTTGCTGATAATGAGAGGCTTCGCCATGATTCCTCGACCAGTGGGTACCTGATAAATAAACAAGTGGTAAAATTAAAAATTTTGTACAACTGACTTCAATATAAATATAATTTATTGTTGATTTTTTTCAATACCGTTCAACCGATTTCGATAAAATTTAAATGGGACCATCCTTTGAAACAAAAAAAAAGGAATTTTCCAAATCGGTTCAAGTATCTTGGAGTAATCGGTGAACATACATTAAAAAAGATTCCGACAAATTGTAAGCCTCCTCCTCCTTCTTTTTGAAGTCGGTTGATAAAAAAGTATGTGTCCTGTACAGTGTAATAGGTAATGATTTCAAATCAGATGTAGGGGAAAAAACATTACTAGGATTTATAATAAAGAACCAGTACAGTTTTGTTGCAAAGAAACAACTATGGCCGTAAATAACTTAATCAGATAACATTGATTCAAAAAGCAAACATAGTAGAGTGTAAATCGAACTAGTGAACTGAAGCATAGAAGATAGAAAGTGTTGATCAATTTGAAACATAAATCACCTGTCCATTCTCTAAAGTGGATACAGTGTCGGTCGTACTGGACACAGAATGATGGCTCGCTCCACTCGGCGCCCGACTGTGCGTTCTGGCAAAAATGCAAAATATACATTTATAATATTTAAAATAGAGTAAGTTGGAAAGGATGATGATGACTTAATTTTAAAAAGCTATCGAAACGAAACTTTTCAGTTTTTTGTAGTGAAATAAACGTCAGATTTGTATACTTTTAATTAACAGAACTTTATAATTTAACTGACTATGGAAAATCGATCAAGTTTTATGACACTACTAAAACTAGTTAAATTGAAATTACATAGTATAGTATAATTACTGAAACGTGTAGTGGCGGCATGTAGAATCCACCAAGCAAATATGAGGCAATCTATAGGGTCAATCTATGCCTAAATGTTTAATGCTAAATTAGACATTTACCATACAATTACCATTACAGCCTATAAAATTCACTGCTGAACATGCCCCCCCCCCCCCCCCCCTATAAATTGCCTCACAGGGCGGTCATAGTTTTGCCATAATTGACACGCTTGTCGAGCGCGTTGTCAAACGCAGTTTTTAATTATTTTGAGTTGTTATCGGGAAGATGGGGTAGTAGATATACTTACCCCGCCACAACTTGGCATCATTAGACACTGAAATTAATAAAAAATGAATGACGTAGTAATTTAATAATTACGATATCAACTACCCAGTTAAGTAACAATAAATTTGTAGTGTACAATGCTACAGTGACTTTATAATAAATGTGATATGTTAGGTGGCTACATGGAGACTATAATAAGCCATGTATGTTACTCAAAATAAATAATGATGAGACGCGATGTATGCCCTGAGGACTAAAATAAAATTACCTAGAACACAAGAATAGATGCGCTTCTGTTTAGCGACAGAAACATTTAGGCAACAATATGGTATAAACTTAGACGGAACACTATATACGCAGAAGCACTAGAACAATAAACTCACCTGGTCGAATTAGGCGAGTCTCTAGTTACGACTAGTGTAAGAACAGGTCCGCTCGCTTTTAGTACTTCCACAGCGTAGTAATGGTCGACGTCTACCACGGAAGTACCATTCACTGAAAGCACTTTGTCGCCCACCTACAATAATAGATACATTTGTAAGATATTATTCAGATTAAACTAATTTATCTTGCTATAATATAATTATGCAGTTTTATTCTTAGGGATTTGTAAATCATCAACAATAAAATAAAATAGCGTATTTCAAATATAAATTTTATTTTAATTTTGCATACTTTGGTGATCGGTGTATGTACAAAATCTTTAAAAAAACAAACTAACTTCTTACTATTGTTATAGTGTAATATAAAAACATATAAACATGAAAATTCATACTTTTAAGACTAATATAATATAAACTTCTTCAGATTTGGGTATATGATAGCAATATGTTCTCTAAATCGTCCATCAAAATTCACAGTACCTGTTTAGTCAATGTTTTTTTTAAACTACTTTAAGCCAGTGCTTATCTACTATCCCACCGGATGTTAAGTGGTAAAGTAGCCGTAGATGGTGTACCGCACTGACTTAACATACACTTGTATAGAAGACATTTTAATGACATAGAAAGACATTCTGATAAATTATTCCGTCCCATTGCTGTACGCATTTCGAACGATGAAGCAAACCGTTAGGCTGAATACGTGAAATGTCGATGACAAAGTTGTGGAGATTGGCCGAACGTCTGGTTGTCCGACAGTGGAAGGTAGGAGTAATTATGTCATGCAATTCCCGTGAAGCTGAATAAAAACCCGACTCGACTGATATCTCTTCACAGCTGAGCTGTCATCTGTATACCTTTAGATACCAGGCATAAGCAGAATTTATCAAGTGTTTCTTTCATCCACCCTTTCTAAAGGCCTAAACCATCTCAATATACGTTTGTCGATGCTTGTCACTACATTTCTTTCACTTATTCAAATGTGATAAATAACGTCAACTTACCCTTAGTCCGGCCATGTATGCAGGCCCGTTGGGAGTGACGCGTGATATGAAGATGCCGTCGTCATCCCCGACATATGGCGTGGAGCCGCGGCCGCCCGCGATGCTGAGGCCGAGGCCGCCAGCGGCGCGCGCTATGCGCACTTCTATGCAGCGATGCTCGCTCACTACTCGAGCTTCGCTGTCAGCGCGTTCAGACACTGATTCACCTAGAGTGGAAAAAAAACTTAACAAATTCCTCTTTAAATAAAAATGGTGGATATAGTGGTAACAAAATAAACGTTCGACTATGCTCAAATACAGTAAACACAGTACACTAAATAAACAAACAATGATTTGTTATATTCTCGCGACTACCTCGTTGGTTTATTGGTCATTAACGCGGTTGCTGATCATGAGGTCTAGGGTTCGAATTCCGGGTCGGGCTAAAATAAATAAATAAATTAGTGTCAACACTCAAATACGTGAAAGTAAGGATGATTGGATATCTCTGTGCCGATAAACCATTTAGAGGTGGTGTAAGAATATCCACTACCCCATATCGTCCTAAGGGTGTCGTAAGAGGCGACATAGGGCAAATGAAACAGGAGATGGGCTGCAGCATCTTCCTCCTCCTCATACAAATAACGTGTAAGTTAGGGCGAGTGTGTGTCTCTGTGTCGCTATAACATTTATCTGACAAGACCTGAAGTAGACACGACGGCACTATCAGCAACACAAATAACGTGTAAGTTAGGGCGAGTGAGTGTCTCTGTGTCGCTATAACGTTTATCTGACAAGACCTGAAGTAGACACGACGGCACTATCAGCAACACAAATAACGTATAAGTTAGGGCGAGTGAGTGTCTCTGTGTCGCTATAACGTTTATCTGACAAGACCTGAAGTAGACACGACGGCACTATCAGCAACACAAATAACGTATAAGTTAGGGCGAGTGAGTGTCTCTGTGTCGCTATAACGTTTATCTGACAAGACGTGAAGTAGACACGACGGCACTATCAGCAACACAAATAACGTATAAGTTAGGGCGAGTGAGTGTCTCTGTGTCGCTATAACGTTTATCTGACAAGACCTGAAGTAGACACGACGGCACTACCAGCAACACAAATAACGTGTAAGTTAGGGCGAGTGAGTGTGTCTGTGTTGCTATAACGTTTATCTGACAAGACCTGAAGTAGACACGACGGCACTGTCAGCAACACAAATAACGTGTAAGTTAGGGCGAGTGAGTGTCTCTGTGTCGCTATAACGTTTATCTGACAAGACCTGAAGTAGACACGACGTCACTATCAGCAACACAAATAACGTATAAGTTAGGGCGAGTGAGTGTCTCTGTGTCGCTATGACGTTTATCTGACAAGACGTGAAGTAGACACGACGGCACTATCAGCAACACAAATAACGTATAAGTTAGGGCGAGTGAGTGTCTCTGTGTCGCTATAACGTTTATCTGACAAGACCTGAAGTAGACACGACGGCACTACCAGCAACACAAATAACGTGTAAGTTAGGGCGAGTGAGTGTGTCTGTGTTGCTATAACGTTTATCTGACAAGACCTGAAGTAGACACGACGGCACTGTCAGCAACACAAATAACGTGTAAGTTAGGGCGAGTGAGTGTGTCTGTGTTGCTATAACGTTTATCTGACAAGACCTGAAGTAGACACGACGGCACTATCAGCAACACAAATAACGTATAAGTTAGGGCGAGTGAGTGTCTCTGTGTCGCTATAACGTTTATCTGACAAGACGTGAAGTAGACACGACGGCACTATCAGCAACACAAATAACGTATAAGTTAGGGCGAGTGAGTGTCTCTGTGTCGCTATAACGTTTATCTGACAAGACCTGAAGTAGACACGACGGCACTACCAGCAACACAAATAACGTGTAAGTTAGGGCGAGTGAGTGTGTCTGTGTTGCTATAACGTTTATCTGACAAGACCTGAAGTAGACACGACGGCACTGTCAGCAACACAAATAACGTGTAAGTTAGGGCGAGTGGGTGTTTCTATGGCGATATAACGCTTATCTATAGATGTTAAAAATCAATTAACTAAGATCCGCGTTTAAAACAAAATTATGTGTCTTTTTGGAGAGCACCTCTCACTCTTCCTCAATTGCGTGCACTGACGGATACATACATACAGACTATTGAAAAGGAACGTTTAAATTAAACAAAATTAATTACCTATTGAAATCATTTGTTGGCAACATTTCAAGTTTTTGGCGACAATATCTTATTTGTGCTACCATTGGCAGTAAACAATTTAATTTAATGTATTTGTAGTACATAATATTATATTATATAAATACTAGCTTGCAGTCTTGCAACTTTAACTATGCCAAATCTCACACACCTTCGTGCACGCAATATACTTAACAAGGGGTACATAGGTTTTTCTTCACGCATTAATATACAGATAAGTGGAATTGATTTGATTGTTTCTCTATAAATTTAAATGCACTTATTATTAGGCAAAGGACGCAATTACGACATCAAGGGAGTTTTAAGCAAACTGGCCACATCCGCAGCTTATAAAGCTGCGATTCATTAAGTGACTCGTTAAATTATTGCCTTCAATGGCCCTAAACGTTTAATTAAAGTTTAACGTAATTTTAGTAATGGCAAACACTCAAGAACGGTATAATGTTCTATGAATATCAAATGTAGAAATAATAGCGTTTCAAGAAACTGCAATCGTAAGAGCTTTTGTGAAAGTACTATAAATGGTTTTCTATAAATCGGAAATAGTTCGTGTCACTGATAAAAGTCTGGTACATAAAACAACTTAACGACACACAAATGGCTCGCGATATCTGATCTGATAAGACCCCGTCCCATTGGATTTCTCTCTTCGCCAGTTCTCTTTGCGAACTGCGACGAATTGAATAATCAACAAGCTGTCTGTATAGCCTGTATATTCACACGCCAATCAGCGTGTCAAGACGAATGTATGGACCTCAAAGAAATCTCAGTCCAGAGCAGTCTTCGTTGTTACATCCTGCGTTGTACAATGGCCAATCATGCGATGTACTTTCACCCTTATACGAACCTAAATGGAATAACAACGCGACCATTGTATCCCAGAAAGCGTCGTGACGAGTTTTTAAGAGAGGGATTCGTGACTCTAGTTTATCGGTCGGAGTGTCGTCTCGTGCTTTAAGAATACTCTATTTCATGAACAACGGTAATTTACTTCCAATCGTAATGTAATTGTCGAGAGAAAGTAAGCTTGAATGATTACATTTATTGCACGTGTAATAAATTGTTGAATTATCGGATATTACCTGGCAGCATTAACGACGCGAAAGTATTGTACTATTATAGACTAGCTGTTCCCCGCGAGTTTGCCCGCGTGGTATTTTTTGTACGGAACCCTAAAATAAAAGTAGCCTAAGTTACTCCTTCTAAAATCAGATATCTTTTACAGGTTCTTGCATGATACGTGTTAAGACAGACGTCGTGTTAAAATTTTATTATAGTATAGGCTAGCTGTTCCCCGCGACTTCGCCCGCGTGATATTTGGGGTTTTAATTTGTTTGCGCGGAACACTAATTCTTTTTCTAAAATAAAAGTAGCCTAAGTTACTCCTGTGACATCAGCTATCTGCCAGTGAAAATCCCGTCAAAATCGGTTCAGCCATTTCGGAGATTCGCCGTAACAAACAGACAGACAGACGGACAGACAGGCAGACAGACACACAAAAACTTTAAAACTTGTATTTCTGTTATTAGTACCGTATATACTTTCATATGCATTTAGTAAAAAGCTGTAATTTTGACATTACAAACATACACTTCAATTTTATTTATTTGTATAGATAGATTAAGAACAATCCGACAGTTGAAAGTGGTATAAAAGTACGGTACAATTTAAGGTCGTTTATTACTGTTAGTAGTGAAATAGATACAATAGAATAAATTTTATTTAATTTTATTAAATAAAACAATTAATACTTATTCAAAGAATATTTGTTTTTTTTTTCACTGATTCTTTTCTAATGGAATTATATTAACAAACTGTGATTAAGTAACATGATAGCTAAGTAATATTTACGTATATTTAACACACAAAACCGTTTATATCACATTATAAAATGTATATATATATATATATATATGTAATTATAAAGAGGTAGTATTATCCTAATCTAAATGTAAGAGGAAGAACGCGATCTTACATTTTAAAAGGTTTATTATCCTATCAATTATATGTATTTTAAATTTATTTATTGATGTAACAATCATAGGTAATTTGAATTACCGCACGCCCGAAACGCCGGAAAAAGTTATTAATAAAACCACGGAATAAATAATAGCACAAGAAATAAAACGCGATAAAATCCACAAAATGAGTTTTATTCAATGTGTAGTATTTGCGTAAATATAAAAATAATTAAATGAGCAAGTAATAAGTCGGGGAAAAAGTTTATTCGTATTTTGTTTGTATAAAATTTAAGAAAAATCTCTTTGATTGTAACAAGCCATTACTTTGTGAGACAACATAGTCGGGCAATAAATTTTACTGCAAAAACTTTTTTAAATTAAAAAGACTCACTCTCTCCTCACACATTAAACAATGCTTATGTTATTATTATGTTATACCTAGTAATATTTTTCACATTTAGATACTAAAACAGTGCATAAAAATAACGTAAAATACGAAACATGTAATTTATATTTCAACTAGTCTTTGTGACTTATAAAAAAAATCATCTGGGATTCTAATCACAGACCCAACTGCTTATTATAATCCGTATTATGGCATACTCGTACATGATGAACCATAGCATGTGTGCACCGCGTATCAATTTTTTCTGCACTTTCTTAAGAGGACATTCGGACTGTAAGAAATTTGAACAATAGATTTTTAACGATCTCTTGCTTTCGCGCTGTGCGGTATGACCGAGCTACTCAAACAATAGAAACGCAATATGAGAAAGATTGTGGACGTGTCTGTATGTAATGATGCGTTGATGAATTCATTGTAACTACCAACACGGGTACGGAAGAGGTTAAAATTTCGTCGTCAGAATATAAAAAACGTAATTAAAAATGCGCAAAGTTGTGATTATGTTATTGTTTTAGTTAAATCGCCATTAAAGGATTTTTTTTTAATTTCGAAATATCGCAAATTTTGCGATATTGCGAAGTTCCTATACCTCAATATTGCGGTATTGAAAATATACTGCGGCATTGCATGCT